CTATAAATATTACTTGCCCTGTACCAGAAGAATAGAAGTGAAGTTCCCAAGTGGCACAAGTATCTAAGCCAGGGGTCGGCAACCCAAAATGTTATGAAGAGCCATTTTGTCCTTTCAACAAACATCAGCAGCACTGCTGTGTCTGATCCACTCAGACCAGCACAACACACACTAACACACCACCGCCACATCAGTATTACTGCAGTGCTGAGAATGATCCACCACCCAAATACTACCTAGTTAGCGTGTGTTGTGCTGGTACAAGTGGATCAGACACAGCAGTGCTGCTGGAGTTTTTAAACTGTGTCCACTCACTGTCCACTCTATTAGACACTCCTACCTTGTCAGTCCACCTTGTAGATGTAAAGTCAGAGACGATAGCTCATCTGGTGGTCATAATGTTATGTGTACACACACACACACACACACACACACACACACACACACACACACACACACAATACATCACTGTACTGCATAGCGAGCACTAATAGATGAATCACCTCCCAGTTATATACGTCTTCCCGTGCTGGAACACCCTACAGCTATTAGTTATTCCCCCTGATGGCAAGGACACCATTACAGCCATCATTCTCTCCATTCTTTTAACTCTTAGCTCACTTGCCATGACTTGTTCAAGCCCAATTACCATTCCACTGTTTGAGTGAGTACAGCTGTAAAGACATAAAAGAGAAAAAAAACTTCTTACATACTGCTTTGTGATTAGGCATCATTAGAAATCAGCCAGCACTGGAACTGTAGGACTGGCAAGTGATTGGTAATTTTAGCATTTAGCCACTTTTGCTATTTGAATATTCAACATTTTACATTTAAACTAGTAACACTACAAGCAACACTTTGAAAACCCAAACAAGAAACTGTCCATTAAAATTCACAATGCATCCACAACTATGAGTATTACAATTAGACCTTATTCACACTCCCTCCCTGTATAGAATGAAAAAATTCAGAGTCAAGGACAGGACAGGTCCAAGGCTGAACTCTGCACTTTCTTCCCACCAGCTACTGCCATTGCATAACAGACAATTAGCAAATGCTCCCCAGCCGCAAGTCAACGGCCGTCCATTTAACACCGGCTAAGAAGTAGAGGAAGGTGTGTGCTCAGTAAACATCAGCTGGCAGCCAAGTCAATTACTGAGACAAATCTATGACATGAACACAGCAAACAGAAAAAGCAGGTCAGGCCCAAATGAAAGGAAGTGCCTCAGGAAAACTGGAAAGAGGGTATGTCATTAAAGAAGCTGCTGAGCAAACACCAGAGAGAAAGACAAAGAGGGGGGGAGGGAGAGTTCAGAACTTCAAAACTGAAGTGGCTTTGCAAATTTGATTGACAAATATAAAAGGTAAGATAAGGACCCAGTCAGAGAACCTGTGGTTAATTAGGCTTCTTACCAGTAGGAACAGCAAATAAACCTCTGATAAAAAAAAAAGTGACAAGTCACAAAAAGCATAATGCAAAATTCTAATTGATTCAGTTAACTGGAGATTTATTCAGCCATTAACCGTGAACCCTAAGAAGAAGCAGATGCCGTATTGTTGCGACGGGAACGCACAGAGAACGGCATTATGGAAAAAAGGCCTGTATAATTCAGCAGCCATTAAATTATGTGAATTACTCTGGACTGGAAACAGCAGGGCTCGTGCTCAATAAAAACCACTCTAAGCTCACGTGGAAAGAATGCTGGCTTATATGCACCTTCTCTATTGGACCTCAAGTCTCAGGAGGCTTCAAATTGGCCGGGTGGAACAGAGCTGCTCTTTTTCTCCACTGCAACTCCCCTTTCCATCTCTCCCATGGTGAAGCATGCCATGGAGTTCCACTGCTCACCCCAACACTGGAATAAGTAGTTCAAAGCCTTAGTGACATGCAGGGATAAGCTTACAGTGACAACTACGCTGAGCGTATCAGATCCGAATCAAAGTCTCTGCGATTCTTTGACATAATAACAGTCTTAGCAACATGCAGACACAAAAACTATTCAATTCTATTTGTCTCAATATGGAAACTACAACTGTCATAATACGCTTAAATTCAATTACTCAAATCAGCAGTTATTAACTGGCAATCCAAATGATTTTAATGCATATTTGAAATTCTCCAGAGGCTGAAACCTCATTTATACACATTCTCTGTTTTCCATATTTTTTTAATGAAGGCATTTTTATGAAAAAAACAGTATGTGTATGTATTGCTAACGTAATTGACAGCAACAGCCTTAGTCTCAATGTAAAAAGTTACGTTAATTTCAGTGGACCTTAAATAATCTTTTCAGTGAGTTCATTATGCTCATAAGTCAAGAAATGAGCCTCGAGGTGACTAGTCACACAAATGAGCAATAAAAGGTTAATGTCTTTAACCAGTCCAGTGCCACGGCTCTTTAACAGAGGGCTCCAGTGTCCCGACCAGCAGGAAAAACACAGAAAGCATTGGAACGATCCTAAGAACAACAAGCACCAGATTTTACAAGGCCTTTAGTAAAAAGCCTGTTCCATGCCACATCTGGACAACTACTGCAAAACTTGACAGTCATCTATTAAATCATGATTTGCAAAAAGATCCAAATACTAAAATGAAGTATTGTGTGATCTGCCATACGGGCCTAAAGGCTAGAAACAAACCAACTGTGGAAGCTGGTCAAATTAAGGAGAACTAAGTTGCTAATTTTCCACTGCTTACAGGGTGGGGGACATATTAGAACTGCAGGCTGCTCCATGAATTAGTTAGGACTCAAATAACACTGCCAAGTTTTTAAAACCATTCAAGCTACAGCACCCTCCACAAATACTGGCACCCCTGGTAAACATGAGCAAGGTTGTAAAAAGCATTCTTTATTGCTTATTCTTTTGATCTAAAGTACAACGATTGAAAAAAAAAAAAAAGTACAACTAAATCTTATCAGGAAATAAATATTTTTCTAAAATCTGTTTGTGCCACTATTACTGGCACCTTTATATTTGAGACTTTGAGACCTTTTGTTGTACATCACTACTGTTTTCTCTGGTCTTCCTCATATTGGTGGATAACTGAGCCTGTCTTTAATCTCATACAAATTCCCTAGTGAAACGGGAAGACACGGCTGACCATTTAAGTGTCCCGATTCACTCAGGTGAACTTAAAAACATAAAATATTTATGATAATATACTTCAGTTAGACTTCAATCTTAATCATTTCTTGGGGTGCCAACAATTGTGGCACACATACAGTTGAAGTCATTAAAGTTCATATTTATCCCCTCCACAGATTCCTGGTCAACAAACTATACGTCCAACAAGCTGTTTAGGACATCTACTTTGTACATGACACAAGCAGTTTTTCCAACAAATGTTTGCAAATAGTTTATTTTACTTATAATTCACGACATCAAAATTCTAGTGGGTCAGAAGTTAACATACTAATTGGCTAATTGACATCATTGGAGTTAATTGGAGTTGTACCTCTGGCAGTATTTTAAGGCCTGCCTTCAAGGCCTACTTGTCTCTTGCTTGACATCATGGGAAAATTTTATGAAGAGCTGAAGGAAGTAGGTACAAAAGTATCTGAACCAACAGTAAAACATGTCTTATATCGGCATGACCTGAAAGGCCATTCAGCAAGGAAGAAGCCACTGCTCCAAAACCACCATAAAAAAAAAGCCAGGTTACAGTTTGCAGCTGCACAATGTTCTCTGGTCAGTTGAAACAAAAATGGAACTGTTTGGCCATAATGACCATCGTTATATGTAGAGGTTTTCTCCAGGGAAGCTTGCAAGCCAAAGAAAACTGTCTCAACCGGGAAGCATAGCGGCGGCAGCATCATGTGGTGGGATGCTTTGCTACAGGAGGGACTGGTGCACTTCACAAAATAGATGGCATTACGAGGAAGGACTATAATGTGGAGATATTAAGCCAAAATCTCAAGACATCAACCAAGAAGTTTGGGCATAAACAGGTCTTCCACATGAACAATGAACCCAAGCATACTTTCAAAGTTGTGCTAAACGGCTCAACAAAGTTTAACAAAGGCAATGGAGCAGCCATCACAAAGCCCTGACCTCAATCCCAAAGAAAATTAATGGGCAGAACTGAAAAAAGCATGTGCAAGCAAGGAGGCCTACAAACCTAACTCAGTTACACCAGTTTTGTCAGGAGGAATGCGTTGAAATTCCAGCAACGTATTGTGAGAAGCTTGTGGAAGGCTGCTCGAAATGCTTGACCCAGGTTAAACAATTTAAAGGCAATGCTACCATACTAATAATGAGTTAGTACTGTGTAACGTCTGAGCCACTGGGAATATGATGAAAGAAACAAAAGCTAAAATATATCATTGCCTCTAGTATTATTCTGCCACTTTACATTCTTAAAATATAGTAGTGATCCTAACTGAACTAAGAGAGGGAATGTGCACTAGGATTAAATATCTGGAATTGTGAAAAAACTGAGTTTAAATGAATGTCAACTGAGTTGAAGTATGACTTCATTGAAAATTGAAAATTGGAAACAGACGTCCATGACGCAGTGTAGTCTTTCAACTGTTCCACAAGTGATGACATCCTTGCAGTGTTGAATAGATCTTGCATCATTAAAAAAGTGCATGAAATAATTCAGTTTAAAACTGTTCACCTGAGTCACCTAAGCGAGCACACGCTGTGATTAGAATTATTACTGCAATATGGCACTTAGTCATTCAGACGGAAACACATGTAGATACTAAACTACAACAGCAGTACTAAAACTCAACTGACTGATAGTAACTTTGTTTTGTCTATTTGATATCACAGCTGAGTTGTAATAGAATTTGCTTTATTACTGCACGCATATTTGCAAGCATCAAGCTCAAAGACAAACATTCCAAGCTAATCCAGAATTCAGCTCTGGAATTTGGCAGCAGGCTGAGAAAGAGGCCCATTCATAATAATTTATAACATCTGAATAACCCTCTGACCACAAAGGAACCATTCATACCGCATGCAGCTTTACTATGAAGAGCAAACAATCTTACCTCTGCCAGCCTGGCCCCTGGATAGAGGAGAACGGTCCTGGAGACTTGCAGCTGGATGTCCTGACGCTCTCTACTGTATCTGCAGTAAGATGCAAAGGTACACATCTCACTTAAGAGAGGCGTTCTTCTGCAAACAGCCTGCCACGCTCTCTCTGAAATGCAGCCAGTCCTCATGATAGCTCTAGTGCCAGGGCACACCATCTTTGTGACCTTCATGTTGTTCTTCAGGTACCGCCTGACGAGCACAGTGGAGCGCTCCTTCTTATTGCGCACAAACTCGCAGTCGGATGCCGTACCTTCGCTGTCACTGTGCTGCTGTTGGGCTGGATTAAGTCTGGAGGTTCCAGAGCCTTGACATGGCATATTTGAGCACCGTCCCAGAGGACATTTGGTTTTGTATCTTCTGTTAAGCCTCTCCAGGCTGGAGAAGCCACATCTCAGATCCATCTGGCAGGGCTGAATGATAATAGGGAGGAAAAAGTCACACTGTGATCTCTTTTTTTCAATAAATACTGGGATATTTGAAGGAAAAAGAATTTAAAATTCCCATAATATTCCTGTAATATCACTCAGGCAATGGAAAGGGTGCGTTTAAAAAGGTAATTAGGCCCCAACCACTATAAAAAATTTGCGGCTAAAAATTCTGAGAATATTTGCAGACATCATTTTTTATTTGTTTTAGATTTTTTTGGGGGTGGCACTACATAGACTGTTTTATGTTATACTATTCTCATGCTAAAGGTTATCTTTGGATCAACATTAAATGCCTTTGCTGTTTTAACAAGGATAAGTGTTTTGTGTTCACCAGTTCAGCCTACATAACATTATGATCACCTCCTTGTTTCTATGCTCATTGTCCATTTTATCAGCTCCACTTACTACATAGGTGCACTTTGTAGTTCTACAGTTACAGACTGTAGTCCATCAGTTTCTCTGCATACTTTGTTAGCCCCCTTTTACCCTGTTCTTCAGTGGTCAGGACCCCCATGACCCTCAGAGAGCAGGTACTATTTGGATGCTGGATCATTCTCAGCACTGCCGTAACACTGACGTGGTGGTGGTGTGTTATTGTGTGTTGCGCTGGTGTGAGTGGATCAGACACAGCAGTGCTGCTGGAGTTTTTAAACACCTCAGTGTCACTGCTGGACTGAGAATAGTCCACCAAACAAAAATATCCAGTCAACAGCGTCCTGTGGGCAGCGTCCTGTGACCACTGATGAAGGAAGAGAGGATGACCAACACAAACTGTGCAGCAGCAGATGAGCTATCGTCTCTCACTTTACGTCTACAAGGTGGACTGACAGGGTAGGAGTGTCTAATAGAGTGGACAGTGAGTGGACACAGTGTTCAAAAACTCCAGCAGCACTGCTGTGTCTGATCCACTCATACCAGCACAACACACAATAACACACCACCACCACATCAGTGCTACTGCAGTGCTGAGAACGATCCACCACCCAAATAGTACCTGCTCTGTGAGGGTCCATGGGGGTCCTGACCACTGAAGAACAGGGCAAAAGGGGGCTAACACAGTATGCAGAGAAACTGATGGACTACAGTCTGTAACTGCAGAACTACAAAGTGCACCTATATAGTAAGTGGAGCTGATAAAATAGACAACGAGTGTAGAAACAAGGATGTGGTCATAATCTTATGCCTGATCAGTGTATACTGCTATCATATTGTTATGATGGGGGTGACTCATACTGGGTACCTCAGTGGTACAACCCAACCCTGTATTCAGATTAACAGGTGACACAGCAACAAAGTCATTTCTTGTGGAAGCAGGTGATTCATTTACAAGAAACAAGAGTGTCACACAAAAATGTAATTTATAAACCATGTACCCCTGATGTAACACGGTTAAAGGACTGGCACATATTTTTTAAAAATTATTTAGGTTTGCTGCAGGACATCAATGACCCAAAGAATATCTGTGACTGGTCTAGTCGCTCACAGCACACAATAAACTCTTCAACAGCTCAATTGCATATTACACACTTCTGCAATATCAGTATCACGAAGGCTCGTGCCAGGATAATGTTTAAGGGACACGATTTTGTGCAGCCTTACCGTCACGTCCTGCATCGTAGCTTTTGACTTGCCGTTGTAGTCCCACGTACAATGGAACTGCACTGGAGAAGGTGTGGGCAGGCTGCCTCTCCTAGTGCTGCACCCAGAGGCAAGCCTGTCTTCCTCCCTTTGCTCGACCACATCAGCTTCCAGCTGGCATGAAGCGCTGCGTGACCCACTCAAGCCTGGCGGCCCTCCATTGAGGTGAGTCACTTCAAAAGAAAACCCCTCTGTTCTCTCCCCTCTGTCCTGGCACTGCTGAAGAACAGCTAGAGGGCTGGCCCCCTGGCAGCTTCCATTCTTTTCCACTGCCCTGCATGTCCTATTTGACTGCCTACAAGACAGTTCTTCAGTCGCGCAGCAGTACATATCCCTATATACATATCCCAGGCTGTCCAAACTCTTGGATCTGGTGTGAAAAGGACTCCCTGCACCACAGCCCGTTTGTATCTCCTCAGAAAGTTTAGAGTCCTGGTGGTCCTTAGATGGAGACAGACGGCATGAACGTACACAGGGGAGCTGTGGCTCAGAGCTGCTTCTTTCAGGCAACTCGCAACCTAAAGACAGCAGCTGGTTTCTGTATTTTGCAGATGTGTAAGATGCTGTTTTGACTCCAAGCACTGTGGCAACCTTCTCTGTGGTCATGGTGACACTAAGAAGCCCATTATCTGCCTGCCCCTCCACACAAACCCTCATATCACAAAGCATTCGACAGCGGCTCTTCCTCAGTCAACAAAAGCGCACACAGATGGCAGGATAGAGAAAAGCACAAGTTTCTGTTACAAAAGCAAGAGCTTGTGGCCTTGGAACTTAGAAGTGCATCTCGACCAGTCCAAAGTAAAGAGAAGATAATCGGTCCGGTAGTAAGCAGCCCTCCCTGGTTGCGTAATGTCAGCTCTCTGCTCTCACCTCAGGGCCTCAGAAATCTAGGAGAGAGGGGAGGAAAGGACAGTCAACACTCAGCTAACAAATGACTGCAAACAAAAGCAAAGCTCACTGAACAGAGATTCGAAAGCCTCCAATGCCTGAAAAACGGACAAAGATGTAGAGAAATTTTACAACCCTCAAAATTACTCTTTCATGTGTCCCGTTTGATGGTTTTTTGGCCATTAGGTCTCCTTTGCATTTAGAGAAGCTATGTGTGAAACAGCAGTAGTTCTGTGAAGATAGGCAGGAGCGTGGAAACACTGTAAACAGAGACTGACTTGTAGTTGAGAAACAAAGAAAATCACAGTTGTCCAAGAATCCTAACGTTTTAATGTGTTGGAATTAAAAATAGTCAAAAAATCACACTTTAAAAATGTGTGGGTCTCTGGAATGTGGGGTCTTGCTGAGGGTAGCTTGAACAGAACAGGGCTGCGGGTTGAGAGGAATTACTTATTTGATTTTGAGTCTGTTTAGCCAGGCAAGGTCCACAAGTACAGTTCTCACACCCCCACACACAGCCATAAATCTCTGCACTAACACAATATATAGACTTCTTTCAAGGAACAGCACCAGAGTATTCTCAAAGAGATGGGGTAGGACAGAAAGGGCAAGGGTCCAGCAGAAATTTGTAATGACACAAAGAGGAAAAAGAGGGAACAAAAACCTACTGTAGCTAAGCAACAGAAGACCTGACCATTCTGTCTGCATAGAAATCATAGTAACCTACAGTACCTGTATTATACCAGACCATTTTGTTTACATATAACCTATTTGGCCCAAAAAAGAAAGCTTGAAGCAGCATTTCATTCTTCTTTATGCAACACACAAATTGTTTGACCAGTTTTCAACACAGCGCAAAGTAAAACATTCTTGTGCCAACAACACTTCCACGGTTCTATGAACACAGATTGCGCAGGAGATTAAAAAAGGATACTCCCTTAGTGTTACGATAACAGAAGTGTCCATGTGACACTTTAACTTGCTAAATCATCAGGTATAGAACGCCGCACAAATAAACACCAACAGTCGAGACTGTATTACAGTTTTCAAATCTGATCATCAAGCAGATTTTTATTCACAGAAATACATGATCTAAAAGGAGAAGTCCATGTACTGCGATTGATAAGTTATCAAACTAAAACATTTTTTTATTTGAAATAAACAAACAATTTCTGTACGTTTATTAGCACTTCCTATTTTCTTAAAATTGTACAGAAAATGCAGCACAAAACTTAAACTGTGAATCCTCACCATCAACTACTCAAAGACTCAGAAATCTCTGAAATGTATTACTTTTGCCCTTGTTTGTCATTTCTAGGATTATTCTTTTTATTAAACTGAGAATATTACAACTCACACCTCCACCCAAATTCAGTGTGGACAAAAACACTGTAACAGTGTAACAGAAACCAAAGCTCTAGATCAAATCTTTTATCTAAAAAGCTTACAGCGCCTCGTTTTGACTATCTGCTCACTCCTGGTGAGGGTGTTGCTGTGTGTGTGTGTGTGTGAAATGAGACATGAGGCAATTGTATTGCTTGGGAATTACGGGAATTCCCCCTACTCCGACCCCCACCTCCATCCCCCACCCCCAAAACACGCACACTCACACACACCCAGACAATTCTGGGCTGAAAACAGCAGTGGAAAGGACATGCTAATGAACTACAGCTGAGGTTTATCTAAGCCCAGAGAGGGCCCCCTTAAAAAAAATATACAAGCTGGAATAATGTAAAACTGTGCTAACTGATAAAATGACTGGTAAGCATATCTGGACCAGCGTTTCATAATAACTGCCAATACAAGTCCATTAAAAATGACCCAAACCAGGCAACATCTAGAGTGGCTACTTTCTCAAATCAGTCAACAAACTCACTGATGATAAACTGAATTTCTGAATAATTGTTTGTCAAAGATTCTACAGTTTGGGCCCAGGATTCTTTCATATACATATACATATATATATATATATATATATATATATATATATATATATATATGTACATACATACATACACACACACACACACACACACACACACACAATGCCGGGAAGATCCACAGATTCCACCAAGACGCACTTTCGATCTGACAGTCCTCTGACTTTATGACAGTGGGTGTGTCTTCAGAAGACTCAGAGTTTCTAGTTTGTCCACACAAACCAGGTGTGTCACATTCAACCCGTGATTTTTCTCTACACACAATTTCGCAACTCACCTTGCTGTGTGCAGTATTTGTGATCTGGGACACAATGTTTCTGTCACATTAAATTAGGTGTAGGCCCATTTTCTTTCAAAAGTGACTTTATGGGACAGGTTAACACCTCCTAGCAAACAGTTAGTTATCTCTGCATGATCAAAGTCCACAAACAGGGTCGTAGGGACATAAAATACTGCTCAGTGCTGCACCTACAAAGTCCTTCAACATCAATGCTTATGCTTGACTTGGCTGTGTTTTGAGATGGGAGGAAACACCTGCAACATCTGCTTTAATTCCAAATATAAGGAAGGCTATTATTTCATTCAGGTTGACCTGAGTAAAAAACAGCAGCCAAAATGTAATAAAAGATCCAAGAAAAGTCATAACCGGTGTGACGAAATGATTCATTTCCATGTACTGTAAATCTGTATTCTAGAGAAAGCCATCAGAAGAACAACAAACCGTCAGAATGTAAGCATCATATGAGGCCACAGAGGAGAAAAAGCAGATATATTACATCATTGAGACTAGGACACATAAAATCTGTTTAAATGTGTCAGGAGATCAAATCTTTGTTTCCTTTGCTCTGCAGAACTTTACACCTGAACCTAAAAGAGCACAAAAAAATATAAAATTGTTCAAAATGTTCAAGGATAGCGCCAATGTTTCATGCTAACAAATGTCCTGCAGCCAAAAGGTGTAACTTATGAGTTTTCAAGTATATCTTAAAACCTGTGTATATAAGTCTATGTACTGTAAACCTCACTCACACCTATCTGTGACACCCTAGAACAGGAGACACCGCACTTAAATCTAGTGAGCATCCCCCCTTAGGCTAGACTGCACATCCGTTACAGCGTTGGTCAGTAATCTGAATCTCACTTCACTGCACTGCTTAGAAACTCACAGATACGACACACCTTTAAAACAACACTAAATCTGTGCTAGAAATAATGTGAACCCAAGAGAACCTAAAAACGCCGAGAACTGAACCGAGAGGCTAGCTAACCTAGCTAACGTAGCGCCTTTATTTTCTAGTTCTTTCGTTTCAAACCTGCTAACCTAACTAACGTTAACGCTGCTGTTCGCATATAGTTGCCTTCACAGCACTGACTTGCTGACTCTGCACACGGGGCTGCCACACAAACCTCACGAAAAGGATACTAATATAACTAAATATCCGACAACAACGTGTAGAAACACACTCACCCCAGAAGAGTGAAGAGTGCAACCTCGCCGCTTTTTACCAGCCGTCTGCGAAAGCTGGAGGAAAAGCAACGTTGGCTGGAAGTAGTCAAGTGGTTGGACGAAGACAGATGAACGTTACTGAACGAAGGATAGGCTAAAACACGTGTGGAGGAGGGTTTGCCTGTAGACTCAGAAAAAGATGAGTGTGAGTGAGTGAGTGAGGGAGTGAGGTGAGAGAGAGTGAGAGAGAATGAGAGGGAGAGGTATCTCGGAATGTGTGAGGCTGTGAGACTGTAACTGTTCAAAGCTGGGAGTTTCTGTGTTCTCCTCGATTTGTAGAAAATAATAAAAAAAAGGATTTTGACACTATTAACGCTGAAAGTGAGGCAAGTTTCAGAGTAAAATCGCTAATTCTACCATTTTAGCTGATTTACTCAAACCAGTAGACGCCAAACGATAGTATTGGCGGTTACTCTGACGTCATCTCTGCTGTCGGGACAAGACATCGTATCTCCATTTTTGTCGTTTTTCAGTTTTTGACATAATTTGAAAACGCCTGTTGCTCTTTACTTCGTGTGTACATTTCATGATGAATGGAGCTAAAGAAAGAAGTCTGGTTCCACTGACTTACATTAAAAGTATGTGTGTACATTATGAAAAAATGTTATTGTCTTAGTAATGTCATCAGTGTAACGTTACGTGTACCATATGTCGTGTACCACTCGGACTTCGTTGAAGGCATCCCTAGTTTTTGTTTACCTTTTGGCTCTGTATGAATGAGAGCCAGAGCTGAATGGTCAGGAAACTTGGTCTGTCCAGGCGCTTTGTGTACACTGTGCCATATCAAAAGCAGCCTGTAAAAACTTAAAGATATTCAAAAATCCACCCATTTGTTCATAATTTCTACATTAGATTAAATCAATTAAATCAATAAGATGTAAATAAGGTCATTCAGAGTGTTCCCAGTGGTAGTGAAAGGAACCAGACGTCCAAGGCCCAATCCCATTTCACCCCTCGCCCCTACCACTTAGCCCTCCGCTTTGCACGTTCATGCCTAGAACGTGTCCCGATTTGAGTCGTGATAGAGGGGTAGGGCGAAGTGTTCCACACGGAGGTTCTTCAGCGGCACGCTCCAAACGGATGAGAAACAAGAAAAACCGGCAAGATGGCTGCGCAAGCGACCAAAAAAACAAATGTGAATATTTTATCCATTCAAATTATGATAACCATTGTATTACCTTAGTTTAATGTTAGTTTTAATGTTAATTATAACAAGGTTAAAAAATTGCTTAGTAGTATGCTGACGTCACGGTAGCTAGCTAGCTTTTTTTCCCATTCCACCTTAAAAGGTGCAGGAGTTACATTCTGACACCTCAGGCATCTGCTGTTCCATTTAAGGTGGAATGGGAAAATTCGAACGAGAAGCTGGCGAATAGTTGACTTCAGCTTCACATGACTGAAGAATTAGTTGTGGGCGATAATAAATAATTGGCGTATCCCCCTCTTTGAAGGTATATGATTCCCTCAATGTAAAGCCCAGCAGGGAGGTTGCTGAACTTTACCCTCCTCTGCTGTCACTGCAGACTGGCAGGGTGGCCTACAGAGCACTGCTAGTTAGCCTGTTGATGAAGTCATGTTCTTTTTATTTGAGGGTCCCATTTCATAGGAGAAGACTTCAGCCACTACCCCACTAAGTCAGTTCCAAGGGGCAAGGTGACACTCGAAAATAAGGGGTAGGGGTAAAAAATAAGAAATAGGATTGGGCCCAAGTGTTTCATGCCTCTAAAAGCTACCTTACAGAAAAATCATAAAAAACATGAAACACTTGATGAGACATTGTTTTACAGTAGTTTTGAGATAAGGTGTTGGCCTAAAATGTATTTTTAAAATAAAAACAGAGCTTTATGAGTCACAATAGTACACAAAGAAAGCTTTTTTGGGGGGATTTACCACTATTTTACTATCATCAGCATTAGATATAAAAACCCATAAGACATGTGTAGGTTCATTGGTCATTGTGGATAGTAAATAAAATGGATGTTTCGTTGTTGACATAGTAACTCCTGGTTTTTATCACCATCATTTTAAAGAAGGTCAGTCAGTAAGTTTCTCTACAACACAATTTACTTCAATGCATTTCGAATTACTTTGCATCTCACGATTAAATTATGCAAACATTTTGGGAAATCAGTGAAATTTTCATTGCTGTTGCCCTAGTTTGGGCATACACTTTAAAAATGTGCAACGGGCCACAAGTTGATTTGCAGTGTATATGAGGTTTGAATTAATGCAAAACATTGTTTTATTCATCCAACTTGATTTTCCTATTTATTGAGTTAAAGGAAACTAGTTATACTGCGTCTTATTAAGACACAATTCCAAAAGTTTGGTGGTTTTAAAGTAGGTTTGGTTTCTTCAGAAGCAACGTTTCAAACTTTACCTACTTATCTTTTCACATTGTATGTCTAATCTTGAGCAAGGTTTAAGACAGTTACAAGAAAAAATGGTTTCTGTTATTTGGCAGTTCAAAGATAGCTTTGATCTCTCTCAATTCTTTGCAAGATTAGTAAATTGCAAAGGTACACTTGCAAGAGGAAGTTGCGTAAGCAAGTTTTACCACTGTCCGGGAAGCTTTAATAAAACCGACCATGTTTTATGAAGGCAGTTTTTTGCATATTTTATTTCAGCAGCGTCTCCAACTCAACACCTTTAGTGTAAATAAAGTTTGTGAAGGTTATTGTCTAGTATTTCAAACATGCTTTCAGCAGCACACTAACAGAGAGTTATAATGAATCCATTTACTTATAATGAATCCAAACTGTAGAATTATTAAAATTGTAAAGCTCACCCACTTCCAATGATTCTACGCTGTTAGAAATAAAGGTTCTGTGCAGGTACATTTTTCATTCATCAAGGTACAAGCAATGTAAATGTCCCCTTAAAGGTACCACAGTGGTTTTAAAGTCCAATTGTGTACCTAAAATATTTTTTTCTCAGATGAAAAGTACACATTTGTACCTTTTTATAACCTAATGTTTTAAAACAGAACAATAAAATACAACCCCATTTCCAAAAATGTTGGGACGCTTTAAAATGTAAATAAAAACTAAATGCTACGATGTGCAAATCATTTAAACCCTATATTTTATTGAAAATAGTGCAAAGACAACAAATCAACTGTTGAAACTGAGAATTTAAATACGTGCCCATTTTGAATTTAATGCCAAAAACATGTTTCAAAAAAGTTGGGACAGGGGCATGTTTACCACTGTGTTTCATCACCTCTTCTTTTAACAACACTCTGTAAGCATTTGGGAACTGAGGAGACACTGCTGTAGTTTTAGGAGAGCTATGTTGTTCTGTTCTTGCTTAACAATAGATTTCAGCAGCTTAACAGTTCTGGGTCTCCTTTGTCATATTTTTCATTTCATAATGCACCAAATGTTTTCAGTGGTGACAGGTCTGGACTGCAGGCAGGTCAGTTTAGCACCCAGACTCTTTTCATACGGAGCAATGCTTTGTATTACATGTAGAATGTGGTTTGACATTGTCTTGCTTAAATAAACAAGGCCTTCCCTGAAAAAGATGTTGTCTAGATGGCAGCATATGCTGCCAAAACATGTATATTTCGTTCATTAATGGTGCCTTCACAGATGTGCACGTCACCCATGCCATGTGCACTAATGCCCCCCTATACCATCACGAATACTGGCTTTTGAACTGTGCACTGATAACAAGCTGAGTGGTCTTTGTCCCAGAGGACACAGTGTCCATGATTTCCAAAAAGAATTATAAATGTTGATTCATCGGATCACAGGACACTTTTCCACTTCACCTCAGTCCATTTTAAATGAGCTTGAGCCCAGAGAATTTGGCAGCATTACTGGATCCTGTTTATATATGGTTTCTTCTTTGCTTTTTAGAGTTTTAACTTGCATATGTAGATGCAGCGACAAGCTGTTTTCACAGACAGTGGTTTTGAGAAGTGTTTCTCAGCCCATGCAGTGATTTCCACTACAGAATCATGTCTGTTTTTCATGCAGTGCCACCTAAGGGTCCAAAGATCACGGCCAGCAAATACTGCTTTTTGGCCTTGTCCCTTGCATACAGAGACTTTTTCCAGATTCTCTGAATCTTTTAATGATATTATGTACCGTAGATGATAAAAAGCAAAAGTTCTTTGCTATTTTATGTTGAGAAACGTTATTCTTGAATTGTTGCAATATTTGATCGTCTTTCACTGAGTGGTGAACCCCTCCTCATCTTTACTTCTGAAAGTCTCAGCCTCTCTGACATGCTCTTTTTATACCCAATCATGTTACTGACCTGTTGGCGATTAACCACTAGGTGTTTTTTAAGCATTACACAACTTTACTAACCTTTTGTTGCCCCGTCCCATTTTATTTTGAACGTGTTGTTGGCATCAAATTTAAAATGGGCAAATATTTTTCAAAAAAATACAATTTCTCAGTTTCAACATTTGGTATGTTGTCTTTGTACTATTTTCAGTTAAATATAGGGTTTAAACAATTTGCAAATCATTGCATTTTGTTTTTATTTACATTTTACACGTCCACAACTTTTTTGGAAATGGGGTTGTAAAAAGCCTGGAGACGAGACGGGGTGTGTGGAGTCAGTACAACTTAGAAAATGTAACTTCAGTGGATTATGGTACAGTTATGTTCCCTGACTAAAGGTGCTGAGATGTACCCTTGAGGGTATCACCCCAGGGACAGTATGGTACCTTTATTTCTGAGAGTGTATGAATTCTATACTTCTTTTATTTTATTAAATAATTATTTATTAATTCTATATCTTTATTTATATTTTTCTTTAACATTTTAGAGCCCATGTCCTCTGATACTAGATTTTACACACATCAAAAAAAAAGTGCTTTTCTTTCTGTCTGAAACAATATGAGGAGAAGCCTTCTACTGTGAGATTTGACTAGAACTAAAGTCAGAGAAACAAGAGCAAAAAATTTCATTGCACCCAGATTATACAGAGAAAACATTACCACTGATCAGTATTAAACATAATATGTAATAGTATTTTAAAATAGCATTAAAGATCTCCCACCCCCCCATCCTTACCACCTTCTACAGAGGCACTGAGCAGCTGTATTACTGCCTGGTTTGGGAACTGCACCACCTCCGACCACAAAACCCTCCAGTGAATAGTGAAGACAGCTGAAAAGATCATTGGAGTCTCTCTTCCCTCCATCACGGACATTTACACCACACGCCGCATCCGAAAAGCCACCAGCATTGTAGATGACCCCACACACCCCTCACACGAACTGTTATCTCTTCTGCCATCTGGAAGAAGGTACCACAGCATTCGGGCCCTCACAGCCAGACTGTGGAACAGTTTCTTTCCACAAGCCATCAGATTCCTCAACTCCCACAGACTGAACTGATGGACCCAGACACACATACACAACAAATGAAACCATCCCACTCCTCACTTCTTGCATTTCCAGACTATCTAATATACTGTAATAAATAATTATAAATGTAATGTTCACACTGAAATACTGTAATAAAAACAAAGTTGAAACAAATAAGCAAAGTAAATTTTATCAGTTATACTAATTAATCTAGGTAGTCTATTGATTCTTAGGAATTATACTGTATATTCAATAGAAGCCAAACTTTGGAGTAAAGATGAAGTACATAATCTTTACTAGCCATGTGTTTTGGACATAATTGACTTTTCCAATTCTCTGTTCTTCAAGAGCAAGAACCTCTTACACCATCCAGAAAGAATGTGCAAGTCATCAAGTCTGAGCCAAACTATTCTGCTGCATAGAACTCTAGTGTTTGGAACTATGGTGTTCCAAATTAGCATATAAAATCAAAGTCTTTATACTATGATGGTCATGAGGTTAAGGGGCCATTCAAGTATTCTCCTCCATAAGTAGCTTGTTTGGCCAGAGGAGACATACGACTGGATTTGAACACACCCTCCCTGCAGTGACTCAGGAACACCACCCATCTTACTGCTCAACTACAATATCACTTGCCTTGTATGTCTTTCTCTTTTTGGTATCAGCAATACTTCTGTCTGGAAACTGAATCATACACAATGTCTTATGAATTCATAAGAATACCTTTAAATATAACAAAACCGGTTTTGCAAATTCATAAGCTGCAACCCTTCAAGTCTTGGACAGCTATGCAAAGTAAAATAAACCAACTCACCTCCTGCATTCTACACATGTAAGTGGTGATGGGCCTGTGGCTGCTCAGTCCTTATCCATGTCGGTGAGGTTTTGCCTTTACCCATGTTTCCCACATAAGCAGTTAATTGAATGAAGTCTACCCAAACACCATGGCAAGCAAATCTATCCATTCATGCATTTACGTGTATCTTACGCCATCTAGGGGACGTCTCCGGTATGCTAACTACAATGAAATAATTTGGCAAGGAATTGTTAACCTGTTCTTTAGCCATATTCAAAATGTGGCTTTATTTCCAGCTTATACAATAGATTCTTGTCAACAGTCAAACCACACATGAACCAGCCACAACGACAATATTTGAGGAGTTTAAATCTTTTATTTACCAAATAAGACTATATAAAACAGTGTTTATCTGTGTTAATATCACAGCTTAGTTTTGACTTAAATTGCTTACGTCAACTAATCACTGTTGACAGTGTGGATGTTCACCCCTGTGAAACTGTGCTGGATGAATGACAAAAATAAGTGACACCATCATAAAATCTAGTTGCAAGTTGCAGTGCTGGTTCTAATCCAAAATTGAAAGTATATCAAAATATGCTTTTTGTTTCCATTAAATACACAGACAGTAAATCCACTAATCTTATTAGAAAGTTGTGTGATTTACTCCTGGAGGAAACGTAGACCATATTTATTCGAATTGATATGGTATCGCAACAAAGTCTTTAAGGCAACATTTATTAACTGAAAAACACAAAAAAAAAACATTTTCTATAAGTGCTTCTGATTAAATTGCACTGGTCATCAGTGCAAAGTGCCATCATGTCGTGTAATGTTTACACAGACATGTAATATCCGGATCATCTTCCAAATTAAACACAGCAAGTAAACTGTAAGAAAATGTTTTAAAAATGTCAGTTGTACTTTGTTCTTCTCAATGTGCAACATGTTAAATGAATAAATGAAAGCCATAAATCAATATTTATCTAGTTAATGTTTGTGTGCTGCGATCTTTGGTAGTCCCATAGCTCAATGGGACAAGGTTCAAGTTCAAGTTCATAAAGTTAAATTACTTGATACCAAGTTGAGCTCATAGCTCATAGTATCAGCTGCATTCTTACTAACAAACTAGTTTAAATAAAACATCTAAATAATGAAACAAACTAAATGCCACTATTTTAATGAATAAAAACGGATGTTGAAGTATACGGTAATAATACACTTCCATGATTATTTCATCAGTTATGCCACTCAAAAAGTAATGCCACCTACACTATCAATGGCCAAGTGCAAATGCAGGCTTTCCCTCCAGAGAGCCATATTTCACTTCCATGTGCTCTACCAGCTTTTAATCTTCTGACCAGCAGTCTATTATAATATGGTTTCATAAATATAATAAAGCAGATATCATTATTTAGAAAAATAAATACATACAGACTTACTTAAAAAGAGAATTTTTGCTAGCGTCCCTCAAGTAGCATACAAGAGTGATTCAAGTTTACCTAAACAAACTAAACCACTATGGTGGTAATGTATAAAATCTTACCACTAATTGGCTATGGCTACTCCAGGCCTAGGTTCTTTGGTATAAAATAAGTATCAACTTACCAATATTTAGTAATTACCAAAAGCTAATTAGTGCATATCTGATTTATGATAATCTCTTTAGATTTAAAACTAAGTAGCTCAGGTTTTTTTTCTGGTGCTGTTGTACCACTTCCTCAGTGCCACCCCACTAGTACTGCTTATTACACACAGTGCCCCGCCAATGCTCCACCAGGTTGGCTTGCGATTGAGGAAGAGAAACTGCAGGACAAAAGCCAGAACTACATCCATAGTCCTCATGAGTGCCACTGGACCGGCCTTTTCAATTTGCAGGGCTTTGGTCAGGAACGTCTGCCCGGCTATGCCCAAAAGTCCAATGGCCATTAAAGTCCACCTGTCCCAACCGCAGGATGGCACGGTCCACTCGTCCATAATGAACAAGGCCACCACACACTCAATGAACCCCAGCGTCGCATAGTACCAGATGGAGAGGTAGTAATGGGCGTTTTTGCCCATCTTCCTCAGGATGACCATAGTGCAAGCTGCCCCGATAGCCCCGCTGAAAGCAGCCACTGTGCCCTTGATGTGGTTGGTGTATTCGCCTTCGATTCCTGACAGCTCTCCACCGAACAAGAAAGGCGGCCTGGCTATGAGGATGACCCCTGTAAGCGTGAAGACTGTGAAAATTACATCCCAGATGGTACAGCGTTCCTTCAAGAAGATCCAGGCCAGCAGAGCCGTGAAGACCGGGTTGCTGAACATAATGACGGTGGCGTCGGCCAGGGGCATCTGGAGCACAGCATAGTACAGCAGGATCATTGCGCTGGAGCCCAGAACTCCTCTCAGGACCAGGTAGACTCGCATTCCACGTGGTCCCAGGAACCCAGTCCTAAACAACAGCAGGTGCATTATGCAGACATGGCACAAAACAATTCTTTACTGATACTGAAACCTTGAGGATAAGCTAATACCAGACTAGTATTAAGCTTTAAAACTAACCGTTTTTTAATTGAAGCAGTTCACTTAAGATGACCATCCAGAAGTTCCATGCTCAAACACTCTACTACCAATACTACCATAGAGGAATACAAACATAGCCTACATGACTTGTATAAAACGTCATTTATAGTGTACGTATGAGTGCACAATTAGAAAAAAAACTGTAATTATAATAGAATTAGCTAGCTGGTCGATCTTATGTTAACGTTAGGCCACATGTGCCTACTATTCATCCATTCGGTCATGAGTCTTTTTCCGTAAGGCAACCATATTAACGACTGTCTCAATGAGATCACTGGTGAGAAATAAAAGAAAAGTGAATATCACTACTGGAAAAACAGCAACATCTATAAAAAACACAATTACTTCTGATTTATTTGTAGTTGCCATTAGTTACTCATTTAAATGCTTAAACATCGCAGTCAGGGGACAAGACAATTCAAGTCCCCCCACCACCAAACAAATTAAATATTTTTATACGTCTGCTCACGCTACATTCACCTTCCGTTTTAAATCTCTATGGATAAGAGTACAAACCCAATTCAAAAAAAAATTTAGGCCAATATGTGAAATAACAAAAACAGAAAATCTGTTTGATTCTGTATAAAATTGAAAACGGCACAAAAGCAGAATATGGTTTACCTTATGTTTTTTGGAAATATAAATTTATTCAAAATTTGATGCCTGCAACACCTTGGGATAGGAGCATGTTTACCGTTGTGTTACATCACCTTTCCTTTTAACAACTTTTAATAGCCATTTGGGGACTGAAGATATAACTGATACAGATTTCAATACACACTTTTTTGCCATGCTTTTGTTACAGGAGTCTTTAGCTCTGCAACTGTATGGGTCCTTCATTGTTGTATTTTGCAAAAGTTTTCAATGGGGGACAGGTCTGGACTACAGGAAGGCCATCTCTGATTCGCAGACATTCTAACATGTGCAGAATATGGCTTGGTATTATTATAAGCATGAACATCCCTGAAAAAGATGTCATCTTGAAAGCAGCATATTTTGCAAGCTGCCCACTAATACCCCCTCCTTCAACCCAAAGACAGACCCTGATTTTTGAACTTTATGCTGGTAACAATCTGGATGCTCCTTTTTTCCTTTGGCCCAGAGAACACAACATGCATTATTTCCATAATCAGTCCTAAAGGTTGACTCGTCAGACTCATCAGTCCAGAACATTTCAGATGAGCTCCGGCTCAGAAACGTGGAAGGCATTTCTGCACATACGGCTTCCACTGTGCACTCTGTACTGTGTCTTTTTGGAAATCATGGATGCTGCATGCTCAAGGCTAAAGAGGAGAGGGACCATCCTGCTTGTTATCAAGATGGGGGTGCATTGGTGACTTGCACATCTGTGAAGGAGTCATTAATGCTAAACGATACAGGTTTCGAAGCAACATATCTCCAAAATGGTAACTTTACAGGAAAAGAAAAAAACCCACTTTACTTTTAATGTATGTTAATGGAACCAGACATTTTTCCAAGTCCTTTCGGGCCGTTTCTTTTGGTCCTTTCATCATGAAATTTACACACAATGTAAAGGGCAACAGACATTTTCAAATTATGTCAAAAACTGAAAAAGAACAATGGAGATACAAGGTTTTCTTCCGACAGCAGCGATATGCTGCCATCCAGATGATGTCTTTTTCAGAGAAGGTCTTGCCTATTTCAGAAAGACCAAGCCAACCCACATTCTGCATGTATTCCAACAACATGGCTCCGTAGTAAGAGAGTCTGGATGCTAAACTGGCCTGTCTGCAGTCCAGACCTGTCACCCATTAAAAACATCTGGCACGTTATGAAATGAAAAACACGACAAGAGAGATCCAAAACTGTTGAGCAACTTAAAATTAATCAGTATTAAGCAGTATTGGGGAAACACTTCCCTTTCAAAACTACCGCAATTGGTCACTTACTGAGATGCAACAGCAGTAAACTTGCTCCTGTCCCAATTTTTTTTGAAACATGTTGCTTGCAACAACTTTAAAATGGCATAGATTTTTCCAAATTTTTTTTTTTATATTTGTCTTTGTAATATTTTCAATTATTTACAGGGTTTAATTGACTTGCACATCATTTTGTTTTTATTTATATTTGCACAGTGTCCCAACTTTTTCGGAAACAGGGCTGTATGCAGTTGTATTTAGCTAGTACACAGTCTGTCTCTGTGCTCTGTGAAAGCCTGAATATCATTAAAAGTAGTTTAAAACTAGTGATGCTGCTGATTCTGCGCATATAAAAAACAACAAAAAAAAAGAATAAACTGCATATGAATGGGAGAGAGAATATTTGACATTACCTATATTATATATATATATATATATATATATATATATATATATATATATATATATAAAAAAAAACAACTGGTCTAGTTACCCAAGTTATCTAATGTTAGGTAGATGAGTAAGTGAACTGTGTGGACTGTTATGTACTGTTATGTCTATTAGTGCTGAATAGTTTCAATAGTTTAGACAGCTAAATAGCTAAATATTAACTTAAGAGATATCACAGCTTGAACAATGAAGTGATTAAACGCTGTGACATCACATGAAACACATACTATCAACACTTTCCACTGCACTGCATACATTCAGTGATATTTCAGGCTAGATTTCTTGCAGACTCAGATCCTCCGATATCTAATCCAGCATTTTCTACTGGCATAAGGCCTAATACAGATAATGGGTATTGGATCAGTGGCATGTATAATTATACTGATTACGAGTGTATACATCACCAAGTCAACATTCACCAGGGATTACTTGCACTTACTTGTAGTAGATCATAGGTGGGATAACAAACAGCATCTGAAAAAGGCATCGTATTGCACTGATTTCCACAGCATGCATGCCCTCGATTTTCTTTACAAGAAGAGCAGCCACTGAGAAAAATACAGAGGCCAGAAGACTGTACAGGAGACCAAGACCGGGACATGCTGGTTTCTTCTCTGCCGAACAAACAAACCACAAAGAAACAATCAGCCATCAGAGCTAAATTACTGCCCAGCTACCCTTTAATTTTTCTCTTGCAGAAATCTCACTTTCTGTTGAAAATACTTTACCCGTCTCATTTGTGCAGTACATTTACATTGAACATTGCATTTTATTGGCCAAATTTCTGTAAAAATGATGGAAATGGGACACGACAACCTCACTGCTTGACTTGGCTTTGTGGGGTGTGATCAGAATTTTGATTCACAAATGGAATGAAATGAAAGGGTGGGAAGCAGCATGCAGTGGTATTGGCTTATAGTGATTTTGTCTCACTTTTCACATGAAATGATACTGAGCAAACAAAGGCAGCAAGATTTGACGTGATTCACCACCACATGGCGTTGCTACTACCTGTCGGCGAGTTGACCTTGCTCAATATCCCCAAGGTCATGAGCATGCCAAGATTGGACAAGGGCCAAATTGTGTCAACATCCCTTGGACTGACCACAACATGGGGTCTGGAAAAATAACAGAGGTCTGCTGATCAGGGCTTAGACAGAGCTAAGAGTTTCCATCATTCGCAGCTTTACACAGAAAGAGCTATTGTTTCCTGAAGTGACTTGTAGCCTACGACTTTCCCACAAAGCCAGCACTGCAAAGATTGCGTAATGGTTTCATCAATCTCCCAATTTCCTCCTTGGTTAAATCAGCAGAGTATCCTTTAAGCTAAGTGACTAAGCAAAAGGATAGTAAAGGCCTATATCAGTTTACACGTCTATCTCCATGCTTATTAATTTATAGCCCAGAACTCAATGCCAAGCAAGTTAAAGGGGAATTCCACCAATTTTTTAAATTTTCTGAATAATTCAGTCCTAGAGATGTAAGCAAAGTCATTCAGAGTGGATTGACGTGAAATGGTTCACTGTAGATAAACTTCTGTGAGGGAGGCTTTAGAGGTGGACGTCTGGTTCCTATCACCACCATGTCTACACACAAATATGTTCATTTTATCTAATATCCAAAACCACCAGTAAACGTCTTCTTAGTTTTTATATGTAATGTTCACAAAGCTAATCATAAATCCGAAAAATACGTTTTTGGGGGGGACTATTTTGCCTTAGAACATCCTGTGAACACCTGTCTGCCAAGAATAGATTAAAATAAGGGGATTAAAATACATTTTAAGCCAAAACTTCATTACAAAACTATCATAAACAGCGTACCCGACATCAGGCAGCGTATATCTAACCATTTCATGTAATAATTATCTGTGAATTAGCTTTTAGAGGTGGACGTCTGGTTCCTATCACCACCACGTTTCTCTAGAAGGGAGCATTTCACACCAAACCACTCTGAATGAGTCTGTTTACATCTCAACTGTTTGAACATACAGATTTATTGAAAAATCGATGGAGTTCTCCTTTAACCTTTCCATGTGGTACTAAGTCTCAAACTGCAAAGTCATTCTGCACATATTGAGAGTTCGCGGAAAACTACCGATGTAATTAGGCCTGCTGTATCTTCATCCACGTCAGTCTTCAGTTTCAGTATTATTTTGATTCTACATCACCGACACGAACGTGTATTCGCGTTTTCTGAGGCGATATGGAGCATATGGCTCGTCTATTACGGTGACAGACTGCTATGGTTTTATTATCCCATTTATGGTTTTCTAACTACGCAAATGTAGCCATAACGTATAAAATGTCCAGACAGTGTTCTGAGCTACGTTTGTAGGGCTGTAAACCGAGGAGGTCCTCAGCGTAACGAACGGCTCATGTTACCGGCAGGTCACGACAACCGATGTGCGGGCTAAATCCGTTTTTAAAGGTTTAGTCAAGCCACAAGCTACACATTTAAGTCGCTGGTGTGGAGTTAAAAACTATAACGCATTTCTTTGAGGACTGTGACGCCGAATTGGTCCTAAAATATTAATATTTCACTGTTTGTAGAAACATTCAGCGAAACCTTGCTAGCACATTTTAGCTAGCGTTAATACTCTTATTATTTTAGGGAAAGGCTGTTTAGTGCAAGGATTTTAAATGATTAACCGCTACCAAGATGTTCATGTTTTACAGAAAAAAAAAATGATTTATTACAATTTTTCAAACTGTAATATATATATGTGTCATATTAACACCACACACCTTATATCACATTTCATTCCACATGCAGCTAAATCGCTCATTACTAAGCGTCTAATCGAATATACTGAATACAAACTGATCATCCTCGTTTCCTTCTACCTTTCTCTTCCTCTTCTGTTTGTTGTTCCGCGTCCTTCTCTTCTCCGCAGCAACACGACAGCGAAAATATTCGCCTCGAATTGCCGACAGGCCGTGAGTTTTTTGACAATTGTGTACCGACGTCTCCCTCTGCGTTCTCGGTCACCCCGGAGGCTTCCACCTCGCCGGCTTGATGAACCAACACCACGGCCGCCACGTCCTCCTCATCCTCGTCCTCTCTACAAGGCACAACCGACAGAACCGCGTCACCACCATCACCAGCAGCTTCACTCACAGAGACACTCCTGCTCCTGAAATCACCCATGTTAAGATGCAACAGGCGGGCATACCTTGATAAAAGTGACCTGCCCCGCCGTTCCCTGAGGAGTAGCTTAAAACGGAGGAGGGTAAATGATTAACTGTCGTGGGGAGCAACGCGCAAACGTGTCCCTGGTTACTCCGCCAGAGGGAGCCGGCGAGATATTTTGAAAGCCATGTTGAATGACCCCGTTTTCACCACGTGCTCGTGAAAGAATCATTTGTTGTGAACTGAACCGATTCTACTGAACAAGTTCGACTTAATTCTTGTAGCATCTATGCTAATTTTACGTTCGTGTGAAACATAAACAGGGGGTGGTCAGTTTTCTGGGGAGGTCTTCGAAAAACAACACTTCGCAATTGGGAACAACACGCGATTCATTAAGATGGGACACTTTAGAAGGAATCGATTCATTTAACTGAATGAAACTTACCATCTGGAAATTGTTCATTCGTGATTAGTGAGTCATTACATGGAAACGTCCGTATTTGTGTCCCATTTTACAGATATATTACACTTGAAAACATGATAGGGATGCAATTTATTTATATTTTAAATTAAAACAATAAGTTATTTTAACAATTACAGCTTCTTAAGCCATCAATTTAGCAATATTGGTTTTAAAATCAATAAAAGGGTGAGTGCCATATTTTCAGGTAAAAAACATGTTTTTCTACTATTTTAACTACAATAATCTATAAATGACTGAACTATATTATTTGAATGACATTAAAAAAACAAATAAATGCCAAATAAATATTATAAAATATATAATTAAAGGAGTTGTGTTACTGGTGTTACCGCATAACAAAAATCACAGTGATGACATCACTGGACTTCCATTTTACCTATTTTCTAAAGATATATGAAGAAAAGCACAGGGCAAGTTCACTGTGTCTTTTCAGTTATCAGAAATGTTTCTCATTTAGCTCATGATTTCATATGAAGCCCTTTAGTTGAAGTCACTTCTATGACCTACTTTATTCTTAGGTAATTATGAAAAAATGGAATACAAATGGATTAAATGACATATTTTAGTGGATATTCCATGATTGAAACGTGGTTTAAGGCTCTGTAGCAGACATTTTGTAAAATGCATTTTTCATTAAAAATGTCTCTGGTGCTACCTTTCTTATGTGTAACACCAGTGACTCCTATGGATATATAAAAAAGTGGACGTTTCTGTAGAATGACCCTTGTGATTCTTTGTTATCAGGAGTATCGTAATTTAGTACAAAACCCACTTTACGCCTCAGGTTCCAAAGGTGCGTTCCAGTCACCCTCGTAGTTCCCTGCAGAGTGTACCGCACAGGGTTTTCAGACATTTTAAGGGTGATTCCAAACCACGGGGAGTGAAAAAGGTCCGTTTGAAGGGAACTTCAAACTGCACAGGGAATAGTTATGACTTAGTAAGGCATGGGAACGAGATCCTAATGCATGGCCTTGATTGGTAAGGCATGATCTCGTTCCCACGCCTTACTAAGTCGTGGCTACCCATTAGAATCTCATTCCCACATGTTAATAAGGCGTGGCCATGCATTATTTTCATTTATATGGGACGTCAGCAGCAGGGCCATGTAGAAGTCTTTTCCTCTTGGATGGATTCAATGCCTTTTCATGACTTCCAAAAAAGTCTCTTTTTAACTTTACACACTTTCTGTGTTTAGTTTTCTTGCCATTTGTAAAGACCATTAACTACCATAGCAAAGGACAAAATGAAATATGACTTGGGAGCATTTTGTAATCTTACAGACTTTTCCAGTTATGGAAATGAGTGCCTTTAAACTCCGTGCAGACAAAGACAGAACACAATTTGACAATGAATTCTATGTAAATAAAACAAGATATTGTGAAGTTGGTTTATTAGTAGACCTGTGACAAACAAGTAACAAATAACTAAAACCATCTTTCTAAAGTAACAATCACAGAATACTACTAAATGTGAATGTATAACATTAAGATTATCCTTCTAAACTGAATTACATTATAAATGTAGGACAGCCAGTGTGAGAAATCCTGTGAAGTGGACGGTCCATTTTTGTATAAAAATTATAACTTGATTAAGATTACGGTAAAAATGTAAACATTTCATTTGACAGTCTGTTATGATGTCAACAGTTAATCACTTGACCGGTACTTTTCCGCTTTATTATACCTTTAAAGTAAACGTTCCACTAGCATGTGTTTGCAGCGAGAGAATACATAAACAATGGCTGTTGTTTAGCAGGGAGGGTGTAAAAAGAGGAAAACTGAAAAGTGCAGAAAGGATGGTCACAATAGCGAAGGACACAAAGGATATTTCTAGAGAGGCGATCATCTGGAAACATCATTAGCAGACTAGATAATGCAGGTAGTTCTGACAGTGAGCTTATTTACATAACTCTGTTCCTCTTTCAGCTCAGTTTATGCCTTCAGGAGCGTGTGGCGTCACGGACCATGGAACAGGATTGTGGTGGAAGGGGGGTGATTTGGATCAAGGCCTATAGCAGAGGTCTAAGCAGGACTGTAGTTTCAGTCCCACACCCTGCAAGATTAAATCCTGCGTCGCGCACTCCCGCAGAGAATTGGAATTATTTGTCCTGGACCCATCCTGAACCGAAATGTGTTGGCCTGTTTGGTTTCGTCAAGGCGAACTGACATTCAACATCTGACATAGTCTATTCACAAATACATTATTCCTTGCTGAAATAACATGGTAGTTATCACAGGGCTAAACTGAAATATACAACATTTATTTCCAGTAAATGCAAAGCAAGAACCAAACCACAGATTGTTATTTTTTGTATTTTGCTGGGCTTGGCTGCTGTGGTCGTCGGACTGTTAGGCTCCACCATCTCTGTAAGCTTTTGCGTGTTGTTCATGTGGTCGGTTGCTTCGCCACTCTTTAGAATAGCTTCATTCATTCCTTCATCGTAAAATAAAGACACTTAACATGACTTATAGGCTTACTGGATTGACCTATATCAAAATAAAGGCAATAAAAAATAAACTTTACTTAAAAAAGGAGAAAAAAAGAGAGAAAAAAGAAAAAAGGGGAAAAAAGAAAAAAGGATAAAAAGGAAAAAAAGAAGAAAAAAGGAAAAAGAAAAAAAAAGAAAAAGAAAAAACAGCTATATAGTTTATATTTTGGTCAAAACAACGTGGAGCAATCCTCAACCATTATTGATTCACCAAAGAATTAATATATATTGCAAGATATGTCATATGTCACAGTATAATTAGTCCAACAGTAGCGTTTTGTCCATATTGTGGGCTACAGGAAGTGATGAAGAATGAAGTGCTGTAATATGATAACGAACTTCAAATCAAACTCAAGGGAAGCAACTGGAGGCAGGGGGAGGGGATACTGGTTTTAATATCTGGTCCTGCCGATCAAAAACACGTTCTGTGGCCCACATTAATTACTCAGATCGATCATCAAGTGCTCATAAATCTGAGTCTTCCCTTTGAAGCTGGAGGCCAGCAGGAATTCTCGGTTGTCAATAGACACAAAGGAGAAAGCTCTCGGTGCCTGGATGTTCAGCTCCTGGAAATTTACAAAGTTGCCCTTTTTGGAGTCCCACTGGTAGACCTGGGTGAGCGAGTAGTCACTGCCTAGGATGGCATACTGCCATTTGCCAATGGCAATGGGCTGGAAAACCATGGAGCCTCGAGAGGGTATGGTCTGCACTTCAGTAAACATGCCGCCGTCCCACCGCATTACCTTGGAGTCACCAATGAAATGGGTCAGACAGATGTAGAGCTCACCATTGGCCTTGAAATGCTTGACAGCATAGACGTCTTCCATGTCAGGGATATCAGTCTGCCGGTCAAACTGCTTGTGGCCTTTGCTCCACTGGTAGACAACGGGCCGCTGTGAGCTGCTGGACAATATGAGGTGAGACTTGCCGCCAATCTCCAGGTACTCGACATCCGTGTCCCGATACCAGGGGTGCAGGGACTGATGTGAGTAGAAGCCATTGCCATTCCACTTGTACACAGTGGTGGATCCTGCTTTAGAGCTGTCGGCAATGACAAAGAATGACTCGCCGTCTACCTGGAACGTCTCAACGTCATTAGGCTTCCGGATTTTCAGAATGTCGATGTCCTGGATCTTGATGAATTTGTTGGCCAAGATGTCCCGCTTATAGATGTGCGAGCCGCCAAAAAGCTGGGCGACGATGACGAAGAGCTGGTTGTCAATGAGCATTGGTTTGCAAACCACTGTGGAAGTGCCTACAAAGAAACAAACATGAAATAAGTTAAAATGATCACACCACAACGTGGTAAACGTTCTAATAAAAAATACAGATGGCAATCAGTGTTAAACGTGTCTACTGTAGTTTGAGATTATCATACATTACAATATATAACACTCTTACTGAGATCAAACTGTATGGCATTCTGTAAAGGTATCAACTGTGTTAAACTGTAGCTGTAAGAAAGTCTATGATATACTGTTATCTGTACAAATGGACAAAAGTACAAACACAATTCCGTGGTCAAGATGGTTGGGTCTTTTTCCATTTTTATAAATAACAATATGTCATATGTTGTCAAAAACCATATAAGCAGGTCTTACTGAACTGGACACAGTTTGAGGCAAGTGTATGATGATTTAGGCAATTTTTATTTCACTGGTTGATGCTATAAACATCCATTACAATAGCCTTGTACCTCCAGCACAAAACTAAAGAAGGAAACTTCACTATACACCTTGGCTGGCTGAGTACATAGAGCTGGTTCTGGAAGTATAAACCCTATTCGTAATCACTATAGGGAATTTGATTTTTAGTCAAAATGCTTTAACAGTATTATGAAAAAGATATATTTGCCATAAGCTATGAGTTTGACTTCAGTTTCATTTTCAACAAATCATGTTTTATTCTTCCACTCATCACCAAGTAATACACTCCCCATAATCCTAAAGTGAGTTCCACCAATCGGAGGCGAAATTTTTTAACTGCATGGTTTGAAAAGCCACTTAAATTGAGGGAAAGTCATTGTGACATTGTTTAGTCTTGTTTTTTCAGAACTATTTTTGCTCCAAATTTTTATACCGTCATGATTAATCTAATGCCTAAAACTCATTCATGTAAGGATTTTCAGAAATGTCTGTGAAGAAAATGCATGGGTCTCCAGAAGCAGCACTACTGATAATGTGGGCGGTCACTGTTCAGTTTTGGCTGAAGTATTACTTTAAGCATTTTTGTTACTCTCAGATTCATCCACCCTACTATCAGCTGCCAGTATCATCACAGGGACACAACAGCCCTACTATAGAGTGTTTTGGTGGCTCTCACTCTCTATGTTGTCGTAGGCTCTAAACTCCATGTTGACATGATCCCATTCCATGAAACTGCATGTTCCAGCAAAAGGTTGAGCAAACACAGCATACTGATCATTCCCAAAGGTGAAGGCCTCTACGGAAATGGATTCAAACTTGAGGGTCTTGATGGAAACAAACTCTGCAACAGAAAAATGATTGTGGTGAGGGACACGCTGAAGCCAAAAGTTTTTCAGAGACACTCCAAATGGAGTGTTATGAGGAAAGAAAAGAAAAACCAGGAAGATGGCTGTGCAAGCAACCAAAAAACCTACAAATGTTAGTATTTTCTCTGTTAAAAATTACAATAACCATTGTATTATCTTAGTTTAATGTCTTTTTTCTTTTTCTTCACATGTATAAAAAAATCGATAGTGTAGCCTGTTAATGAAGTATTGTTCTTTATTACTTGAGGGTTGTCCCATTTCATAGGTCAGATTTCAACCACAAGACACTCAAAAACAAGGGGTAGGGGTAAAAATCAGAAATGCGATTGGGCCTAAATCTACCAATCACAAGAGGTGCCCACGTACTTTTAGCCATCTAGTGTATGTGTTTGCAGATTATTGGTAAATTCATATTTAATACTGGTATATTATATACTACCAGTGAAACAAAATTCAAAATTCGATTTGACATTGAATTTAATAAGGTGGTGTCTCAATACAATTTATTCCTTGATACAGTAAAAAATTAAGAGTGCCTGAATATGTATGTTGTGTTCATATGTTGATGTTGATACGTTCATGTACCAGACACCAGAAATGGTGCTGTGAAATGCTAAAACTGTGTTTTTCCCAGTGAAGTAATCAAACTCTTTCTAATTGGCTGGAAACCCTACTGTCAGGGTTGATACCATCAGTCTGTGGAAGGATAAATGAGTGAATGAATAAATCAAACAAACAGGCAAATAAACAAATACTGTTTGACGGACTCACGTCTGAAGTAAACGCTGGAACAAATTCCAGCTGCACATTCTATACCAGACGACCACTGTTGGCTTGCAGCTGCTATTCTATTATTGTTAGGCTCCTGTAAACCTTCATGACCACTCAGCACAACTCACCTGGCTGTTTTATGTCTGTTACACCATTGCTCAGCAATATTTGTACAAGGTTGAAATAAGGCATTGTTTTAATGTATATCCACAGCATTTGCAACTCAACAATATCCGTATCAATGTCAGCTGCATGCATTTGATTCAGGAAACGGGAGCTCTTGACAAAAAAATCTTAGCTTCCTTGGACTATTTGTGTGTAGACTGTTTTTGTTTTAAATGAACACAAACACCTAAAGCATCAAAACTGCAAAAAAAAACAAAAAAAAAACATACTCATAGATTAAAAAAGGATTAACTGACTTTTCACCATGACCAACTCTTACAGTGAGTACATTATACAGTGTGATTCAAAAAGATGCATTTGATTTCAAAATGATTTATTTCACTTTTAAATCATTACAGAACAATGCAGTGAACTGTAAATGGTTTAAGTGAGCATAAAGTTTATTATGTAATTTTAAGTGCTCAATATGAACCTCCTCCAGCTGTACAGACAACATCAACACCATAGTCAAATTCATCCCATACTCCATTGAGCATGTCGGGTGTCACTGTACTCACAGCTCTTTCAATGCGATTTCGGAGATCATCCAGTGCTGTGAAACCAATGACGAACGCTCTGAGCTGTTGGAAGTTCACTGCCGAAAATCACGCTGCACAGTTATGACTGATTCACTCTTATTGAAGTGGAGAACGCAGAACTCTTTCTGCTTAGGGGTCTCCATCTCCTCGCAGACTGAAGGGAGCCATCTACTGGGAGCCATCTTCCCCCTCTTTCAATTGGTATGTGATTGGTTCCTAGGCACCTCACGGTTGTAAAAATATGGCGCTTTGAAATCAGATTAATCTTTTTGAATCACCCTGTATAATGGACCACTACAGTTAGATAAAATCAGGAGGGATAAGCAATCAAAAGGAAAGGTAGGATGAGGGAAAGATAATAACACAGAGGAAAGACACACTCAATCTGCAAATAGCTGGAACTAAGACCAATAGGGAGCTCTCAGAGCGACAAAATATTAGAAGCAAAGAAATTACAATTGAATCCATTTCATCAGTCAAAGAGAGAATACAAATGCAATATCTGTCATTTTTAATGTAGGTTAAATGTCAACCATGTGACCTTGACCATCATAAATATGTGTACTGAGATCAGTCCACAAACTCAGGATTGCTCTCTGAATACCAGCCCAGTGTTATCTCACAGATGCTAACATGAGCATAGGCTGAACAGGCCTAGCCTGGTTACAGCTTAAGCCTTACAGATTTCAAATGCTTCCTGTTATATTTCTGTCCAGGACACTTTCACTGGCGTTTGATCGATTATCCAAGTGAATCTGAGATACTGAGAAATATTGTCTTCCTTCTTAGGGCTGGTATTAACAACAGTCCTGAGCGAGAGATGTGATCTCAGATCAGATTTTTCTGTACTTATGATGGTTAAACTGATTCTTCTCAAGGTGTTTTGTGAACATGAACCCTGAAGTTTAGCCTGCAGTGACACTGTCTGCGTCTATACAAGTATACAAGTAATCAGCTATATGTACAATGCATTTGTCTAGAGTTTATCTAGAAGTTGTTATGCTTATAAGCATTATGTGTCGTATGCTTATATGCAGATGAGGCAAGTATCTTTGGAAGGGCCTGCTATGACATAGCGGCCAAGAAATGCAGCCAAGGCTTTGGAACGCAGCTAAGGTGAATACACAGATGATCAGGGCTAATAAACTCCCAATGAAGAGCTAAAGCTCAATTTTAAGGAGCCCAAAACACCATTTGGTGTTTCAGAACACTAATATTTTGGTACATTTTTCACCACTATTACTGTTTTCAAACACTGAGGTCACTGAATTTCAGTACACCATGTACAGATACACAGACCCATGTGTTTCAAGGTACCTTTTTCAGTGGCAGCTCAGTTACCATCAGTTTCAGTGTTTTCAGACAGACACTTTCTTTTAACTGTGTAGGAAAACACACTGGTTTAACATATAGTGGTATTGATAAGATCAATCTAAAATAAAGCATCTTGTATCCTTGGGTGGTTCCTGACTTCTCACTGTAGCTCTGTGCAAGTTATCATCAAGTTTCTCGGGGTTCGTTATATCAATCATTACACTTTCTAAAGGTTTTTATCTTTACATGTGTGGCAGCATTAACAGCAATGTCAGGAATGTGTGAAAGGAATGGCTCTTCACCTGCCGTTATGCAGTCAAAGGACTGTGGCACCAGGTCATTGATCTTCTTCCCCTGATAAAGTGGAGGCCCGCTGCAGTATATTTGGTCCACTGTTGCGTTGGTATTATACATCCATTCGATCAGCCATTTCAGCTTACAGTCACAGTTGAACATGTTTCCTCGAAGATCCCTGTTGGAATAGATTGTCCGGTGAAACCTTGAACATTGTGTAGGCAGACTGTATGTCTGATTGTGGTTGTCCCAATTTGTGAAAGCTGAAAAACCTACACTTTTGTTAAGGCATCCATACCCTTGAAAACATCTTTGGGTAATGTCTCAAGGTTATTATAGGCAAGGCTCCTGATAAAAAGTTCAAACCAAAATATTAGTGTATTTAAATAAATAAGAATTGCAATAAAGTACACAAGAACACTGTTATACTTACAGATGTAACAGGGATTTCAAACCTCTGAAGGCCTGAGGTGATACTGACTCGATTTTGTTGTTTTCAATAAACCTGAAATCAAGTGCTGTAGTTACTTTCACTTGCATAATTGTGTTTACTGAAGGGTGCATTTATTTAACTTCTAGTAAAAATAACTTATATACACAGTTTTCATTTCTCTGGAGAAATGGATTTCTGAGATTAGATACAAGATAAATCAGTTGCATAAGAAAGAGGAAAGGAAAACAGATACAGAGAAAATAGGATTCCTAAACAATGTGCAAGATCTAAAAGGAAGTGCACCAAATAAATGAAGCAGTAATAAAGGCAAAGGATGAACATACTTAATATTGAAAAATGTGCAATCATATTTAGTTGTTAAGGCTTCTGTGGACCTTTCTATTAAATATGTTTTCTGCTATTTTTCTGATGCTAAAAATGAATAATTTGTACTTAATAGCTGCTCTGACTGGAAATTACATAAATGAAGGGTTTTGTCTCTGACTTTTGCACAGTCCTGCACATGAGAAGCAATAAATGCCGATTCGACTCACAGATATTCCAGATGTGGTAGTCCCTGGAAAGCATCTTCATCAATAGACTCAAACGAGTTTGCTGTAAACAAGCTGTAAGCAAAATCAAAGCTTTAGTTAGCAGCGTCACATACATGCGTTAATGTTTAATATCCCCTCTAAACTTTGGGGTTTTAAGCAATTGTTTGATAAAAAAGTTCCCTATGAATGTGGCAGTACGGCAGACGAAGACGGCAATAATTAATATTACCACCCAATTTCCAAAAAGTTGTGATGCTGTAAATAAAAACAAAATGCAATAATGTGCAAATTATGTAAATTCTATATTTAATTGAAAATAGTACAAACACAACATATCAAATGTTGAAACCCATTTTGAATTTGATGCCAACAACACGTTCCAAAAAAGTTGTGACGGGGGCAACAAAAGGCTGATAAAGTTGTGTAAAGCTTAAAAAATACCTGGTGGTTAATTGGCAACAGGCCAGTAACATGACTGGCTATAAAAAGAGCATCTCAGAGAGGCTGAGTCTTTCAGAAGTAAAGATGAGGAGGGGTTCACCACTCAGATGATCAAATATTGCAATAATTCGAGAATAACGTTTCTCAACATAAAATAGCAAAGAACTTTTGCTTTTCATCATCTGCAGTACAGAATAACATTAAAAGATTCAGAGAATCTGGAGAAATCTCTGTATGTAAGGGAAAAGGCCAAAAACCAGTATTTGCTGGCAACGATCTATGGCCCCTCAGGTGGCACTGCATTACAAACAGACATGATTCTGTAGTGGAAATCACTGCATGGGCGCAGGAACACTTCTGAAAACCATTGTCTGTGAAAACAGTCCATCGCTGCATCCACAAAATGCACGCTAAAACTCTAAAATGCAAAGGAGAAACCACATATAAACAGGATCCAGAAACGCTCCTGATGGACTGAGGTGAAGTGGAAAAGTGTTCTGTGGTCTGACGAATCAACATTTGAAATTCTTTTTGGAAATCATGGACACTGTGTCCTCTGGGATAAAGACCACTCAGGCTTGTTATCAGTGCACAGTAAAAAAGCCAGTATTCATGATGGTATAGGGGTGCATTAGTGCACATGGCATGGGTGACATGCATATCTGTGAAGGCACCATTAATGCTGAACAATATATACATGTTTTGGCAACATATGCTGCCATCCAGACAACGTCTTTTTCAGGGAAGGCCTTGATTATTTCAGCAAGTCAATGCCAAACCACATTCTGCATGTATTACAACAGCGTTACTTCATATTAAAAGAGCCGGGTGATAAACTGGCCTGCCTGCAGTCCAGACCTGTCACCTGATAACATCTGGCACATAATGAAATGGAAAATATGACAAAGGAGACCCCGAACTGTTGAGAAGCTGAAAACCTATATCAAACAAGAACAGGAAAACATTTCAGTTTCAGAACTATAGCAGTGTCTCCTCTGTTCCCAATTGCTTACAGAGTGCTGATAAAAGAAGAGGTGATGAAACACAGTGGTAAACATGACTCTGCCCCAACCTTTTTGGAACTTGTTGTTGGCATCAAATTCAAAATAGACACATTTTTTTCAAAAAACAATAATTTCTCAGTTTAACATTTGATTTGTTGTCTTTGTACTATTTTCAATGAAATATAGGATTTAAATGATTTGCACATCATTGCATTTTGCTTTTATTTACATTTTGCACAGCTTCCAACTTTTTTGGAAATTGGGTTGTATTAATAAGAGTATCAATAAAGTATCAGAATCGATAAGCAGTATCTGTATCGATCAAATCCTAATAATACTCATCCCTAGTAATCGATCTTCTGGGTGGGACTGATCAGGATTTTGGGATTCCGTTCCTATTCCAGCACCCAGACCTGAAGGCCATTGTTCACTGGTTCATTTTAAACGCTGGCCCATCATGCCAGTAGTTCATGACTAAACTTACTGTGTTTGAATGTGTTTTTGTCCCAACACTCTCGAGGTTCTGGGTGCCTCGGTGTCAACGAAACACTTAAGTATTTGCTCATCACGAGGTTAAGGCAATGGCCCCTCTATTGAGCAGCCGCATTGCATAATTTCCACACCAGCTTTAAGCACTTCAGAGAATTGGTCACGGAGCATAATGCCCCATAGAAAACCCTCTGAGGGGAGGGAACAGGCAGTGATCGGCCAGTACAGACATCTCAACACTTAACATGGCGATCAGCCTTTTATAATTGAGACCACGTAAAACAATAACAAATGACCATCTAACGTTACTCACAGGAGCTGAAGGGACGGCGTGTGAAGGAAGCTTCCCGCTGCAATTTGGCTGAATCCAGACTTCACAAATGATCTGTTGGCAGTAAAACAAAACACCAAAACAGCATTAAAACACGAACAACGGAGCTTTTAGCTTTCGCTTCGATTCAAACGTCTTGCCTGAGGCTCTCAAGCGTCCACACGTGCTGACGGCTGCTTGTATAGCGGAATACGTGCAAGGAAAAACTCACAAGGAGACGACGTCTGGTGGGAAGCTGTGAGGAACGGATCTGAGGTTTTCACACAACGCATTATCTTTGGTGCAAGTGCATCCCTGCGGGCATCTCGGCTGCTTTCCTCTTCGGCTCTCGGCTAAGAGCAAGCTAAAGGCGAGCCACAGAGCCAGAGAGAGACGCTTTGCACGGAACACCATTCCGCCGCGGTCTTTTATCCCCAGAGCCGGTGGAAATGTGGAGGGGTCGAGCTGCTGGGATGCACCTCGGTATTCAACTGCGAAGGAGACTTAAATCAAACGGGTTTGTGTTGGATAATGAATGCAGAGGCGAGGCGCCCATCCGAGCGATTCGTTCCAGAGAGGCTGGTCTCGGCCACATGAGCACAGCGAGACTCCAGCTTAGCGAAAATAAGTCCGCATCCACAGCGAACAATGATCAAATCTAAATGAACTGAGTGACTAGTGTGTAGAAATCCCAACCACGCTAATGTTTACTGACGTATCAGATACAATATAAAGTCGAAGTTGCGCAATTGTCGCCGGAGATGCGCGCACGAGGACGACCAATGGGCTGTTTTTGTTTCTGCAGCAGCTCATGAATAAGTGATGAAGGCTGATTAGAATATTCATGAGGATGAAACGCACCTGTGTCCATGAGACAGGGGGAGGGTAATGTGAGCGTCTTTATTCCCACTGCCGTTGTTCTTTCTCGTGGCCTTCACAGGAGCAAAGAATACAAATAAAAGGTACAATAATAAAGATAAAATGTATGTAAAAACATGTTGTTATCATTATTATTATTATTATTATTATTATTATTACTATTATTATTAGTTGTTGTTGCACTACTAGTAGTATTGTAGTTTATATGAAAATAATCATGGAATAAGAATTATTATTGTGATATGATAAAAATATGAACGTTAATTAAATACAGTCAAATTATGATGTAATTATTATATAATGTATAATATAATGTATATCATGATGATATAATGATTACATAATTTATGTTATAGATATCACATATTATTATACATTTATTGTTATTGTTGTTTTAATATAATAATGATGGTATAATAATTTTATACAACAGGCTATGCAGCACTTTAATATTTTATATGTGGCAGTTATGGAGACCTCTGTACGGACTGCTCTTTGTTCAGCTTCTTTGTTTGAGAACAGTAAAGTTTCTGTCCAAATGTTTAATGTGCTGCTGTTCTCTTCATCTAGGACAGTTTACAGAATAAGACACTGGCTGTTCTGCTCTTACAACAACGCTCCCAAACCCCTGACTGATTCCTTTCGATTTGTGACAAAAACAAGACTGTATAGTGTATAGGTTTGTTTCTGGTTGCTAAAGCGTTAGAATATGTCAGAGTGAGTGAAAAAGACCTGCATATCCACAAAAAAATATACGCTAGATAGCCTATTTATATCATTAAACTCAAAGCATGTTCTTTATTAGTAACCACGTTATTATACTCCATGGACGTCACTAGAGGTTTATGGATGGGGGCTAAGTTTGTACTGGGGGGGGTTTGGGGGAAATTTTTTTTAATGGCACCAAGATGTTTGTTCATGAGCTTTCAGAGTAGCACCAGTGAGAAAATCGATCAAAAATGGCTATTTGGTCGAATTGGCACACAGTATATCTGTCTCTTTATAGTCTGTATTAAGCACAGAGCTGGTATGACTTAAATACAATATTCATCCACTTATAGACAAAGATCAACCAAAGGTACTAAAATCAGGCAAGTCTATCTCCTCTCTCTTACAACTCCAGTTCCAAAAAAGTTGGGATGCTGTGTAAAATGTAAATAAACATGAATAAAAACAGAATGCAATGATTTGCAAATCTCATAGACCCATATTTTATTCACAATAGAACATAGAACACATATCAGATGTTGAAAGTGAGGCATTTTACCATTTCATGAAAAAACATTAACTCATTTAGAACTTGATGGCAGCAATGCATCTCAAAAAAGTTGGGATGGGAGCAACAAAAGGCTGGAAACATATGTGGTATTAATAAAAAAACAGCTGGAGGAGCAATTTGCAACTAAGTTACATGACTGGATATAAAATTTTAAGAAGGCAAAGTTTATCAGAAGCAAAGATGGGCAGTGGTTCACCAATCTGAGAAAAACTGCATCTAAAAATTGTCGAACAATTTCAGAAAACTTTTCCTCAATGTAAAATGGAAGACTTTGAATATCCCACCATCTACAGTACATAATATCATCAAAAGATTCAGTGAATCTGGAGAAATCCCTGTACGCAAGGGACAAGGCCGATGGTCAATATTGGTTGCTTGTGATCTTCAGGCCCTCAGACAGCACTGCATTAAAAACAGGCATGATTCTGTACTGGAAATCACTGCCTGGGCTCAGGAACACTGAAAGCTGTATCATGCAAAGAAGAAACCATATATAAACAGGATCCAGAAATGCCACCAACTTCTCTGGGCCCAAGCTCATTTAAGATGGACTGAGGTGAAGTGGAAACGTGTCCTGTGGTCCAATAAATCAAAATTTGAAATTCTTTTTGGAAATAATGGACACTGCATCCTCCAAGCTAGCACGCAATACCTCCCAGCTTGTTATTAGCACACAGTTAAAAAGCCAGCATCCATGAAGGTCCAGACAATGTCCCTTACAGGGAAAGCCTTGTTTATTTCAACAAGACAATGCTAAACCACATACTGCATCCATCACAACAGCATGGCTTTGCAGAAGAAGAGTTCGAGTGCTGAACTGGCCTGCCTGCAGTCCAGACTTTCACCAATAGAAAACATTTGGTGCATCTTGAAATGAAAAATCCAGCAATGAACAACCAGGACTGTTGAGCAGCTAGAATCCTACATCAGACAAGAATGGGACAACATTCCTCTCCCAAAACTCCAGCAATTTTCTCCTCACTTCTGAGATGTTTACACACTGTTAAAAAGAGGGGATGCTACACAATGGTAGACATGATGCTGTCCTAACTTGAGATGCGTCGCTGCCATCAAGTTTTAAATGAGTAAATGTTTTTCATGAAATGGTAAAATGTTTCACTTTCAACATCTGATATGTGCTCTATGCTCTATTGTGAATAAAATACGGGAGATTTGCAAATCATTGCATTGTTTTTATTTATATTTATTTACATTTTACACAACGTCCCAACTTTTTTGGAATTGGGGTTGTAGATACGCTGCAACATCCTAAAAATATTATACAAATACATAGTATAGTATAGTTCAGTTCAGTCTCATATAGTGTGATTTCACTCTGTAGGCATGTTTAATAAGCTAGGCAATACAATTTCATTGTCATGGTGACAAATATTTTCTCAGTTAGGTTCAATTAATTATGGTATACATTTTATTTGAAAGCTTAAACAACTCTCCCTCGCTTTCTTCTTAATTACTTACCTCCATCAGATCTGCTTCCTCAGACATGTCGGTCTCCTTCAGCTTCTTTCTTGCTCTCTCTCTTTCTGTATTTAGTAACACATTATTTTTTAAATTAAACTCAGATTGACAAGGACTCAGGGGAATAATGAGAGATCAGTCAATAAACTTTTGGTTTGAACTGGTAAAATTCTCATCTGACTGGGCTTTGCTGCAGCCTCTTAATTTCAATCTACAGGTTGAGGAAACTTTTCACTACAATTAACTTACAGTAAAAAAAATAGTGTTATAAGCTGTGTCCCAATTCAGGGGCTGCATCCTTCAGCGGCGGCATTTGAAGGCCGATTGCATCACAGCGGTGCGACTAGGCTGTCCCATTTCGAAGGCTCATTCATATGCGGCCAAGAATCCTTCACCAGCCAACATATCCTGAGGTTCATTGCATGTTGGCAAAGATTCGAAAACACGGCGGAATCAACAGAGGAGTGAACAGTGGCTGAGGAAACACTTTTAAAAGTAAGTATTGGGTTTAAAATGAGTCGAATAGCTAATGATACAGATGTTAAAAAAAGCCAATGAGGTCTGAAGCAAAGCTTATGCTGATGTTTTGTTTTGTTTTAGGAAGCAAGGAGCAGACAGAGAAAAGCATCTCCAGCTCTAATAAATAAAAAAAATAAAATAAAATAAAATCAAAGTTTTTGGCTTCATCTTTCAAGAACTTTAAAATAACTTCACAAGAGTGACGTTTCATGACGCAACGGTTAGGGCAGGAACCGCGGTGCTATGATGCAAACTGCCGCAGAGCAGACCGTCTCGTTTCAGTTCAGCCTTTGCGGGTCTATTTGGGAAAGGGGGCTAAAGCTAAAACTGGCCTAGCTTCTAACATGGAAATTAAGGAAAAACACAGGAACCACACTGAACATTTCACAGAAATACTGTGTGCCCATTCTTTATTTTATCGTATGTTACACCACACGCCAACTCCGACTTTGATCCAAAAGATCTCACGTTAATATAATACATAGCGACCTTGCAAGTGAACAAGTAGACCGTAATAATAATATTATAATAAAGTCAGAGACTGTCACGATCAATGGGAGGAAATAGACAGCTGTCTTGGTTTTACAGGTCTTAGTTTTATTAGAAAAACAGTTTCCCACTTGGAGGCACTACATAAATATCCTTAGTTGGATGATGTCAGGTACATCTAAATTTTCAGTGCAGCATGAATTGGTCAAGGTTTTGGCCTGGGACCGAAGCAAACTTGCAAACATGCTATCAGTGGTGTGGAATCAAATAACAATGTACAAACCAGCAGCTATTTGAACTAGAAAAACTGAAGAGTTTGGGCCATAAGTACGAAAACTCAGTCAAACTTTTACAATAATTCTACTTGTTGCTAGCCCCCTATACAGTTTCTAACAGTATGTTAGCACTAAGCTAATGTTGGCACACTTTAACAATTTATGGTCATTCCATATTTAACATGGACACTAAAGCTTATAAAATCCATATTTCTATTTGAAGCTGATTTCATTGTCACGTCCTCGTCTTGGTTGTTGATCAAACATGTAATCACACTTTCAGATAATGTGCACTTCGCTCACCATGAGGATGCTGCTGGGCACATACCGCTGCTTCGCTCACTGCTGGGTTCAAGTGTGCTATGTCACACACTGTGGATTAGCAGCAAAAAAAAAAGAAAATAGATTCAAGAAACATTATTTTCCCGCTAATCAATATGTTATTGATGCCTAATCTGGCCCGCAGGCCTTGTGTTTGACACATGGGGCCCCATCAATGGGTGGGCTAGCTATATGGTGATTAGACAGTTGCTGCAGTACTTGCAGACAACAGACATGATTATACTAAAGATAGCATTCGACTGACATCACGCTTGTTGCAGCCACCATATTATTGACATACAGTCAACGCAGTGCTGACAGAGCCTTACAGCCGCTCGCAGAGTCACAGAGTGCTGTAGTGCTCCCTGAAGGCCAGTCTGGGTCAGATTTTGCCTTCCTTATCTGAATCTCTGTTCATATAACAGGTTTACATTTTGAGACAATGAGACAACATTCGAGCTTTGGTACTGTAATTCAGACGAGCCAAGGCTGCAATGATTTATTAATATGTGGCAACTATGATGGGCAAAAAAACAAACATTTTTGATAATTATTTACCTACAGATACCAGAGATTGTTTTAAGACCAATTTTGAAATGATTGGATAAAAATGCTAAGACTAGTTTTATAATGGGCTGTTTTCAAACAGTTTATGTTGAAAGAAATACATTTTATGAAAATATTTATAATTGCAAAGTTATTAGGCTCACTAAATTGCATTATTTGAATCCAGTTTCATGCACTCAAGTGAAATGATGTAGGAGACATACTTTATTAGACTGTTGGAAAATTGAGAACCAACTAAGTGTCCCTACATAAACACACTATTAAAGTTTCATGATGATTGGTCAATGGTAAGCCTGCGCAATGCATGCTGCATGTTGATTGGCTAATGGTGGCCACAGTTTTCCAATTATCAGGTCATCTTTAAAAACCCACTTTTAAAAAGCTCAAAGATGCAGCACACAAAACATTTTCAGCTTCATCAGATGTAGGGATGCTGAGAAACGAGCTACTGAGCTTAAATAGCACCCCCTACTGACACACAAGAGCCAAAATTGGCAGGCTTACTCAGAATTGTTTCACACAAAAGCCTTTCAAGTTTTATTAAAATCAGACCATGCCTTTATGAGTTTTTGTTGTTTCAGTCAGCAACACTCTAATCCAGAGAGATTATCTGGCATGTGGCAGCCTTGTTGTTTACAAAGGTCAATATTTGTAATTATTAAAGGTTCAGGGTCTTGCAGATAGTTTGATACCAGTGTGAGGATTGGATAAAAAACTTAGGACAGGTTTGCAAAAGTAGGCTTCGCAAAAATTTTGAAATTTTAAGTTTTTTAATGAATTTTGAATTTTAATGAAAGTTTGTAAGCCTTACAGTGTAGGCCTATTGATTTGATTATTCCGAGTATCAACAAAAGGTGATTAATGTGTTAAATATATTCTTATTCAAATATTTACTTGTTCAAAAATATAATTTAGGACCTGGGTAGCTTGCAGTGGCTTTAGTTTCTCTGCCCTCCTCTGAATATTCATTGTAATGTCCATGCTTTGTTTAATGTCTGGTGAAATAAATTCATAATGGTTTTTGGACATATGAGGCACATGCATTTACTGTGGCTTTCAATGCAAAAGTATTCAAAATGCCATCTCACCAAAATCGCTAGTTCTCAATGTTAAGTGCCTTACGGTTGTATTCAGTAAATGAAGTTGCAGGTACAACGTCTTGGCTGTCAGGCCACTTTTAACACATTGTAAAACAGAAACCATGGGCCAATTAAAATCTGTCTGCGGGCCACATTTCACCCTAGGGACAGACTTTGGACACTGGAGGGAGTACTACCTATTGACCAAGTGTCATGTACGTACATTTGTAGGTTTACTGTACAAGATTCGTATTAGGGGAAAAATTATGCAAATCTGAACAGAGCAAAGTACTATGGGTCCAATTTGGATGGAATCTTTGGATGTAACGAGTAACGTAAATATCCCATAACGCTGTAATCTACGGGGATGTTTAACATACAGAGAATACTCAGATATTTCGACATTTTCTTAACAGAAAACACAAACATTCTCATCCAAATAATTTTTTTTTCCCTAGATCATTCATTAACCATTCTCGTCGATCTTCAAGTAATATGTTCACTCGAGTTGAGGATATGGCTTAACTGTAGATCTGCAGCACCCTTCTGTCTTACGTCATCATTTTGCGCGCGCGAACAAGGTGGTCTGGCGTCGCGTAAACATAGACGAGGCACAATGAACCAGAGCGAATTCAATCTGCAGAAGGTGGTTATAATATCTCATTTAAAACGATTCTGTTGTCGGAAATAATATAATAATATAATGTTCGAATTGTTCGTACCAAGAATATGCTTCTACTTCAATGTTTGACTTTTGAATAAGGTTTAAAGTGCAGGTTTCACCCTTCCTCCTGTGTCCTGTGTTTCTGTAGTGTAAGCTTGCATTGAATTTGTCCAAGTCTAAGGGTTGTCACGCCTCAAACTCTTTGGGCTTCGAGGCTACATTTATCTTACCCAGCAAACACGGTTATGTTGTGACAACATTGTGACAACCTATTGTTTTGGTGTCCCAACGTTGTCACAACGTCGAAATGTGATTCCTCAGGAAGTTGTGAGAACGTTATCTGGCAGCGTTCTAGGAAGCTGTAGCTTAACAACGAAATGGCAGCGTTGTCAATATGCTGTCAGAACCTCCTAGAGCCCTTCATATGTTCCTTTATGTTGTGCGTAGAACTCCTTTTGTTTTGCTGAGTATGGACATTGACTCAGACTCAGCTTTAGCGAATTCAAAGCTATTAAGTTGCACCAACATTGTAATCTTGTGGATTATTTGCTGATGCAACATTCAATTTGCGGCTGGCTAATTTTAGTTAAGTCCTAATATTGTAATATTTTGATCATATGGTGTATGTTTGGGTTTTACGTTTTATGTTGACCTTCATAGTGTACAGATACAGTGTTACTGCAGGCCTTGTCAGTCTGTGTTGGATTTCTTGTGCTGATGTGAGCTTTTAGTAGCTTGATATAGTTAAGATGTCTCTACAAAGATGACAAAACATTTGAGGTCTTTGCAAGTTTTTTATCCTTGCAGCTCACTGACTCTATCTGATCTTAGAGTGAACTGAGACACAAAAGAATCCTGATTAGTTCATTAACATCTATCACAGAAAGAAGGGCACAAACTGATGCCATCATCTCATATAAATGAGTGCTGTATTCCTTTTAGTTTAAACTGATTCTGTTCTAATTCTAGTACTTGGATTGAAATGTTTATAATGTTATTCTTTATAAGAAATGCACTTATTGTTCTATTACTGTTTCACTAGTTGTAATGTGCTCTAATTGTATTGTTCTGTAGGTACATGGAAGTGGTGGATATGACTCAGATTTCAGTGATGATGAAGGTGGAGGAGGATCACAACATGGACAAAACAGGTGAGATTTTTGTTTTTCTTTTATATATTTTGGTGTGGAACAGTATGCAAGAACTAATCATGGCTGGGCCATCACATTCAAATACCTGTTCAAAACAAATCAGACTTGGGCTGAAAGGGGATAACTTATTTGCAGTCATTTTCTGTAAGTAGGTAGATTGGAATAGTACCTGCAGCACAAATTTGCATGAATTTCAGAAAACAGCAAGCAGCCCAGGTGTGACTATCCATATCACACACAACGGTTTCCTATGCCTTAGAAATGTCAACTGGTACAAAAATTACACTGATGCATTTTTTTTTTGTATTACAGAAAATATGAAGACGAGCTGTTGCAGAAGCCATTCCAGCGAGGAAAACACACGAAGGTCGCACATAGAAATGTGGCTGCTGATGAATGGGACAGGTATAAGCAGAATAATAGAGTGTGTATTTCTGTTTGAAATAACAACTTGACACGTTTATAGATAAGCGTATGATTATTTAGACATGCAGTTCACATGATGTGAACTGGTGGCTAAAAGCTTTCATTCAAAAGCCTCACTTGCCTAGGTTACGGTCAATGTACACGATTCCACAATAAGAAAGACATTGGGCAAAAATATTGTCCATGGGAGAGTTGCAAGGCACAAACCACTGCTGACCAAAAAGAACACGAATGCTAGTCTTACATTTGCCAAAAACATCTACATCACCCCCAAGACTTTTTGGATAATATTCTGTGGACCGATAAGTCAAAGGTGGAACTTTCTGGAAGACATGGACCCTGTACATTTGACGTAAAGCTACCATCGCATTCCACCATAAGAAGATCATACCAACAGTCAAACATGGTGGTGGTAGTGTGATGGTCTGGGGCTGCTTTGTTTCTGCAGGACATGGACGACTTGTCATAATTGATGGAACCATAAATTCTGCTCTCTATCAAAAAAAACTGAAGGTGAATGTCCGCCTGTCAGTTTGTGACCTAAAGCTCAAGCACAGTTGGGGTATGCGGCAGGACAGTGATCCGAAGCACACAAGCAAGTCCATCTCTGAATGGCACAGAAGAAACAAAATTTAAGTTTTTTTAGTGGCCAAGCCAAAGTCCTGACTTGAATCCCACTGAGATGCTGGGGCAGTTTATGCTCAAAAACCCTTCAGTGTAGCTGAATTAAAACAATTATTTTAATTTGTTAGCTATATTAGCCTTGTAGCAAAACTAGAGAATCAAACTGTTGATGTCATGGCTGAGCAACCACATTTGCAGAATTTTGTGAATTTCTTTAATTATGTTACCCTGCTCCATGCTAAGGGTGTTTTATATCTCATCACAGAGAGGAGGCCAGGAACCGACGACATCATCTCATATCAATGAATGCTGTATCCTTGGAGCTAACACTGATGGTTCAACAAAACATTCTCAGTGCCTCTCTGATTCATTTTTGTTTTATGCAGCCATTTCCCATGTAGAAGGCAGACAAGGTGTTTATACAGCTTAATAATTTAATGATTCAGTGTTCTTAAGGCAATAGTCCTGTTAAGGAAAGTGTTCACGTAGACTTGTTTGCTAAAATGATGCATTCATTCAGTATTAGGTCAGGGCCCATGTTAACTGTGTTGTGGTTGTGGAGTGTTGACTTACAATTGCTAACAATTAGGTTAACCTGCATCAGTTTTCATAGTGTAAGGTGATTGATGCATATGACCCCAAGGCTGTGTAATTATTGCATACAGTTTTTGCAGAGTCTTTAATCCTTGATGCCACATCTTCAGTTTGATAGACATAAGAAGTTTGTCAGTGATTACATTCTGTACTATGGAGGAAAGCTGGAAGACTTCAAAAGATCCTTGTGAGTAGGTTGTTCTGTTAACTGTTCTGACAGAAGCCTTCTTTCACTTGAGTTTACACAACTTGATGTAAGATAAGCCTGTTTGTAATGAATCAGCTTAGTGCGAACTGTATGCAGGGCTTCAGATAAGACTGATCTGGATGTGGTGAGAGAAAACCATCGCTTTCTCTGGAAAGATGAGGATGAGGAGGATATGACATGGTAAATTTCAATAACCTTCATATAATCAAGTTAATTTATATTTAAATTGCCTTTTCATGCATTTGACAAGTATAACAATGATACTTTTTGTAGGGAAAAAGAGCTTGCAAAAAAGTATTATGATAAGCTCTTCAAAGAGTACTGTATTGCGGACCTCAGCAGATACAAAGAAAATAAGGTATGTGTCTTCTTTGCCCAAATCACTGTCTATATTATAGATATACAAAACATTTATAACATTTTCAATTTTCTCCCTTGTAGTTTGGATTTAGATGGCGTATTGAAAATGAAGTAATATCAGGAAAAGGTCAGTATGTTTTTTTCCTCATAAAGCACACCCGAGATACTGCCACCATCCTTACCTGAGCAGGGCACAGATGGATGCAGTTTGATTCTGTTTATTGGTTCTAGTTTAATATATTTAATGTCAACACTGCTGTTAGCTATGAAATCACTCATGAGTCCATTGAAACCTACTAAACCCATTGAAAGCTACTAAGTAAACCAGTTAACCAAATTCAATTGACTACTGGGTTCAGTTTCACTAGCCACACCCAGGCATGATTACTGACAGACCTGCTGAATCTAAACATTACTTAAATAGAACCTATCTGGCAATGTGAATCAGGTTAGAAGGTCTCAAAAAACAGCACATGATACCACACACTAAAGAGATTCAAAAACAGATGTGAAATTGTGTCGTTGAAATCTATCAGTCTGGAAAGCGTTGCAAAGCCATTGCTAAGGCTCTGGGAATCCAGCGAGCCACAGCGAGAGCCATAATCCACAAATGGATAAAACTCTGAACAGTAGTGAACCTTCCCAGGAGTGGCTGGCCTTCCAAAATGTCACCAAGAGCTCATGGACAACTCATCCAGGAGGTCACAAAACAACCCAGACAAGCATCTAAACAACTGCAGGCCAGGCTTGCCTCAGTTACAGTCAGTGTACACGATTCCACAATAAAAATGACACTGGGCAAAAATGGCATCTATGAGAGAGTTGCAAGGCACAACCCACTGCTGACCAAAAGAACACAAAGCCTAGTCTCACATTTGCCAAAAAACATCTAGGTGACCCCCAAGCCTTTTTGGATAATATTTTGTGGACTGATGAGTCAAAAGTGGAACTTTTTGGAAGACATGAGTCCTGTTACATCTGGTGTTAAGCTACCACTGCATTCCACTATAAGAACATCATACCAACAGTGAAACGTGGTGGATCTGGACAACCTGTCATAATTGATGGAACCATGAATTCTGCTCTCTATCAGAAAATTCTGAAGGTGAATGTCCACCCCAGTCAGTTTGTGACCTAAAGTTCAAGCACGTTTGGGTTATGTGGCAGGACAATGATCCGAAGCACACAAGCAAGTCCATCTTTGAATGGCTCAGAAGAAACAAAATTAAGGTTTTGAAGTGGCCAAGTCAAAGTCCTGACTCGAATCCCACTGAGATTCTGTGACAAGACCTTAAACGGGCAGTTATGCTCAAAAACCCTCTACTGTAGTCGAATTAAAACAGTTCTGCAAGGGAGATTAAGAATTGTGTAATTGTGGCATGCGCAAACTTTTGTACACGCTACTAAGTCAGTACTTGGTGACACCCTCTTTGGCAGATACCACAGCTTGCAAGAGCTTTTTGTAGCCAGCTAGAAATCTTTCTGTTCTTGTTTTAGGAATTTTATCACCCACTCTTCTTTGCAGATGCTTCTAGTTCTGTGATTTTCTTGGGCCATCTTACATGCACAGTGTGTTGAAGATTTACCCACAGATTTTCAGTGATGTTCAAGTAAGGGGGCTGTAAGGGCAAGTGCAAAAGCTTCAACTTGCATTTCTTGAAGGAGTTTATGGTGGATTTCAGAGATATATTTAGAGTTATTGTCCTGTTATTTCAGCTTCGGTTTCTTGATTGACTGCATTACATTTGCTTCCAGAATTTGCTGATATTTAGTGGAATCCTCATGCTTAACATTTGGCAAGATGTTCTCTTTTGATCAGATGTTTTGCTTATTTTTCTCCCAACAAACCTGTGGCAATTGTGGCCAAAGAGTTCGATTTTTACTTCACCACTTCACCACTTGTTTCCAAAATGCCTGTGGCTTATGTAGATGTTGTTTTGTCTACTTCAGATGTTGACTTTTGTGGTGAGGCCACATGCAAGGTTTCCTTCTGATTACTTTTCCATCCAGATCATGTTCATGCACAGTTCTACTGTGTAGCACTGCGTGCACCACTACTTTTATGTCATCGAAACCCTCCTGCCGGTCCTTCGCTGTTATATGTCGTTTGCCTTTCTGGCCAGCATATACGCAGTTCTGTCTGCACATTTTTTTGCTCTTCCAGATGAAGAATCCAAACCCGTCACAAGCCAGGGACCTAGCCATATGTCTGGAGAATTAAAGTTTATTTCTTGTGTGCAGGACTGATGCCAAGATTAGGCCCAACCTATTCATGACAAGTGTGTCACAGGTGTGACAGACATGACCTGCAGAACAGAATGTTCTAAATACAATCACAGCACATGCACACACAATACTGCATATAATAATGTACAACACAGCACTGAACACATTACACAGTAATAAGTTCTTTCATAGATCTTGCCTTGAGTTACACAGTTCCACCTTTCTGACATCTCAAACAGTGAAAGTTGCGAGCTGGAAGCATTTTATTTTCATTTCATAGCCTTTCCCTGTTTTTTCACCAATTAGCTTCACTTTCAGATCCTTAGCCAGCTTTTTAGAGGAGCCCATGGTTGTTGAGTGTTAGCACAAGGTTTGAAGACTCACTGAAGAATTTATTATGCCTTGTAATTATTCAGTTAAGGTGTAACAAGTTAATTTTTTGAGACTTTACAGTAGGAAGAGTGTCCAGACTTTTGCACATGCAAAATTTCAAGTTAGTTTTTTTTTGTTTATTTTTTATTTATTTATTTTGTTTAAGATGATTAAATATAAAGTAACATTTGTGCATTAACATTTGCAGAAAAACTTTATTTTTTTTAATAGTTTGCTTTAGAGGTTGTGTTTCCTAAGATACACATAGTCCCTCATTTACATATTTTTGCATTTTCACACTATATTGATACTACTACTACTACTACTATAATAATATAGTTAAATATTAATAATAACAATAGTTAAAACGTATTAATTTTACAAACCATGACATTGTTAAATCAGACATGACTTACCTCTTATTAGAATAGCTGTGTGTACGCATATATGTGTTTGCATACTCCTTGGTGATGTTATTCACTATGTGCCATTTGTGCTGTGTTGAAAGAAATTAAAATTCCTTACAGTAGTGACTACACTAATTAGGGCTCTAAATTATGGGCTAAATTATCAATCATGCATCATTTCAATCATGCCAATAATAATGATTAGATTTTCCCATTCACTGGCCGAATAATATATCAGATGCAAACTGTCATGCACCTCTGGTTTTCTTCTTAAGTAAGCAGTGGTGCACAAATCACCTTCCTTAGGCTTCCACAGGGCATACAACAAGATGGCGAAAAGCTAACAGTAGCTAATATATAACTAATGCAGCGATGCTGTATTCTCCTGTATTCAACTCTCATTTCATCTTTTAGTAAGACCCTAAAAAAGAGAACACATTTTTGTGTGTTTAGGGTAGCAATGCGTTTTTGTCCATCAGTGTTTTCCACTATATTTCCTTTCTCAGAATACTGATTATATATCGTATGTAAATAATGGTTTTAAGTGCTCTTGCTAAAGCTTCTGCAGAATACATTAAAATACTCATTTATCATTCACACAATAACCTGAGAACGATCTGATGTTTTCAGGCTGTTTGGGGAAAGTCATTTTTACATTTAGTTTATAAGCTGTGTATATACCAACAAAAACATAAATCACATCAAAGCAGAGAAAATACAGTACAGTGTGAAAGTCTTAGGCACTTTAGAAAATTCTATTTAAATTGTATTTATTGTATTTATGATTATTTGCATTAATTCTAATGGTGTTTTTACGAGAACAAGCACACTTACTGCCAAGATGAATGACTTTAAATAACATGCTTAGCTCTCTATGACTTTTGCACAGTATGTGCAGTTTGTTATTCCATAAACCTTTTAATTATTTAAGTAAGTTAACATTTTGTTTCCCATGAAACAAATATTTCCATGTGCACCCCCAACCTGCAAACAAATGTATTCATGCTTTTTTTGTTTTTGAGCCCTATGAGAATAACAAATTACCAGCCTAGTTATAATCTACGCCACTAGATGGTGGTAGAGTTGAAGTCTCAGCTTTGTCCAGGTGTGGAAAAACATTTTTTTTATTTCATGACTAACTGGCATTTGAAGTACTGTTGTACTGTTGCTCTATAGGAGATTCTTTTCAAATTTTTTTGTAGCTTACTTGATAGTTTTCTGGAGATTTCGTGCATTTATGGAATCTCCTTTCCAGTAACAGAAAGTAAGCATATTAAACTGCATTATTTCTGGAATTGGTTACTGGCAGTTTGAACATAATGGGATCAACGTCTGAAATTTGTCTTATTGACATATTGTCTTACTGATATTTAACCTTTGGTCCTGTATAACTTTGGAAACGTTTTATGACTTGCATGCTCCAGTTGCTTATAATATAGAACTACTTCCACTGTGTCCTTAAACAAACCTCAACTACTCCTGTCTTTGTAATTCACAGTCTTATACTAGTTTGGGTCAAGGGATGGCTAAATCACTTTAAACATAGTTTTAAAAAGTTTTTAAGCTCTTTAGCTTATGTGCTGGATTTGCTGTAAGCAGCCACCCTTGCGTGTGTGTGAGACACCTGCACACAGATTTCTGAGCAGCACCATCTGCCATCAGCCATCATGAGCTTCATTAAACAAGGGCAAGCTGACATGGCACAAGCACACACCAAAAAGAAAAAAGGAACACTTAGTCCACATAGTGATCACAGATATCAACCAGCATGGAATAAAACTTGATGTACTCATCGGTCAGTGCTTCTCATTGAGGATATAAATCGATTACAATTCCTTACGACATAATATAGTACGTTACAAAACCTCAAATTTTACCATTATTTGATTAGGTTATTTTTAAAATGCACTGAATTACATGACTGGACAAATATTTACCCAGCAGTGGAATATAGACACTAAAACAATCTGCCAGGCTGTTTTGGACTTTTAACATTCCAAAATTGATGCGGTTGAATCACCACGTTCACATCCACAATGCTCTGATGCATTTTATACACCCACTTTTTTAAGCTGACAACTGTGACATTCCTTCTCTTGTAAACCTGTAAACATGAGGATAAGGGGCATGGCCTAATGAGGGTTTACCCCGATGTATTTTTACATTTATCTAAAGATGCTTTTTGCTGGATTCACAGGCCTTAGCGACTTGAACACGGCTCACGTGAGCCTAATCGGAGATTCCCTAAGTCACAAGTACGTCACAGCGGAGACTAGATAATTAGCCAGTGCATTAATTTGTGTGGGCAAGGTGAGGATAATGGCCAGCTCACTCTCACTCCCTTAGAATCATTTAACGACTCCTAAGGCTGACTTGTGGATGTCACCGAAAATAAAGGCCTAGTCCATTTAAATGGAGCGTTGTGCACATGGTGACTTGGAATTAGTTGGATCAAAGTTTAGTAAAATGTCAACAGAAGACAAGCTTAGATAACTTCTGTTGGATTTATCGGTGTGTAATCACGTTCCACACTTCAAAGCTGATGCACACCAACTCTGTTCAGACCTGCTGGCTCCATTCAGCTGTTTCAGCCTTGCCTGAACGTGCCTCTGTTGGTCACGTGTGTCTTGTCAAAATATTTTCCTGTGTACCTTGGATCTAAAGGTCGAACACCTTAAAATAGTTGGCATAATGTGGTAGTGAGCAACAAAATAAGATCCGTTTTTGCTAACTTCAGTGGTTGTGCATGACAAAAATTCTGTCCGCCATTTAGAGCAGGACACCGGTAAGGTGAGCCTAAAGCTGACCCAGACGGCGTGCTGTGAGGAAAGCCTGGCAGTGGTGCTCTCCCTGATGACGCACTTTCCCCCAGGCGGCAATCTGGAGGATCCCTTTTTAAGCCAACTCGAGCTAAAGCCAGCTTGTTGCTGGTCCTGGGGTAAAAGGCCAAGCCAGGGGACAGCTGAAGGGAGCGCTCTGTTTCTCTTTGGTGCTTTATCTTAAACCTGATGTCTACACAATATTTTTGCATCGAAAAGAGCTTTTATTAAATTGATATAGCCTTTAATAGCTTATAATCTGTTAATTTTATCTAATATTGGGTATTAGATGAGCTACATATTGCATTGAATGCAGCACTTTTATGAGTCTACATTGCTAATGTGAGCACTTAGAATTATAATTAAGTTTACCTTAACTAACTAGTCTAGTTTAGTGACTGTTTTTTGGTAATGTTGAAGCTACAGCCTCAAGGCTCTCAACATCCCCACATGTAAAGGGGCATGTTCCCTTTTAATGGCAAATCCAACTAGGTCTTGAGTTCCAAAACTTTGTTTTTGTTTAAAACAATTGTGTTTGTTAGTAATATAATAACAATATAATAGAAATTATGAATTAATTTTTGACCAAAATTTTGTGGACATGACAAACAACCATGGGCACCAAAATGGCTGCATATGTGAACTATACCATTATCATCGAAGCTCCTCTCTTTGTTGCTTTGTGTCCTTATTGCACATTGCTTTTCCTGATATAAGGTTCCATATTTTCTTCATGCTGCCCACAGTTCTAACACTCTCTTGTATCACTGTTTTATCCCTGTGATGTGTGGCAGGCCAGTTTCTTTGTGGGAACAAGCGCTGTGAGAAGCAGGAAGGTTTGAAGAGTTGGGAGGTGAACTTTGCCTATGTGGAGCAAGGCGAGAAGAGGAACGCTCTGGTCAAACTGCGTAAGCTAGGCACCCACCTAAGCTCCACTGCTATTAATCCTCTCCCTCTCTCTTTTCTGGCCCCAGAGTGGAGCTAATCTAATTACCACAGACTTAAGGAAGGACCATCCGTGTCCATCGCTGTTCATGTTCACTGACCACCACCTTTTATAAATCTTGCTTGTAGGCAGTACTGACAGTAATGAATAAGAATTGAAGGTCTGCTAGTCATGTGTTGTATCATAATTGACAGGTTGATGCTCCTCCCACAAATGCATTTCTTTCAGTCAAATGAGAAATTATAGTGCGCAAGTAAGTTTTAGTGAAAATACCAAAATGTAGTTTTATTCATTTTAATTTTTTTGTTTGTATGTAATCAGTGTTGTAAACATCTGATTGGTAGACTAAGTATAATTGTTTTAATGCTACAAACTTGCTAAACTAAGCCTACATAACCCACTCCTGAATCGTGGTTGAATGTACCCTAAGAGATTTGCCAGAATGTTTATCATACTTGCCATTTATACAGACATTATGGGAAATAGAAAGCCTGGTAATATGCTGCCTCAAACAACTATAATAAAGAGAAACAAATAGACGCTAAATAGTAGCATTAACTTTCTGCTAGCCTATCAATCTAATCTTTATCCCTATAAACCTTGATCATACAACAGAAAAGCTATATCCAATCTGAACAGTGTGACCACACACATCAAAAGACTATCATTTGAAGTTAATAATGCACTCAATTTACAAAATTTGACAAAAACTAAGCACTACAATTAGGCATTATTTTAAATCAGTCTCACTCTTTTGTTCTGTACTATAGGTCTCTGTCCGGAATGCTCCTTCAAACTGAACTATCACCACAAGTAAGGCCATATGATTTTTAAACATTATCACAGTCGCTAACTCGTCCCGGATATCTTTCATTGGCCACTATAACATTTTTGGTTACATGTTCGTTTCAAGCTGTTTTCTGGTTCTCTTCCAGGAGAAAGGAGGTCAAAGTTCAGAAAAAACGCAGACCGAGAGACGATGGAGATGAGCCGCAGGCAAAGAAATTCAAGTCATCATCCCATTCTAAGAAACATAAACGCAAGGAGAAACGCAAACACAAAAAGAGACTAAAAGGCAGGACACGCAAGTTCACAACTTTATTTTCACTTACCGGTGGTTTAGACTTAAACTTTGCTCAGTTGTTTTAAGGCCACTGTATGTTCCATATAAAAGCCGGCATGTTTGGCTGATGTTTATGATATGGATGGTTATGACACTAGGAATGAAATACCTCGCTCAAGGGCAGAGCGCTGTTGATGGCATGCATAGGCAGATTCATACAAGAACTGCATGTATTTTCTGAAAAACACAGCTCGAAATCATGCCTGTACCAGTCTATGCTTATGATGTCTTCTGTCATGTCTGCGAAAGGGGGTCCGTTGATACATATAGCTGAACATGTTGCAACCAGTGCTTGGACATTTAAAGAAAGATTTAAAGTACAGTTATTGTAATGATGTTCAGATGTTACATGGCTAATTCAAACAAACGTCTACGGCTTATGCCATAACTTGAAGCGGTTGTGCAATAGTAGTTCATGTGACCCACTTTTTCCTCTGTCTACAGAATACTCCTCCTCCAGTTCAGAAGATTCTGTGGAATCAGACAAAGGTTTGAGCTCCCCGTCTTTCTTTTTCCCCACTGCCACTAATCACAGGTCATCATTTCATGTGTTTAGGAAAGACATGAACAGGTCTTGCCTCCCGCTCAGTGTATACATTTGTGGGGCTGTTAAGTGATGCATTGGAAGGTTTGATTCCAGACAGTGAAGTCACTGGTTGGGCTTAGACCATTCAGAGTGATAGTATTCAGTTGGGACTGTCTCTTAGGTCACATATACGAACTTCAGCGGATAGTAATTTCCTCCAAGCATGTTTAAGGTGGCATCCTAACTGCATGAGCAACAGATTTGAAAGAAGCATAAGCCAGCATCTTTTCTTAGAGGATGCACTGCAAGATAAATAACTGAATAATAACAAAACCTTGAATTTGTAACATTATAGGAGCAGGAAAGGAAAAAAAAACATTATTAAAGAAACACTCTTTTTCTAAACACAATGGTACCACAGTAGGCTGTAAAGCCAGATTATCTGTTTAAAAGATGAAGAAACCCGCTTTCTGATAACGCATCTTTACTGTGGAAGGAACTTGAAAAACTACAGCTGCTTTAGGGTGGGATAGGCCATTTCAAATGGGTTTTTTTCCACTATCAAGCAAATACAGAGGGAAGCTAAATATCGTATTGCAATTGTAACTGTGGTAACTTTAGATCATAATTACTATGGGGAGAATGGACTACTTGAATGACAGAAATGGCTCGTCAGATGTGGAGGACAAGAAGCTAAAAGCTAAACTCTCAACCATTAAAAAGATCAATTTTGTGCTAAATAAAGACTTTGTTTTCTTGACAATCTGCTTTTCAGAGATGCCAGCTATAAAGCTTTCAACTCTTTCTAGTAGTAGGTTTGGAGTGCTGCACATTCCTAAATATACATCAGTTTTCTGTGCCGTATTAAAATTCCTTCCTTAATAGCCACTAATCAGTGTTTGCTGATGCTCTTGTTCAGAGAGATAAGAACAGTAGTCGTCTTGCTCAGGGTCTCTGTTTGGACACGAAGTCAACCCCTAGTCTCCCATGTTCGTGATGAGAGTGTTATCCAGTACCAAAGTTCATAGTTTCCACATCCAGATATACTGTATTACGTAAGTGTTCATAAACTGAATCATAACTTTGATTAAGAAAAAAGCTTGTTTGTCAAACATGGTAAGAATTATGAATTAATTGGTAGCTTGGTTATTTATTAGTCTATAGATCTATAGTGGCTAGGCTAGCAATGAGGATTCATTGAGCACTGCAGGGATTCCCAGTGGTTATATGAGACTGGATTCAGTATTGCAGTACAGAATGCTGCACAACACACCAAATAACATAGTTTTAGACCAGAATGTCCCTGTAACGTAAATGTATGAATTTATATAATGTGTTATTCCAAGTCATTTTCAAACATTTCTATGGGCTCAGTCATCATTAAATTCTCACACAATGTAAAGGGTAGCTGGCGTTTCCCAAAAATCATAAAGATTTTGACAATGGTGACAAAAATTACGTTTATCACACAAGAAAAAAGGGCACCAGCATAAACCTGGTTGACATAAATGAGTTCTAAACTTGTTAAAGCATCACTGTGATCACTTCGAATCAAATCTTACCTTACTGGGGTAGTCTGAAGATTTGTGTAAGCAACTCTTTGTTTTCTTCAAGGGGATGGTGAGGGCCCCTCAGAGTCCGAGCACTGGAAAGGCCCAGCTCCTGCTACGGGGGAGAAGTCACGGTGAGCACCTTGTTAAATGCTTTTAAATGGTCTAGTGCCACATATGGCATTCACGTTTATGAAGGAAGCTTTTCCTGAGTGCTCCACTGTAAACAGCACACAGCATCACCAAGAAAACTGTTGTTTCTCTTCCAGGGAGGAGGAGTTTGACGAGTACTTTGAGGACATGTTTCTCTGAGAACATTGGGCACACAGAACAACTTGGACCTGGAAATGTAACGGCAAAGTTTTTGTATAGAATTCATTGCTGGTCTGAGATCGGTGAACAGTTTGAGTAAAAAGCTCCCTCTTCTGTTCATTGCTTAGTTCTTATGTTCTGACTGTTTGACCTGGAATTTAGTTTCAACAGCTTTGGGTAGGAACGTTCAAAGGGCATGTTCATATACTATTTGTATGCATAGGAGATAAAAAGGATTCCAAACAGAAACTGAAGTTTCAAAGAAAGCGTTTCACATCAGCAGATGTAGAGGTAATCAATGTACATCCCACAAAATATCTAAACAATGACTCAACTGAATTCATGAGCACCAAACTAAACACTGTGCCAATACCCCACAGTCCATGGTTGGGTGGAGAGAACAACCATCACCCAAGAAGAGTTCTGCCCCATTACTCTTGTCTTTAGTAGTCATTTAATCAGCATGTGTGATCACTTTTTTACTGCCTACCAGCCTGCTTTCCTCGTATTTGGCAGCTACATTTTCTTGCGATTACCAATTGAGCTGTAGATTTTGACTGAACCAATCTGCCGGTTGACTTGGCTGCTAGCCAATTACCTGAGCCTCTTTACCACCGGCTGATCCAGCTTTGTTAACTAATCCCTCTGATGGAGAAGTCATGGGGATGGCCAGTGCTTAAAAGTATTCCCAGTTCTCTGTGTATCCTATAAACAACCTGACAGAAATACCCAGGAACAGCTAGAAAACATGGCTATAGTTTGCAGTGTGGTAAGTCCTAGATAGCACATCTTCAGAACATGGGAGACATTTGAACAATGCATTTATTTGTTTTCATGATTTACAGCATTTTACACATCCAATGGAGTCCGTTAAATAAGAGGACACTGGATAGTAATTCTACAGTCTCTCAAGAGGATGATACATCAGTAGTACATGTCACAGTGGCTTGCATACACAACAACCACAGAATGTACACAATTTGTGTCCATTCAGTGAAATTAACCTTTTTTATTCTTATCACAGTCCCTTCTGTCTGACCTGTCTTTAAATAGGATTAAGGGAAATGCCATTCTAGGGAAAGTGTTCCAGCTTCAGAATGTCCTGTTGATATTGATTTACCCTTTAAAGGTCTACACTGATTTGCCATCTTGTTGGTAGCAGGTGTATATTGCAGAACATGAAGGGGTTTCTAGCACTGTGTTGGACAATGAGATTAAAGCACTGTTTTCAGGTCCAGCAAGGTGTGGTCTGAGAACCACGTTTGTGTTGGTGTCTCTCCAGAATTACCGTTCATTTTTTTCTGTTTTTGACACTCTGTTTCAGTCTTTATCTACCTGCTTTGTCTCACTTGTCCTCAAATACGCCACAAAAAAATTCACCACCTTTGACCAGACTGTACCTGATTGCTAAGCATGTGCTCCAGCTCATGGCGAACATGGAGAGCCTCCTGGGGCCTAGGTTATATAAGCATTAGAAAACAGTGAATCTCAGCTTCCTCTTCAGCTCAGTTCAGTTCAGCCTTCTTACAGTACTTTAGTATTGCCTACTCTTTGCTCTCTTTTGCTCAATCTTCAAACTTAAAAGTTTAATAGAATTGTCCCTTTAATATCCCATTTCTTTTTTTGTGGTTTTACATACAGATTTACCACAGATTCTTCCAAATGACTTCCAAATTTCCCATTAGGTAAACATTTAATGTCCTATCGTAAATGTACGTTCTATGTAATATGTACGCCATGTCATATTTGTTGCGATTAAACGAAAACTTTAACAACTATGTTTGACATACATTTAAGTCTCATTAAATAGTCAAAGTGGAAGGTCAAACATTTGGTCACAACACTGTGCAACTGTCACACGCAAAAATGCAGTCACCAGTGATTCTAGAGTCAATAAGTTGCGTAGATTGTATTTTCAGTTTCAGTTTCAACTTCTAAAGAGAAAAGCGTAGAAAAGGTAGACAGTTAACAGTGATTCAAAAATATATTGTCTCAATCATCATATATCTGTAATGTGCAAGACAAGGTAGGCTAAATAAATTAATAAATTTTAGCTAATAAAATTTGCCCTTGTTTGGTACTGGCTCTCACTGTGTTGCTCCCTGTGTAAGTAACAGAACCTGTCTAAACTCTAGACTCATTAATCAAGTTTTATGGATCGCATGGAACGTAAATCGCATTGACAGTAATTATTTCCTTCCAAACATTATCCTTTACCTGCTAAACGATAGTGCCTTAAACATTTCTTGCAATAGTTACTGCAAGTGCTGCGATCTCTCTCTCTTAGGAACTAATCATACAGCAGGAAAACAAACATCAGACCATGTGCGTTGTTCAAGTTTTGTAGGTGTTCTGCGCTGACAGCTTCCACAAGAGAAGCTGTGCATAGAGTCCATCCTTTCATCCATGACGGATGGAATTACTGTTTGCTTGAATGTCACAGAAAGACAGAAGGGGCGGGGGGGAAGCTGGTGAGAGTCACATGGTCCAAAAAGGAGCACTTTCCACCTGCTGTCATTTGTGATAGGGTGATCAAGCTTTCCCTCCAACTCTGCCTTTTTAAAATATGGTGCAGGTTTTGGACTTCCCTCCTTCCCCATCTTCAGTTCAAAAGGAGTTCAAAGGAGAGAAAAAAAGAGGGCAATGGTTAGAGCTAGCGCTGGAGTTCTAGTTTGCTCACCAAGTTCTAGTTTGTGTCCATTTGCTCCCCTCAGGGTTAAAATAGGGCTTCAACAAATATTAAAAAATATAACTGTTTCACAGCTAACTAGGTATGCATTAGTGACATTTTAGTACACAGGCGAACAAACTACTTTTATGTTCGGTTAAGCAGGGGCGGATTTAGTGATTCTGGGCAAATCTGGGCCCAGTCGATGCACGTTTTTAAATGAGTTCATTAGTAAAGGCTCTGGACCCTACACTGCAAAACATGATATCTTGGCAGGTGAAATCTTAAATCTAATAGTTCTCATTTTGAGACTGCTGTAAGAATATTATGAGATTATTTAATTCTTATTTAATTATTTAATTACTTCTAGACATTTGAGTAATTTTATTACAACCCCATTTCCAAAGAAGTTGGGACGCTGTGCAGAATGTCAATAAAAATAGCATGCAATGATATGCAAATCATGTAAACCGTATTTTTACAGGAAAATACTACAAAGACAACATATCAAATGTTGAAACTGAGAATCTTTTGGAAAAATATTTGACCATTTTGGATTTGATGCCAAAAACATATTCCAAAAAAGTTGGGACGGGGGCATGTTTACCACTGTGTTTCAACACCTCTTCTTTTAACAACACTCTGTAAGTGTTTGGTAACTGAGGAGACTAACTCCTGTAGTTTTCCCATTCTTGTTGATATAGGATTTCAGCTTCTCAACAGTACAGAGTCTCCTTTGTTGTAATATTCATTTCATAATGCACCAAATGTTTTCAGTGGTGACAGATCTGGACTGCTGGCAGGCCGGTTTAGCACCTGTACTCTTTTAATACAGAGCCATGCTGTTGTAATATGTGCAGAATGTGGTTTGACATTGTCTTGCTGAAATAATCAAGGCCTTCCTTGAAAAAGATGTTGTCTAGATGGCAGCATATGTTGCCAAAACATGTATATATCGTTCAGCATTAATGGTGCCTTCAAAGATGTGCACGTCACCCATGCCATGTGCACTAATGCACCCCTATACCATCATGAATACTGGCTTTTGAACTGTGCACTGATAACAAGCCTGCTAGTCTTTAGCCCAGAGGACACAGCATCCATGATTTCCAAAACGAATTTCAAATTTTTATTTGTCGGATGACAGGACACTTTTCCACTTCACCTCAGTCCATTCTAAAGGAGCTCAGGCCCAGAGAAGGTGGCAGCTTTCTGGATCCTGTTTATATGTGGTTTCTTTTTCCTGATTTAGAGTTTTAACTTGCATTTGTGGATGCAGTGATGGACTGTTTTCACAGACACTGGGTTTTCAGAAGTGTTCCTGCGTCCATGCAGTGATCACTGCAGAATGATGTCTGTTTTCAATGCAGTGCTGTCTGAGGGCCCAAAGATCACAGCCAGCAAATACTGGCTTTTGGCCTTGTCCCTTGCATACAGAGATTTCTCCAGATTCTCTGAATCTTTTAATGATATTATGTACGGTATCCAGGGTGTCTCCTGCCTTACGCCCAATGACAGCTGGGATAGGCTCCAGCACCCCACCGCAACCCAGAAGGATAAGCGGTTTAGATGATGTATGTATGTATGTATGTACCGTAGATGATGAAAAGCAAAAAGTTCTTTGCTATTTTACGTTGAGAAACATTATTCTTGAATTATTGCACTATTTGGTCGTGCAGTCTTTCACAGAGTGGTGAACCCTCCTCATATTTGCTTCTGAAAGCCTCTCTGAGATGCTCTTTTTATACCCAATCATGTTACTGACCTGTTGCCAATGAACCACCAGGTGTTTTTTTTAGCATTACACAACTTTACCAGCCTTTTGTTGCTCCCGTCACAACTTTGTAATGTATTATGTATTTTGGAATGTATTATTGGCATCAAATTCAAAATGGGCATATATTTTATGAAAAACAATAACATTTCTCAGTTTCAACATTTTATGTGTTAACTTTATATTATTTTCAATGAAATATAGGGAAAAAATATTGCATTTAGTTTTTGTTTACATTTTGCACAGTGTCCCAACCTATTTGGAAATGGGGTTGTAAATTATATTATGTCACTATTATGGCAGATAATTTCGTTGTTTTAAGAAATAATGCTAGAAACAAGCAACATTATCTGCCACTTTAGAGAGATACTTTGGTACAGAATAATACGGAAATAATGAGTAATGAGATTACTTCTTTCAGTAACCATGACCAGGGTCGAGGCTACATTAAAAATACTACTAATAACAGAGTCGTGAATAACATCTGCTTTTCAAAAATTGTACATGTATTTGGGAATGTTATTGATCAGCATGTACAGTATATCCAAATCATATTTTCATGGGGCCCTTGGCTCATGGGGGCCCTAGACGGCTGCCTATTTTTGCCTAGTGCAAAGACCACCCCTGTGTTAAAGCATGCTTATGAAAAGAAATGGGTGTAAAACAATTATTTTAAACAGACCTTTTTTAGTCTCTGCTTCCTCGAGCTTCTTCTTCTCATTAGCAATGGCATCAAGTTTGGCTTGATAAACGTCAGCCAGCTCTTTCCAGTGGGCTCTGTTGTTGTTCAGGCCATCAAACATCGGGGTGATCTCCTTATGGAACCTCGAAAACTCCTGTGTGAGAGAAATCCCTCTTTTATTGAAAACACAGGCTTAACCCATGTCCTAGAGTCAGGCAGCTTGTCGTACAGACGTTTGACCCAAGAGTTTGTGTGCCAACTGGTGGGTGTTTTGACTAAACAGCCAAAGAGAATAGGCTGGATTTACCTTGTAGACGAACGAGCAGACGAAATCAATGAAACCACATTGCATCTTGGGCAGCTCATCTGACTTGTTTCTGTCCATCATGGGCTGAGGAGAGATTTATCACATTTGCATTTGGCCTATAGGAAATACTTTGAAAGTGTACTGTACTGTGCAGAGTCTGCAAGCATCTGAGAAAAAAGCCAGCCAATGTTATTTATTCGAAAAACTCTCACATTAGAATAAATACAAATTAACAGCACATTGTGAACTGAGGCCAGTATTTGTATCTCGCTTGGATAATCAATCCTTCATTGAATTAAATCAGATGTGCTGCTGATGGAATTGAACAAATACACATAATGTCTGCACCGATGTCAAGAACCAAACTTGAGTTCGTCGGTGTTCTTTTAAACAAGAATGTCAATAAAAAAGTATACTTATTGCCAAGATGAATAGTTTAAAACAATTTTCTTGGCTGCTGAAGACTTTTGCACAGTACTGTACTTTAAAAAAAAAAAGGCTAAAAGAAAAATTAGTAGAATCATTGAGTTCCAGGCACTAACAATGGGCTCTTGCTGAAGCACATTCCTCTCCAGGTCTCCCTGCTCCCAGAATTCAGCAGCTACCATCAGAGCCACCTTAAGGAGAGAATGAGAGAGGCTGTTTGACAGGCTTGTGCGTTCAAGAAGCACATTTCTGCATAGCTACTGTCAGGAACTAGAGAAGTACAAACCTTGCTTTGGACCTCCCATGGCTTTGTGATAGCAGACAAGTCACAGCCAGTCATCATCATTGCCCTAAATTCAACCAAAAACAGAGTGTACATCAGCATTTATTCATCAGGGGCCATATTACAGAAAATTATTAAGTCTGAGATCATATCTTAGCTGCTTTGTTGTCATGGCAACTTCAGTTAAGACTGAAGTTAGGGCAGAAGCTATTACAGAACAACAGTTCTTAAGTCCATAATCTTATTTCCAGATAAGAAAACAGTATTACAAAAACATCCTAAGTTGCCAAAATATTCTAAATACTTTGTTAACTTTAAGACAACCCCAGAGCGTCTTAACTTCTGTTTTAACCGTCCGTTTCTATTGTTTTATGCAGTGATAGGCAGTTCACTATAACTAGCATAATGACGTTAGCTACATGTATCTACACTGAAAACGGTACTTTGATTTTTTTTTTGTTTGGCTGTTCACATTATCTTTTAAATGTGACCTCTAGTTCGCACGTTATTGGTCCAACTTCTTTGGTTCGAGTCCTCGGATTCTTTGAACTGTTGTATCTGTGTCACATACAGAGAAAAAGATCGGATTTGGGCCACTTTTACCTGCTGTGTAAACGTAGCCTCAGTACTTTCGGGTGTTAATGTTTGATATAAACTCGTTAGATACGATATTACAGTGATGGTGGTGAATAATGAGGAGACAGAGCTGAACGTGTCTCTGTTCATTAAGAGGAATAACGTTAGCGCGCTCGGCTAAAGCGCTTGGGAAATGAAACAAAGTGTGGAGAGGCAACGCTCTGGAAAAACAGCACGAAGCGCTGACACATTATTATTAATGTTCAGTTTTTCGCGCTATAGTTTTATTTGATCTTTTTTACTTCAGTAACGGTGGCTAACGTTAGCTGTCTGGCTAACTAGCTAACTTGATTACGTGTTTACGTTTCAGCTGTGCGCGGATGGTCGGTTGCTAGGTAACAGACAAGACAGTTGATTGTCGACTTCAATTGAGAAAGTTAAGATTTCCTAATTGAGATAAGAAAAGATGCTCTAATATAAGATAAGATTCTTAAATTAAGATAATATTTGCTTCTGTAATGCGAATTTGTGAAAAATCTTATCTGGACAGATTAGATCTTAAGACGAAAAGATAGGAAGTTTCTGTAAAACGGCCCCAGGTTTGTAGAATGAAGCATCTGCTTCACGAATCTCTCCTACAACATCAAAACCAGGAGCACAGTTGATTAATCAGTCAACGTGAAACACCTTCTAATACAGGCAAAGGTTCTGAAAGTGCACTAATAAAAAGAAAGAGCCTCATTTCTATTTAAAGTGATAGGGTGGTTTGCTTATTGTCCTGCTTATCTGACCCTCAAGCGTTCGTCTATTTCTACTTTCTTCTCAACCGAAGAAGTAATTAATTAATAAAGTTGACAGTAGAAATTCCAGTTCACATGTTGACAAAAATTACCTGCTGTTTTACAACAAGGACTGTCATCTGTGCAGTCATTGTATTCTACTGTATTGATATTGTTAGTGAAATTGATAATGATTTAACTGGAATCAAAGCATTTCTCAGGTTTATACTTTATAATTTACAAGCTACTTTTACCAGACATGAGCTTGATTGCACAGTTGCACCAAAGATGAAACTGATGAATAACTAAACTGTGGGTGAAATTTAGATCTAAACTCATTAAGATCTGATCATATGCAACTTTGGTGAATAAGGGCCATAATGACTGTAGACATGAATGCCGTATATCTCTACATGGTGCGGGATGCTAATTTAGGTGTGATGGCTTTAATAGAAAAACAAAGGGTAACTACATGATAATTTCCTTCCTGGTAGGGTTGTTGGACACATAGGCGATGGCTTCTTTTTCATCTGCCATTGGTTCTGTGGCATCAACAATCTTCTGGAACATTGTTCTTTTCCTGTGAGGTAATGAAACATCATCAGAGGATTCAGATCGACCAGCTCTTTCCATAATGAACTGACATAAATCAGAGGAACAGCACTCACTTGAAGTACAAGGCCAGATCAGTGGCGATGATGCAAACGTCATGTAAGTGCTGTACAGTTTCAAACTGCCGTTTTTGTAGATTCTGGAAAATGTTCAAGTTCTGCGTGGAATAAAATAATGAATTAGAACGATTAAGAATAAAATAATGAGAAAAAAGCTTAACAAGTATGAAATATTTGCAATACCTCTTCTGCCATGAGAGTCTTGCTATACTCAAGATGATGTCTCTCCAAGATGGAGGACCCATGAAGCTTGGCCAAAGGTGAAGCACTCCTACAGTGGATTATGAACAAATCCAGGTGATGTTAAATAATGTATAAAATGTAGTATAAGAATAAGTAAAAGAATTGCTAATTTCGTACTTTGTCTGGTAGAGATTGTTGGTACCCCTGTGGTCAATATCATGACAAAAAGCAGCCGCTACCATTGCAAAGGCGTCAAGGTCTGAGTAGTATTTTCTCAGCCTTCCGGTCTGTTTTTGGAGGGAGAAACATAATATTCCATGGGATTATGACAGTCAGTTTGATGGAAAAAGTACTTTGTATGGTTGAGGGAACAAATCAATAAAGCCTGCATACATGACAGGTACAATGTCCAGTGGTTGTTTGGGCCGTTTGCAAATCTCGCCGGAGAGAACTGTACACATTTTGAGCTCTTACGAACTTGAACCCAGTGGAAAGCCACGTGTTTGAAGTGATCAAGGTCGGACCTTGATCTCTTCAAACACATGAAAGCGTACAAGTAACTGTTCAATCTGAAGGTCTCTTTGATTTTCTGACTTACTGCCAAACCGGCACACATTTCCTCTGATAACCAGATAATTGTCCAAATTTCAGCTGGATGACCAAATTTACATTTACGTGACACCCATCAGAGCAATAGGCTGTTTCAGCTTTGCCAAAATATAGGCAGTTTTGTCTAAGTCAGCTCTGGTAACTAAAAGGAAAGATGTGTTTCAGTACTAAACAGAGGGAGGAATCCAGAGCTGGTGTTTTTAGAGATGCACAGATGGGTGTAGATCCTGGAACACATCAGATTCCACACTGAAGCTGCTGTGTATGGAGGTTAGCATTGAAACAGGGCTACTTTAACTCACCTGCAGTAAACAGAACATAGTCTGGCCCACATTGAAGCCATGCCTCCAGTTATGGTACGTAATGTCTCTGTAACCCTTCCTGACTGTGTACATCCATCTGGTCAGAATCTAAAGTGAAAGTTATTGGATAAGCATATAAATAGACATGATAAACTCTAAGGAAGGATATCATTTCACTGTGTTGCTGTGTTGGTACAAGCACAGTATATCACATGAAAACAAGACTACATTAACACCAAACATGTCTAACCTCTGCTGGCACTTTGAACTTTTCCACCACACCAAGTTCAAAGAAGCAGCGGATACCACACTTGATAAGGTCGAACTCAGATAAAGGAAAGTCGCTGAAGTGGAATTCCAGCAGGTCCACATCCTTGGCTTCAGGTATGTTTGCTCTCTGTAGATTGGCATTGCATCATAGAAGTAAGGTGATAAACAAATTATCATAGTATGACTGCAAACACTTGCTGATGAGGAAATAAAAAAAAATTAAGAAATTAAAAACTGTGGTTAGATGGACAAATTCACCAGAGCAGTGATCCCCACGAACCTCAAACTGCCACCAGGTATTTTTAGACATAATTATTGAGTACAGCATTTCTATGAGCCTATGTGAGCTTATGCTTACGTTTACAAGTTTACATAGTTAATGATTTGATTATGTATATAATAAATGAAGAAAAAGATGGCTTACCAAGAGTTTGTACATCTCTTTCTGATCGCAATCCTCCGGTTCCATGTCAAACTTCTCCCTCGTGTTCTGCAAAGCAAAGATTAAGCATGCATGTAGCATGGCAGCAGTAACATTGACTTGACCTCAGAATGGAGGTCTTCAACAAGCAATGGCCTCACCAGAATCTCCTGGACCTCCCCCAGGGTGGCTCTAGTTTGGTACATCACCATCTCCTGTGCAATCTCCTTCTTCCATTCGGTTCTGTTCAGTTTGTCGTATGTGTCACAGTTGAGCACTGACCATCCCAGGAACTGTGTGAGGGCCTGCAAGATGGTTTTGAAGAGCCACAGGTCAATTGTGCAAAAGCGTAGAGAGTCAGATGAATCGTATGAACAAAGCAGCAGCTGCGGAGAAGGTAGTCTCACCTCAGTGATCTGCTCATCCTGCTCATCAAACGGCTTGGCATCTTTCCGGTTGAAGAATGTGGCGACGCCAACGACTTCCTCTTTTTTATTGACAATGGGGAGGGACAAAACGTTCTTGATGACGAAGCCTGTCTCGTCAACAGCTTCTTTCTAAGATGGGGTAAAAAAACACGTTGTAATGATGGTTTCAAATGGTGATTCCCAACTCTGGCCCTTTTCCTTGCTCTAACACATCTAACTAGCCTTCTTGAGTGGAAGTGATTATGTTAAAATCTTGAGACAATGAAAAATCAAACAGCATGTTAGAGGATGCAGTTTAAACATGGCCTCACACTAGAAATACCTGCTACACTCCTAATACTTACCATACCACCAATTATTTTACACGTGTTATGAAATGGGATTACGCAATGGCATGTTTATCGATGACATCTAATGGACAGGTAGCAGGGCAAGAACGAGACTTCCTAAAAAGCCTATTGCTTGTGTCTTGGTAACCCCACCTGGAACGTGAAGTAATCATCAGCGGCAACGTTCATCATGTTACAAATCTGCGAATGGAAAACAAATATCATTTGTTTTCTTTGCTGAACACAGAGATGTTCGCACTATATGCTAAACAGCGCCAGGTCATCACATTGTTAATTAGCCATAATAGCCATGACTATTGATACGAGTGTATGATTTTGGACTCACAAAGCCATTTTCAGCCACGTAGGTTGGGAGGCCGCTAACAAGGGCCCAGTGGTCTGCAGGAGGTCCCCTGCCAACAGGAAGAAATGCAAGCTTTATGGAAGGCTGTGAAAAAAGTGTTGCTTTGAATAGATTCATGTACATACGAATGTGTACATCAGTTCCACTTGAATAAAAGTAACACCGCATCGACACAATTCTTATTATATATATATACGAATAAAGAAAATTGAGTGCAAACTTTTTTCAGTACCACATCCTATGACTGATTGTGATTAAGCCTGATGTGCCCTATACAGTGGTCGAGTGATACGTACGGTATGACTTTGATCTCTTCTTTAGCCTCTAAGAGATAATCAATGATTTTGTAGAAGTTGATTTCCTGAGAAGAGCATATAAGGACATGTTAGTTACACAGAATAATTCTGAGTTCATGACTTGAGGAGTAAACAGGATTAGATGTCAGCGGGGAGACACTTACCCTGCCGTCAGGTGTCTTGGGACCCTTGTATGGTTCCACATCACCCAGTTTAATCGGCCACTCGTCATAGAATTCCTGAATCAACAGCATGACACAGAAGATGAGTTGGGAGGAGTCAGTCTGTGATGGGATATTGCATCATTAATCACCGCTTAGTTGGTGGTGCTTGTTCTGTATGAACCACGAACCTTCTCTTTGGTCATGTCCAGTAGCCCCACAGAGTACCTCTCGCATTGGAGGTAGGTCCTCACAGTGTACAGAGCTTTGTGGAACTGTCGCTCAATGTCCGTCAGTTCTTCAAACACTTTGCTAGCGGACCAGAGAAGAACCTGCGGTATCAGAAGGAGGAAGAGGTGCTTGGTTGCCATGTTCATTTGGACTTCAAAAGTTTTCAATGACAGATTGTTAATGTCTACTGAAGAGTTACCTGACTTCTTCTGGATTCCACATTCCACATATACTTGGTGTAATGCTGAAGAGCAACGACTGAGGCAAAGTCAAGATACTTGTTGAAGAGCTTGGAAGAAAACAGTATTCATGTTATTTATATATCACTGCTAAACATAAACAAAGTACTTTTATTGCCATAAGGGCCAGGAAAGTTAATGGTGCACATGTAATAACTTGAAAAAAGGAAGTTACTTGTACTAAGATTGGTTCTGATGCCCGGCCTGAGCAAGCAACTTTTCTGGTTTAGCGCTTCAATGAATTGGATTGAATCAGCTGATGTCATTGTAGAGATTGTTGCCAAAGATTACTCTGCGTATTGTTCTCGGTTTGACCTGTAAGGTCTTACGCCAGTTTTCTAGTATGTTCTTTATTGTTCTTATACGGATAAAATATCCACCCTATCTATACTTACATCCTCGTCTGCTTTGGTGAATTCCGTGCCTCCAACTTTGTTCAGTGCCATGACGACTCCAAGCGGATCCTTTCCACTCAAAATGGGGGCCGCCAGCATATTTTTGGTAGTGTATCCTGTTTGCTTATCCACAAAGTCACTGAACTTGGGATGCTTGGAAAAACAGAAGAAATGTCAATTAAACTCGAATGAATTGTTTATATCTGCATGATTATCAAAATTTATGAGCGTACACTAATGACACACAAGTACTTTATACATTTCCATACTGTTCACTGTGGTATGTGCTCTGATGCTGGATCTTTTTCAATTACAAATGTAGGTTCAGTATTTTTGGCCAATAGGAGCTACTTCTTAACTAAATTTTGAATGCTGGACTGTGAAAACTGTAAAAAGAGCTGCACTCGGTTAATACGAAGGTAAATGCCTTCATATATGCATATACAGACTAAATTAGCAGATTAATACAACTAAGTTAATGAATTAAAAATGTTAATTAAAATCTGTTGTCGATAATTGTTCCTGACTGAACTGGAAAAGATCAGAACCTGGAGTTCCCAGCTTGCTCATATATTGTTATCCAGAAATGAAGCACATAAGACTGAACCACGAATTTGATTACTATAGTTGTGATATATGATACAATACATATATATATATATATATATATATATATATATATATATATATATATATATATATATATATATGATACAATTTGTTGTCCATACTATTTTCTTTATATTTTTTAATATTATTTCATTACAATATAACCCCACCGGGCCCCCCAACCCCCCCAAAAAACATCTAATTAGGGCTCTAATCTGATCTATCTTGGTCTAGTGCCTATTTATGTCTCTTGGCTATAGCTCTAACAGTTCTTAATCAGATTGACTTGCCTTTTAACTGTCAGAACAGTTTTACAGTGCTCGTTTCACTTTCGTTATGTAATGGGGTAAAAAGGGGTGTCATCTATTTGTAGCAAATAACGGTTCATCCTAAAAATGTAATGAATTTCAGTTCATTACAGAATAATGAACACATCCCTACAAAGCTGATTACTTTCTGTTTTAGTTCCAAATTTAGTTCCACTAATAAATAAGAGACAAAATAAGAGAAGGTAACTTTTACCAAACTATTTGGTACATATGTTATGGTTATAACTGTAATGGGGGTATACAAACTACTTCATGCATGAATTTGGCTTTAAAATTTGGTCTAAAATTCTGCAAAGAAGGCCTAAATTAGTGAGTGCTGCTGATTTTTTAGGTATGTAGTTTTTATATACTTGTCAAAAAGTCAGTCTAACATTGTACTTATAGGATTTTTTAAAAATACTGTCATTTTTTTGTGAGTTTAACTTGGTGAATAAACATTTCTGTTCTACATGGCTAACACTAAACAAAAAGAACAGCTGGACCAATCTGATTGTTCCACTTACCTGCTTCACATCTGGAATGTTAACTCCTTTTTTGGCCGTGGCCATTTGCCCAACTATGCCCATATCGGTGGGGAAGACAATTTCGGCCGACGAGTTTACCAGGTTGCTCTCGTATTTAGAGGTTGGGGTGACATCGAAAAGACATGTGGCCAGCTCAGGGATTCCGTTTCTGGCTCGGACTGTGAAGTAGCTGCAGCGGTCCGCGTTCACCAACAAGCATATCCGTTGCAGGACCTTGTGCATGCTCTTCTCCATGACCTGCTCAGACTGCAGCTCCTTGATCAGGTCGAATATGATGGTGGCCTCCTGGATCTGAGACACATCTTTGTACGAGGACGGGTCTTTGATGTTAAGGTTTTCGGCGAAAGCGGCTGTGATGACCTCCACCCGTACCTTCTTGTCAAAATACTCTTTGGCAAACTGGGGGTTGTTCTCCAAATACTTTTCCACACTGTCCTTGTCTGCCATTTTGTATAACAGGTGTGGACACTCTTCCTAGGGTATCGAGGGCTGTTTCCCACAGAAAGACCGAAAGAAAGCACCAAAAGCTCAGTGGCCCTCTCCGTCACCCAGCTGCATCCTCCACTGCGGTGCTGCAACAACCAGAAAAGAAAAGCCTCCTGATCTTCTCTGGCAAGCTGGCAGACTATACAGTGGCTTACAGGGCTGAAGGGATCAAAGTGGCTGCTAATTAAAGTGACGTCATGACATTAAACCCCCCCACAAGCTTTCTTAACCTGCAAATCCCCTATGCTGATCATTTTATGTTGGACAATCCAATCAGAGGCGAAGTCTCTTGTTTTATGCTGCTTAGAAATTGCCCCAAGCATTAATGCATTAACTAAAGTGTAGTAACACAAAATTTTTGGTTCAAGAGGTTTGCTCCATCCTCAGCTGTTGATGATCTGTTGGGGAAAAAAAAAAGCTGAGGAGCTGGGGAAAGTTGGAGAAATGGGGTTAGCACTAAGTACCCTAAGAATAGTGCACAACTATATACGAACTGTCAGACAAGCATTAGGAGAACAACCTCCAGCTTGGAGAATGGATGTACAGAACGGGCGTATTCTAGTCTATGAGTATTCAAATGGTTGTAACTGCTGCATATTGATATTAGTATCAATGCTTAAGATTCAATAGCTGCTTTGGATCACTGCTGTCCTCAAAAGACTTGCCAAGAAATTCACTGCCCTGTTCTGGCTTTAAGCCCTGGAATGAGAAAGGAAATGCTCAGAAGTTTGCTATATGTCTTTTTTTACACTGTCTGCTAGTGGGTGGACTCCAGTGAGCTATTTCCAACAATGGGATTAGTCTGCTGGATATAAAAAAGGGGTCAATGACTTTTCTTCAGTCTTGATGGGAAGAAGCGACTGGACCGTAGTTGGACAGCAGAAAGCTTTGCAACTTTTATACCTGGCACAACAAATCCAGGATTAAGTAAAAGTGATTACTAGGATGTCCTCCCTTGAAGAGGGTTTTGGCACAGTGGATTGGTTACACGTCAAAGTTTACTGGGTGGAGTCAAAAGGCATCTCCACACGATGTAAAGCACACATGTATATGTAAAACAAAGACAAAAAGACAATGCTCTATGACGAATTGAGAACTGGGGTCCTTTTTCTAAATGATTACACTTTCAAAAACAACACACTGTCATGGTGTTAAAATAAGATGTAAATAAGGTGAAAAAACACATGAATGACAGTATCTGCAAAATGATGCTCACATTCGAATACGTTTGAACCAGTTCCAGAGACAAAACAAGAGCATGAGAACTGAGTTTGAGCAGAGATAATAGTCATTTTTATTACAATAAGCTCCAGCAATAAGAAAGCTGCAGTAGCAGTCAGCAGCAGGTAAACGTGACTGGATATTTCAGTCAAAAGGCCTGCGGAGCCTCAAACTACCTTTGCCAGAACATGCACAGCACTTCTTTCCATAGTACCCACCGCATTCCATCACCACTAAAAGACAGGCAGTAAATCTAAGGTCACACCCCCTTTGGATGAGGGCAAAATTGAGCAGGATGGAGGGGAGAGGGAGTGGGGCAAGCAGAGGTTTTTTCAGCTTTTAGCCAGCAAGAAAAACATTCTCCATGTGACATCAAACTTTGTCAAAGTCCATTTCTCGTTCCAAGGCATGTCCGTATATGCAGCAGACAAGATCTTGCTAACCTTGTGGGAGGAGTAAAACACAGAAAGTAAAATGTTTGTACACGTGTGTATATATTACATGGGTATATTATATAAAGGATTTGCTGTTGCAAATAAAAATCCAAAAAGAAGGCAGGACATATGCTGTACTTGATCATATTCCATACAATGAAATGATGTGGTGAAGGTGTCTAGATATAGGGGGAATGCAGGTCATGCATCTTCTCCAGTGTTTTTTCCTCACTCAGCCAGGTTGCATAAGAAGCACGTGTGATATTTGTCAAGCTGAGATGGGGCCCTTTATTCAGGTCGTTGGCAGAGGAGAAACCAATGAACTTTACTCAGAGCTAACATATGGCAGACAAGGATACTAGACCCCAGCAGCACGTCGATCACACCAGTGCTGACCTAGAACCAGATATAACTGAAAAACAGCACTGCTGCAAAAACATGCTCAGATATGAAGAAATTTACTTCGGTTGAATCCGGCCCAACTTTGTCTATAGGGGTATGTGTGTGTGTGTGTGTGTGTGTTAATGAGCACGACTGAAACAAGAAATTGCAACTAGAGGCCTATTGTTTCGCCATTTTTCACCTTTCTATTTTGGAGTCACAATATGGAGAAAGTCAACAACAACAAATAAGGTAAAAACACCTAGAACACATGCATAGTAGTAGAAGTGTCCATAGAATTACTCAAGCCATATGCTGTGTATATGTTCCAGATGTTTTTCTTAACTTAATAGTTCTTTCGTAACCTGGTTACGCAACAGCACTTTGAGGAGGTACAGGGGGTTGGGTTCTCAGAGGTTCGTTGGAGTTATGAAAAAAAGAAAAAGAAAAAAAAAAGAACAAAACAATCCAATGAAAGAAAGCTTGAGGGAAGACAGTTTAGGGGGTGGGATTGTGAAATTGCTTGCAGGTGGGTAGAGGCCCTATTTAAGCTCTGTACATAGCAAACAAGCCACAGTGCTGCACTGATACTCATCTAGTACGGTCCGAAAAAAGGTACAGGCTATGAGGCTTTTGTGATTTTTAGGAAACATCTGGAAAACATCTACCAAGCTAGTGGTTAAGTCGTTTTCCACTTGAAGAACAAATAATAGCGAATGTAGACAGGGAGGTCTTTGGAGGTCATGCTGAATTGGTGCGTTGGTTTTTATTGTTGGTCTTTATTGTTGGTCCTGTTTTTGCAGGTACTGTGGACAGCAGCATGCTGAGGTTCTTTGTGGTTTTTTGTGTCCTGGCAACAGGCTGGGCGCAAGAGTGTGTGGTCAGTCAAATTCCAGTCAAAGAGGGCTTTGACAAATACAGGGTAAGTAATGTTCATAAATCTGATATATGTTTTTTTGAAAGTTAAACGTGAGCATTTTGTCTGACTGTTACCTTTTATCTTACAGTTCCAAGGAACATGGTACGCCGTAGCTAAGAAAGACCCAGTGGGACTTTTCCTGCTGGATAACGTTGTCGCCAACTACAAAGTAGAGGATGATGGCCAAATGACAGCCACTGCTGTTGGCAGAGTCATCATTCTCAAGTAAGTTCAAGAGTTTTCTAGAGTCAGATTTTTGTCTATTGCACCTTTCCAAGCAAGCTGAGTACACTTTCCTGATTTTTTCACACTTTAGCAACTGGGAGACATGTGCTCACATGTTCGGCTCATTAGAAGACACCTCAGACCCTGCCAAGTTCAAGCTGAAATACTGGGGTGCAGCTGCATATCTCCAGACTGGATGTAAGCTAAACTAGAACTGTTGAACTATTTACCACCATTACTGGGTCAAACGGATGCTCATTGTATATGAATCTTGACTTTTTTGCAATACCTTACTACTTTTAAGACTTCTGCAATAAGGAAAGACCATCATAGATTAACTGCTTTGAAAATAATGTTCATCAGTTCTTATTAAATTGCCTGGGGCCTATATTTCACAGCAAAACTGCATAATTTAAGCCAAACTCTCTATTTCCTATTCTGAAACACACAACTCTGCATTCTACCCACAGTTCAATGACCATTCTTATCTTGTTTGTGACCTTCCTGCTAGATGATGACCACTGGATCATAGATACAGACTACGACAACTATGCAATCCACTATGCTTGCAGAGCGCTGGACACTGATGGCACCTGTCTGGACGGCTACTCCTTTGTTTTCTCCCGTCACCCTACTGGCCTGAGGCCAGAGGACCAGAAAATTGTGACCCAGAAGAAACAGGAAATGTGCTTTCTGGGCAAATACAGGAGGGTTTCACACAACGGTACAGATTTTTTCTCTCTCTTTCAGCCTTTACCTTCATGTTAGCCTTAATATGATAGACAAAAACCATTGATGAGATGACACAAATGTAATGACATCAACATAATGAATAACTACATGCTTTTCTTTGTCTTCATAGGTTTTTGCGCCTGAAATGTCACTGTTCAACACCAGCAAGAATGTAAACTCTTATTTTCTAGCTCTAGTAGCAATGTAAATAAAAATCTCAATCTCAAGGTAACTTTCAACTGTAACTGTAAAAGTAAATGCTTTGTATGTGGCTGAAAAACAGTGTGAAAATGAATGACATACCATGGTTGTATCGTATAGCCTGGACTACTTTTTAAAATAAAGTATTCTGCATAAACAGAATTGGGACTCGTTGCTAATGCAATCAATGACATGGAAGCTCCATGTCACAGGCACAAATGGCCTCCAATGTGTAATTGTAACTGACCTCAGGAGTGAGTAAAGGGGCAGCGGCACCTCCAGTGAGATGGTCCAGAAAAATCAGACTAGCTTGACAATTTGCATAGTCTTTTGCTATTGATATATAGAAGTTGTGCTAGTCCGAAAATGGTATGCTGATGAATATGAGATAAAACAAAGCATAAATCTGCACAAAGTAGAGAAACATTAGAGGACTCCTTGCCTTCTTTTAAAAATTTAGATTTTCACTATTACTTTTAAATTATGAACGGGAAAAAATGCATTTTTAATATAAAGCCAGTTTTAATGAGTTTTCTTTTATAACCCCTTGATAAATCACATCAAGGAGGAAAAACGTGTGGGCTTTGGCACTATTTTAAACGTTTTTACAAACCAACAACAAAAAAATGCTCATTTGTATGTAAACAAACTAGGTATTTTCAAGCATTTGACAGTGTTTGAAGACAGTGGAGCAAGAAAAAGCAAAACTTTTCAGTAATTGCCCCTCCTTTCCTCTTTAATCGCTTACTTGGTAGTTAGTGGAGGTCCCCTGCCTAAAAGTTCTCACACAGACAGCCTAGCCTGCTTTTAGCTCGACTTCTGTAGCCACACTAATCCCCCTGCTTTAAATGGGTGTAATGCGAGGATTTACACATGCAATCTAATTCAAGTAAAGTCAGGACAGGTTGCTGAAAGTGAGTCTATCCAGGTCAACTAACATTTCAGAGGCACCATCGGGTTACAAGGAGGCGGTGGGGTGGGGGGAAAGACTTGACATAAGGAGCTGTTTTCCCTGTTTTTTACTGACTTCACAATGATTGAATTCTTCACCTCAAATCATCTCAGATGTTACCATTTGACTTAGAACAGTTCAGTCAATTAATTAATCAACTCAAACAATAAATAAATTAATTAATTAAATGTGTGGAAAGGACTGAAGGTGCTCTTTGATATCACACTATAAAAGGGAAGGGCAGAAATGCTAAAAATTTTCTCCAGTTTTCTACAATTTTTAGTCACTGCCTCCAGTCAGTCCTGTAATGGCACAAACTTTTCTGATCAGATTATTGAGATACATGGCTTCCCCTGCAAAGGACACTGGCCACAAAAGACTGATAGAATAACCCCAGCACTGCGCTGCACCCATTACAAGACCTAATCAGGCCTTTCCTGTACAGAGCATCCATGCTATTTGTACAGTCTGTCATTCAGGTGGACCTCCAGGTACTTATGGGACTGTGCGAGGAGTTATGTTGTATTTGCTCTGTTGGAACATACACAACTAAAATAATGGTGCACAGAAACACATGACATGTATTATAGCCTCAGCCCATCAACAAAATCTGGTTTGCAAATCTTCAACTTTGTGTCTCACGTTACATAAAAAGAGCAAGTTCACCTCTCCTTTAACGCCCTTCTGTGTTCACATGCATGATCTGAAAGCCGTACAAAACATTAAACAAGGCGTTTTGAGTTTCTTCTATTCAAAAGATACATATATATTAATAAAAAAAGAAATGAAATACAGTCACATCACCCCAAGATACAAAAGCTAACAAATAAAATTAAAATTATGTTTAAAAAATGCCCTGCATAAACTGACAAGAAAGACTGACTTAATAATTTATGTTATTTTAAATGTGATATTATTATTATTATTATTTTTATTACTATGAATAATAACAGTAGTAGTAGTAGTAATAATAATAATAATAATAATAATAATAATAATAATGGAAAAGTTCTTTGGAATATCAAAAAATTTAGAATCTGATATAAAACTATAATATTATATTCCAAATCAGAACAAAGAGAAAATTTGAGGAAACAAACAAACAAAAAAAAAAAAGTAGTCACAATGTTAAATATCAAATCCCTTTTTTCCTTCAGTGAAGAAGCTTTGCGTTTTAGTTGAAGCAGCAGTCCAGGTGCATGAGGAGTTCTCTATGTTGGCTGGTGGGGTATGATGCCCTGCATTTGGGACATTCCAGGAAACTCTCATCCAGTGCGCTGTAAGTCTTCGTTGGAGACATGGCGGTCAGGATCTGGTCCTGAGCGTCCAGCCTGTTGTATGAGCTCGGCTCAGAGAAACGTGCTTCTCTCTGCTGTTTCTGTTAAGGAGAACCACAAATTTCACACAGTTAAAGTGATGCTTCTGCCAAAAATATCACAGTTTTCCCCTTTCATGTTTCATGTCAGGGCATGTTTTTGTTCGAGCTTGATGGATTAGTTGGTCTATCACAATAACCAGCTTGACCATGCTAGTCTTGGCTGGATATTTCAGCAGGGAAGACTTGCTTCTAGGCAATATGTCAGGAATGTAACTTAACGAAAGGACAGATGAAACACTGAGGATTCTCTCATCAGACAAAAATCAAAGAAGAAAGATAGCAACCTGTCAGACTACCAGCCAAACGCTACCTGTCTATGGAGGGGGAAAAAAGGCCAGGTATACCGTGCTAAAACATAAACTGGTACACTATTAGGAACCATACAATATCACTCTCACTCATACATTCACTCACTCACACACTTATTTCCAAGTAGCCATTCAACCCACTTTATAACACATAATAATTCAAACACATTTCTTAAAATAATAAAAAAAAATACAAATAGTGTTATTAGTTCCATAAACCAACTGTAATTGCTGTCAGTACTGACAAGTCTACACAAAAGCCTAAACAGATCTGCTTTGGATTATTACATTTTAAAGAACACTATAAGTTTGATGGCTTACGTCAGCAAACATCTAAAAATGCGGAGTTTCCTTGCTTGAGAAAAGACATGAAACTCATGGCATGGTGTTTCACCTTTGTTGTTTACTATCTCTTCTTAAGGAATAATAAAAAGAAGTGTGATATTGCAGTTTGCAGAACAAGCTTTTTTTTAAAAGGACCAATGAATTCTGCAATTAAAGCCTACTGTAACTAGCTGTGCTGACAGTAACAGAGTATTTCCATTTTCTGATACTTTTTTGTATTGATCCAAAGATTACTTAGAATTTAAGGGGCTAAAATGTCTACCTTTCACACTGTGAACACCATAGTTCAAATAATGCACACAGTAGCCTGTCATATTTAGGAACAGTAACTAAGGCAGCTAATGGACATGCCAAATGTTTGTTGTTGAATTCCAGACGAACTCAGTATAGTAAACGAATACAGAGTGTCCCCCTGGCTTTTTTCCACCCTACATAAACAATCTGCACTGCTAAGGCTTTACTAGCCACCTCTACAGGCTCCTCTAAAAATCATCCATTTTAGCCAGTAATGCAGTTACCATACCAATGTTTGCGTGGCTTTAGGCTGCGTATTTCTATGAGGATCAGAAAGTTTTGAATGCAGCATTATCTGTGGTTGCTCTTAACTCCAAAACATGATAGACTTTCAAAACACGGTTTTTATTAACAGAAGAGAAAGCTCATATCTGCCATGGTGAAAAATGTGCATATGTTTGCATTATTATCAGTATCATGTAGGCTAAAAAGTTACAATATATGTACACAGTCGAGTCACATTATTATGACCACTTCCTACTTTCGACGGCAGCAGCGCATAGCTCATGAAGGAAGTCACGTGTCGATAGCTGGCTTGGTGGGTATATAAGAAATGAATCCATCCTTGCACATCACGAACACCCATACATGCTGATTGTCTTCCCTGGGGCGGATGGGATCTTCCAGCAAGACAATGCGACGTCACATGGCTAGAAATGTCTGACACTGGTTGGATAAGCATGACTGAAACTTCCAAGTACTACCCTGGCACCCTAACACCCCAGACTTGAACCCAATTGAGCATCTGTGGGACCATCTCGATCGTTGGGTTTGCTCTGTGGATCCTCCCCCATGCACCCTCCAGCAGATGTGGGATGCACTGCAGTCAGCATAGCTCCAGATACCGGTGACAACCGGCCAGGACCTTACTGAGTCACTCCCAGCCCGTCTAGCTGCTATCCGTGCTGTCCACGGTGGTTACTCGGCGGATATTAGCTGGTGGTCATAATGTGACTCGACTGTGTATATATATATATATATATATATATATATATATATATATATATATATATATATATATATATATATATATATATATATACCCAGAGTTCAGGAATCAGAAACAGTATGGGAAGAGAAAAACTGGGATAGATGCATCCTCAAGATGTGTAACAAATTTAAATGCAAATGTATGAATACATTGCCATTTACATTTTAAATATTACATTTTCTTTTCAATTTCGATACTGATATTCTTCCATACCTATTTAAATGGTAGGAGAAAAACTGAAAACTGATCCCGTCACCTGTTGTACTGAAGCAAAGGAAAGTTATTCCAGTCTACTGTACACTAGAGCTCTGCATTCCTGCAGGACTCCCGTGTGACCCACCCACAATATTTTGTGGCGTGGGGCCAATTTTCAGTGTGCAGCAGCAGGTGGTTAACCAGCCCAGTGCACATGGGCAAATCTCAAATTAAATGATGAGCTAAACAATATGAAAACAATTACTTAATAATTAGTAAATATAAATAAAATCTAACAGCAAAAGACCTAAAATTAATAAACTCGTTCCTAATAGTAGTGAAGCCACAAATCATGTGAACAGACCCTTTAAACATTCAGAAAGGCACAGCTGTGGAAAAGGCTGAACGCAAATACAAAAGTGAATAAAGGCATATTCGACAGCTGGCAGGCTGATCTCTGTCTAACGCTGAAAAAACCTCGACATATGCACCCACCCACCTTTTTGATTCAATATGGTGAGCAACCAAGGTGCTTATATTGAGTATGATCTACTATCAGCTCAAAGGTTGGTTATGTGGGAAAGTTAGTTGCAGACTTACTGTGAACTCAAGACGGGTGATTTGGTCTCTGGCTTTGCGAAGCTCCTTCAGAACTTTATGGAGCTGGTGCTGTAGACTCTGTCGGTCTAACTTCTCATTCTCAAAGTCTTTGGCTGAGATCTGGATCTGCCAAATGAAGATGGAACTGCTTAGGAGATTCCTTCAGACATCTCTCTTGTATACGGACAGACATTCCGTCAATAAAATGTTGCGTTTTATACCTGTTGCTCCAGAAGAGTAATTCTTTGTTGCTCATCGTGCTGTTTCAGTACGGACTTCTGCAGCAGGTTCACCTTTCAACAAAGTAAAATGTGACAACTGTATGTAGACATTCTGTAGAATTTGAAGCAGGAACAATCGAGAAATTGTCTGTGGTAATGAGCAAAATAGTGTTGACAGGAGGATAAAACTACAATTTTAGAATGCAACAGTGGTAATGGAATAGCATAATTTAAGCATGCAGGTTAAGAACAATTTCAAAATGTAACTTCTTCCTTCAGCCAACAGTGTTTATTTTTCTCTTTACTACATTAAAATGAAGCCAGCCGAAATGCAAACAATTTTGATCATGGTTTCAGTTGCTGTGCTTCGGCCATGGATGCAGAATGTTTCTCCAAGATGCTCATGCATGACATGCTGTTGTGAGCTTGGTTTTCCACATTTAAGGCTGCAAGATTGCCATTGCCACTGTGTTAGATATTGAAAGTGCTTTTGAATAAGTAAAAAGAAATACAGTGTCAGAAACCACATAAGAAAATCTGTTTAAGATTACTTACCAACTCACAGTTTGGCTTACGTTTGTGACGTTTTAGGTATATAGTTTGTGCAGCAAAAGTTACTATTGATAGCTTCATTAGCCATGCAGCTACAGTACAAAACCACACAAAGAAACTTGTCTTGGCTGATCGACTACATTTGAGGTACTGTGTACATTTGACTTTCCGAACTGTCAACATTTCATTTTTACAGTTTTACCCTTTAAGTCCACTTAAATCTTTATAGTTTTATATATCAATAATTCTTACCAACACTCAATAAATCTTAATTTACTTTTACATGAAAATTTTTTATCTTCACTTTACAATACAGAAACTGTTTTTGTTATTACACAGAATAAACTTTTAAGCCCTGACTGAAATCCTCAATAAGATTGGGAAAAAAACCTCAGCCACTCAGCCAGGAACAGCACAACATGTAATTGTTCTCCCACATCTTCCAGAGACTGTCTGCTAAAACAGCACCCTTTATCACTCCATTAGGAATGGGTGGGCTGAACCACTTCCGGCTGCATGGGTGGTCATATTTAAATGTGCCGAATTGAAAACAGACTATTCCCAGCTTAGTGACCATGTTTATAGACTGTGTAGAAAGGAAGGAGAATGATATAGCAAGAATCTTTAAACATGTTCCCAGCTTAGTGTCCATGTTTATAGACTGTGTAGAAAGGAAGGAGAATGATATAGCAAGAATCTTTAAACATGTTCCAATTTTCTATCAAACTTACTAAAAAAAAGCCAGAAAAAAACGTCAATCACAATGGCCTATACGATCAAACGTTCTGACACTTACCAGTGCAAACTGAAATTAATTGTGCTGCGTTGTGAATGTGACATTATGGCAGTACTATTACACTGTCCTATTTGTAAAGACTACAATGATCAAAAATACATGCATGCTCAGTGTACCTGCAGCAGCAGCTCAGCTGCTCTTTTCCTTTCGTCCTCTAGTCTGGCATCAGCCGCGTTCACTTCGTTTTGCAGTCTGGCTGTTCGTTCAGCCGCCAGCTTTCTCTCATCAGACAGCATCTGTTGGACACTCCTCCGCTCCTCTTGTGCTCGTGCAACCTCCCGACTCCTGTCCTCACATTGGGCCTTCAGCTCCTTCAGCTTAGCCTGCAGCTGGCTTGCCCTCTCTCGCTCTTCCTGTAGCTCCCGTCGCACTACCTGCAGCACTTGCTCCTGATCTTGCCTAGCAGTGGGCAATGACTGGTCTGTGCCAAAGTAGAGAGAAATACATTAAGGTACTTCAGCTTGAAATTAACAGCAAAATCTGCACATTTGCACAGGAATCCTGTATTACTTAAATCAAAAGACTTTGTTTTGTTTTTCAGTTTATTTATTTACTTATTTATAGGGCTTATTTTATAGGACTTATTTATATTTCATTTTCACTCACGTTATCCTGTGTGGTTCTCTATGAACTACTACTAGCAATGTATGCCTGCACCCCAAGCATCCTCTCTGGAAGTTCACAAAGAGTCTGCATTATCGACCTAATAGCCTAGATCAATGGCAGAATTACAACAGAATGACACCCCAACAGCCCTATGGATTATCTTGACAAGAGGCACGTTACATCTACATGTCTGCAAATCCAGGGGAATGGCAGAGGTTTAGATTGGGCAATTAAGTTAATTGCAGTTGTTCAACAATCAATCTAATTTACACATTTTACCCCTTACCCCAAATGATGTGGTTAATTAGATAAGACATGTTTGGTGTTGGCAGTTTGCTTCTTTAGGGTTGGACTGTAGCTACAAGTCTAATGTAGTTATAAAATACATGCATATACCCTATTAACTGTGCAAGCAAATTGCATGCCTATGTCACAGATGCCAAATTGTTGAATAATCTCAAATGGACTTGCTCATGTGGTTTCTTACACCTCTTACACTATAAGACACTGCCATCTATAAAAATGGACAAAATTACACTGCATAACTACAAACAGCAGTAGCGCCCATCTTGAACACTGAATTTTCTCTGTACTTTGCACATTTTTAGAGACAACAGTATGTCATACTGTGCCAGAAACCACATTACCATCGTAGCTTTAGTGTAACTTTCTTAGATTTATGAAAAAAAAAAACTAGTTCAAAATCTGCACTTAATTCTCTTTAGTGTCAAAAAGGGTATAATATTTCATTGTTATTGTGATAAATTATGTCACAATACACTTTTCTGAGCATATCATGGATACAGTTACTTAAAGGAGACTGTCTAACTACATGTTTCATTACAAAGTGGGCATAAATGATTAGACCCGTTTAACTGGATTTACTGCATTAAGTTTGTAAAACATTGATTAGAAATCATTGCAGTTGTGTTTTTATTATTATTATTATTATTATTATTATTATTATAGATTTTCTATATTGCACTACAGGTTCTATTTTGTCTGTTCCAACATGTTAAATTGAAATATCATGATGCATATTATGTATTGTGAAATTGCTTTTGTCATTTCACCTAGCTCTAGTGCCTACACTAGACTTTACAGATCAAGCTATGGTGTGGCTCTTGTCTCTTAGATTATACATTATTGCTAGTACTTTGTATTGCTTTGGCTTCCACTGTTTTGTGAGCAACTCTGTGAGTGTCTTCTAAATGACTAAATGTGAACTCACTTTGTTATCTACCACATATTGTTACATGCCCTTTAAAGTACAGCACTATCTACTACATCTGTTCACTTTTTGTTGTACAGGGTTATAGTGTATATAACGACTATGACTTTAAATGAACGGTAAACTTAAAACACACTGGGTTTCTGGAGTCAGTTATAAATGGTAGATTTCCTAGAGCAAATCACACCTAAACAACTTTCTTCAAGTGAAATATTTTTCTGAGGCCAGACATTTTTCCCCCTTTTACCCTCTGAATTGGCTTCTTTGTGTGGTTGCTTGAGAGCTTGCTTGGCTTGGTTTAACTGCTGCTCAAGCTCTGCCGTCCTTGCCAGAATCCCCTGAACATAGGCCTCTCTCTGCTGATCATAAACAAGCCAGTGCTGGTTCTTCTCCAAGGCCTTGCACACAATAGTGCGGGACAGGAGGGAAAGAAAACACGTCAGTCTGTGGCACATTTTGCTTAATAGGCCAGCTCTATGAAGAATCAGAGATCAGAATGTGATAATAGAATCATATTGCTTGTGAACTCACATCTCGCAGTTGCTCTTGGACCATGGTAATCTCACTCGAAGAAACCTGTAAATAACAATTATGAAATTAATCAAAATGTTTATTACATAAACTTACAGCCAAACTTCATATAGTACATTAATACTGTATTGTCATTATATTGCAACTACAATAAGCCTTGCAGTATATTAAAACACACTTGTGAACCTTTGATGTGACATGATTAAAAGACCATCCTGCATTATTTTGTCTGGTAATTTACACTTGTTAGATCACATCAGCCTTGAATATCCATCCACAGAGTCAATGGGAACATCTAAAAATGGTGCGGTAGACAGATATTACATTGTTTCTTTTTTTTAAACCTAGCCACAATGTAAAATTCTGCCACCACCAGTGGCAACGTTCTGCAGGCCGCAGCCAAACGTCTCATTGTTGAATTCTAGACAACTCAGTACTGTACAACAAAAGTAAAAGAGACCAGAGGGTCCTCCTGGCAGTCACCATACCAACGTTTGTGTGACTTCACACCTCCATAGGCTGCGTATAAAAGCCCCATGCAGGAACTTTTCCTTGTACAGTATCCTTACTTCGCAAGCAAAATACTATTTGCAATTATCATCAATTTCATGTAGGCTAAAAACTAACAGTTCAAATCAAACAATGTGGTTAAATATGAAATGAATAATAAGGGTGTCTCATTTTAAAAATCCTCAATTTAAACATCAGCTAACAAGCAGCACAACTCATGCTGGCTAATAACAAACATGTCTGCAATTTGGAGGTATTTTACACTTGATACAGCTGATACATAAGAATTAAACTTACATTTTCTTTGAATGTTCAGATTTTACAACTTTATTGTTGCGCTGAAAAGTTTACACTGGAAATATAAATACTATTTATCTCGCTGTTGCATTATCCGGAAGCACATTAATAAGAGTTTCTTCATTCGTGGTTTTCAAGCTTATTAATTTTCATTTTTATTACTCTATTGCTCTAGTTACAGCCTCATGTTAGACACAGTAAGGTATACAAAATATATAACACATGTTCTCCCGTTACCAGGAGACCACTCACTGCTGCTGCTGCTTTCTCTGCAGTTTGCACTGAGGCAGTAAAGATGCAGCAGGCAAACACACTTAAGCATGGGTCATGGATTTAAAAATGTGGCATTTTTTAAAAGTGAGTTTTACATGTACATAAACTCAAATGTGTTCAGGCCTTAAAATTAACTCATTTAAAAGCTTTAATTCACCTGTGAGTGACTTTTTGCCATTTTTCTTTGTTTACTTGCTGTATTTTCTTTTGTGTGCTCTCATTTTTATTGGCTGTTGCAGGAGTCTGTTCAAAATTTCTCAATTTTTAGGGGCAGTTTAGCTACGGTTGAACACCAGCTTGGCTAAACCCATCACTGAGTTTATTAGCACAAATGTGGTATGGAGTGAAAGTTTAGAATAGGGCTAGAACAGTACATTTTAAAATTTAAGTTAAGTAACAGTCTGCACTTCATTAACTCAGTAAGCAATATTCACAGTAAATTTATTCCTTTATGCCCAACACCAACGGAGGTCTCTTCGTTCTACCTGCCAGTCTGTCAGTTCCGGTACACCAGTAGTACAAATGTTTGTCCAAGAGGGTCTTCATCCAGTTTGGTGAGATCACTGATTCAACTCATCAGTTAACTAACATGTTGCATAAGTGTTTGAGTAGTGAAATGACCAAACTACCCATCACTCCAGCCCTCCAGAACCTGGGCTGAACACCCTACAGTACACGACCCCTGGATGAGGGCTTTATCAGGTTGGACACAGAACTGAATAGAACACCACTGCTTTGGAAGTATCCCTACTGGTAGGTGTCCATTTTTACCTCACTCTCCTCAACCTATTCAAGCTTCATTTTTCGAGGTTTGCTTGTTGAATAGTTCTGACATCCATTAAGCTTACCCCAATTCTTTCTATGTTTTTATTCAATGGTGATGTCTTGTGATTATAATGTTCATTGACAAAATTATATTGAAAGTTGTGTTTTTTATATTGCAGTTGCATATTTACACTGCAGAGACAATGAAAAAAATGAGGGTGTGGCATCTGATAAAGGACCTAATTTTTCATTAGCTAAAAACTGAAAATTCATACAGTACGGAGATAAACTAAATTTGTAGTTCACAGTATAGCTTCAAATATTATATGCAGAAATAAATTATAGGCTTGAAAAACAGGAACTCTACATATACTATATTTAGCAAAAATAACTATTGCTTGATCCCCCCACCCTTCTTCTGATAAACTAAATGAAAGAACACTAGACAGAGTGCAATGAATAAATTTATGTAGACTGACTCCGCTAAGTGACTGGTAGTAACCCTCACTCCACTCCAGTTTTTGTCTACAACAATGATACAGCCAGTTACCATTGCAGTATATCAACATGTAATGGACTGTTGTTGTTTCTGCCAAGCAGCCACCATCAAGCGTAACTCTACAAATGTCTCGGAAAGCAGCTCCAAAGCAAGGTATGGCTTGATGTGGACCCAGTGAAGCACTTGAAGTGCAGAGTGATATTGCAAGGCAAGCAAGACTAGAGCATAATGCTGTTCTAGTATGCCATCTAGTGTTCACTGAAATCAAACTATATAGGTTTAACCCTTCGAACTCTAGAAAAAACGTCTGCTGTTTGCTATACTAGTAAAATGCAACATTCATCATTACATAATGAACTATTTTTTCTTTGATTTACATTCGGTATTGACAGATTTGAGCCTGCACTTCTGACCTTTATGCCCTATTAATTTTGCTGTCAAAAAATGACAAACATGTCATCTGGAATCTTACTGAAGCTGCAAGAAAAACACTAGCATTTTCCTTTGTGAAGATTATACTGCTTGAATGTACTTGTATGTTTCTTTTGCAACATAAGTTGGACTTCCAGAGACAGGATTTTGAAGACAAATCTACCAGGAAGCAACTATTATATTGTATGTGCTTTACATTTGCATACTCAGCATTTCTGACTTGATATAACAGAATATTGCAGAAGGGAAAAAAAAAATCTATGCAATTTAGGTGACGTAAAAATGCTTTATTAGGCTAATTAAAGTATAATATAATATAATACAAAATAATATAAACTTAGAGATAGGTGAGCATTTATAGAAAGGAAAGAAAAAAAAAACGTTTTACTATAGCGTCTCAGTACAGTCTTGGGCACCATAAGGCACCAGAACAGCTTCTACAAGTCTCTGGAACCGTACTGGAGGTATCTCCCATCTTTTTAAACTAAGTCGAAAACAGAAACAACTAAAACATACAATATAATCACAGGCCTTTTACATCATATGACACTGGTTGTCAGACAGCTGACTGAGAAACGGATTCCAAAATGTATAATGGCAGACTTTGAAAGACAACTGATGCAATGAACTGAGATACAGTAAACAGAAACATGATTTGAACACATGCTGTGATAATTTCATGACAGCCATTAATGGTTTCACTGACAGATACACAAACATGTAGGAGCAGCCCTAAAAGGAGCCCTTTGTGCTAATAGCATGGGCATACCCCAGGGGTCAGTTCTAGGTCCACTGTTCAGCATGTATATTAACGACCTATCTGAGAGATGTCCTGGGGTTGGCTGCCAATATATGCTGATGATCGTGTTATGTGTCCATATGTCAGAACAGCTAGCAAGGCTGCTGACCAGCTTGCTGAATCATTACATGCTGTATTGCAATGGCTTAAATCATGTCACTTCACACTGAATATAACTTTCAATATGTTTTTCTATACGTAGACAACGCCAAAATGAAACATCAATGGTAAAAATAAACGAGATCATCAGCAAGGTTGACAGTGACATGTACTTAGGAATCATTTTGATAAACAGTGAATAATATTCACAAAAAAAGCTCTTACTTAACTGCTTAAAATTTATTAGCAAGTACCTACCATTTTTACAGCCTAGCTCTACATGTATGTCATGATATTCTCACATTTATCATACTGCATCACTTCCTGGTCACAAGCCACACAATCAACTATAATTATCCCTATACAACGAGACAATAAAAACTACGGAGAAAAAAAATGAATGAGGTGACATCACTTGGAGAAAATATAACATGTTGAGCTTTGAAAGCTTTATAAGCTCATTTTTGTAAGTGCCTACATGGTCATGCTTCTCCCTTGCTTAATGAATAACAACAGACGACGAACGGTAATCGTCACATCGTAATGTGCAAAGCCCTGTTTGGACAGTCAGCATTATCTGTTAAAGGAGCAACATTTTGAAATTGTTTACTCACAGAGTTTACTTTTGTTTTCAATGGAGGTGTTAAAACATGGCTAAAAGAGAAACATTATTGCTCTTACACTTTTATTATTGTACCGACACGTCTGTATTTTATTGTACTTGTACTTTATCTATTGTTTTCTTTGTATTTTTTTTTATTTTTTTAATTTTTAAAAAACCCTCCCTTGGAAAGGTTTAATAAATTAGCATTTCACTTTAAAACACTACAGCGCATCAAGTGATTGGCGTTGGAACTGAAACAATTATGCACACTGTTATGGCCCTGTCAACTATAAAAAATAAACTATAAAAGGACACACAAACTACACAAAGGACTCTCTAGAATCTGTTAGCCATCTTGGACAATAACTCACACCCCCTGCATACTACACTGGAAAAACAGAGAAGCGCATTCAGTGGTAGACTGTTAGAGCTGCACTGTGTGAGAGAGTGCCATATAAGATCTTTCTTACCCACTGCTGTAAGACTCAACAATAAGTCTCCTTACTGCAGAGACGGTACTGATCTCCAGCTGTCTGAAGTGCACTGAATCACTGCACACAGCCCATTGTTAATAATGCAAAATATCATTCTGCTACTGTAATGACACTCGCTGTACACTTTAGACTATAAATGCTGCTGCCACTCTGAGTTATGTATATACTCATTGTGTTAATTACCTCATAACATGTAGTGAAATACTAGCTCTCATGTGAAATTAAAGAAATCTGTCTTATATGCTTATGTAAATATACCAAAAGATACACTTCACTTCTTATTCTCTCATATTCTACCCTAATTTATGTTTATTACTTTTTCTGCCTAACATATAAGGTTATGTCCAACTATACCTCTTGCTCCTGCACCGTAATCCTATATCCCATATGATGGAAACATTTTATCATATGTCCGTTTTTGTAGACTGTCCTTCTAGGCTCATTTATGCTCCCTTTATATGAAAATAAATGTGTCCGTTTCAAACAATATAACCATCAATGCGCACATACTTCTACGCATCCTTTATGTTGACATGGATGTTAAGCAATACATCCACTAGAGGGCAGTGCAGAGTCAAAAAGTTTCTGACAGACAAACATGAGGAGGGTGGAGGAGGTCTTAATAATGTACCTACTACCATAGATATACATACCTAGATGCCAGCTTCAACATAACCTACTTACACAAACCTGAAGCTTTTATTTGCCAGCTCCTTGTTCGAATTTTCCCGTTCCACCTTAAATGGTGCATCAGCCAGCTTCTTGTTACAATTTTCCCATTCCACCTTAAATGGTGCAGCTTCAGGCCCCAGAAAGTGGCTGCTGCACCATTTAAGCTGAAATGCAAAAAACTCGAACCAGAAGCTGGCGAGTAGGAAGCCAACTTTAGCTTCATCCTTACTATGTTTTGGGGGGGTTATTTTATTTTTATGTGTATTAAGATTAGAAGTGATTTGCTGATTGTGACATTAAGTTTCTAACGGAGCTCATGCTAAACTCAGACTGAATAATTTTCTGCTGGTCTGGAAGGCTAATTTGCATGACCAGTTTTTAAAGAAGTAAAAGCTACCGAGAGCAGTCCATGCAGGATTATAACAAAACAAATTTAGTGAAAATCGGTTGAATAATAAGGAAGTTGTGGCCGATGTAATCCTGACTCATCATCTCTCAATACAAGTGAATTTATTCACAAGCGGATCTTGACCGCTCCAATATGGTGGACGCGTCGACGTATCACTTCAGATAGAGAACAGACAACGCGGCATCTAGGTATGTATATCTATGGGTGGAGGAGGTCTTAATGTACCTACTCCAGAAGAGATGAAAGAGGCAGCACTGTAGACGCCAGTGTTCTGTGAGGCCATTAAATACTTTGCGACATGTGAACAGAGAATTGTTTTTACTTATATTACCAATGAGAGAAATTGACATGTCAAGCTTGAACTATCAGCTACACTACCCCCACGATTTCCAGTGGTACTGCTCAGTTTCGCCTGTATCTGTAAGCTTTCATGTGCACATACAGACGAATTAACTCACAGTTCGAACAGAAGGCTCCATCTGTATCCATATTTAACATTGAGCATAAATAAGCCTTGAGGGTAATCAGACTCACACAATGCCAGCAAAATGTCCCCCGCAGCTCAACAGTGATTGGAACCCCCCACCTAAATGCTTGGGATCAAGCACTCAGGCCGTTAATGTTCTCTTGGTGCACACCACACATGCACTCGCCTACTTGCTGAGAATTTGGTCAAGGATGACTCATTTGACAATATCACTTTTTCCACATCTCTGAAGACCTGCGGCCAGTTGCACCAGCTGAACACAATTTCGATCGTAGCCTAGTTTGAACGTACACTGCCACTACATTAAAGCTTACGAGCTACTAGAATTTAACCAGTTACACCAAGTAACATAGTTTCAACTTAGCTTTAAGTTATAATTTATAATGTACACACACCCTATAGTAGGTGTTATGCCGTAAAAATCAGTTCAAATGGCTGGTCGATTTGATCTATGGGAAAACTTCCAAGAAAACGAAATATGTCTCGGTTTGCGTCGGCGAACAGTTCTGCAGGATAGATTACACCCGTTTTCGTCAATCGGAGATAGAAAAGATCACAGACCTCCTAGTCGCAGATTTACATAAGAACACAGACAGGAACGGAGTGCTGAGTACTACCTTGTGTCTGGCACAGAGATATTTTTCTACAGGGTCTTTCCAAAACAGATAGGTGACTCTGTTCCAAGTATACAAGTAAACTGCATGCAGAGCAATAACTGCATCAGTGCTCAGGTTGTGTATGACGCTGACCTTTTTAAAACATAACTAACATAGCAAACATTACCGTTTTGTCATTCATCAGATTCAAATAACGATTATGTTAGTCGCAACTACGCTAACAGCACCGACCGTTCATTGATAAAGAGTTGTTAAAATACTGTGCATGAGAGCCCAGTTTGAACATCAAATTAATTCCAAGCAGAAGGAAGGAACAAACATACATATGAGATGGATGGTTTGAGGATGCCACTTTACTGTAAAACAGTCTCTTTTTGAATGCGTGTGGAGAGGACGCGTGTAATATTTCCTGTTTGTGTTGGGTAGCATTTACTGATGGGCTGCAGAGAATGAAAACGTCATTCTGTGCCACAGTGTTTTGGCCTATGGTCACTTTATGCACTACTAGTTAAGATGTACCATAAGTATCTGTGGTGTAACCAAAATTCTGTGTGTTGATAGTTTTAAACTAACTACTCTCAGCGAAAGGTGTAGGCGTTCTCCCACTCTCCAATGCCACACATACAGCATCCTCAGTTTACTTCCGTTTAAATCAAGGCTGTATCTTGCATGAACCCACTTCTTTCTTTCACTTTTGTGGCTTGGGAATGCACCAACACTAAAACATGACCGTAACAGTGCTGTAGTTGTGTGGAGCAGATGTGATTTAATGCTGGTAAAGCTTGTTAGGATGTTAGGAAAGAGGTGAGTTCGCTCTAGAACAGAATAGTTGCACCACTTATCTCATCACTCACACTTGGTCACAGGAGAACAGATCGCCAATCGCTCCACTCAAACAGGGAATTTATTTATTTTAACTCCACGTTTCAGACGTTGCTAAAGTATATTTGGTGACTCATTTCCTTCCGCAGAATTCTTGGACAGGCCAGTGTAGAAAGCTCCTCACCTGTAACTCTGTGCTGCTTTTCTGAAGTGCTTGGGATCTCTGCGTGACCGTCACAAGCTTGTTCTTCAGCTCTTCTGTCTCCTGCAAGAGGGCCTGGAATACTTTGTCTTTCTGCTCTGCCTCCTTTTTCTTCAGCTCTAGCTGGTCCTGCAGCGACGCCACCACCTCTCCACTCTCTGTCCGCAGCTGCTGTCTCAAGATGGCAATCTCCTGCTCCTTAGCCAACAGCTGCTGAGCGTTCGTCTCCCTCAGAGTCTCCAGGGACACAATTCTCTGAAGAAGAAATTAGGGGTGTAAATCTATGACCTTACAATTTGGTTTGACACCAATTCCTTGTAAAACAAAACAAGTCAATGCGTCATGAAATCTCTAATTCCACCACGATTCAATGATAATTTTGGTACAATTGAGGATTTTTTAAATACACAAATGGACATGAATTAAAAACTAGATAAGTTAGATAAGTTTCCTTTCAAAATTTTTTTTACAAAAATTTGTCGCTAATTCATGCATGTCGAAAACTTTTTTTCAGTTCAGCTTTATCTGGAAAAGTGTCTGTCGATATTTCGAATGTCACAGAAAACTCACTGGGAAGTGTTTTAAATCCACTTATGCATACATTTAGTGCCATCTGACCAATTTTCCTCATGTGCCTTCTACAAGAAACACAAACAGTGCGGTGGAGAGGTATAGATGTACTGAGAAGGCGACCAGAGTGCTTTAAAAGGAAAGCTGCACTTTTCAGCTCTTTCAGAGAGAGATGTCTTGAAAAGACTACAGTGATCTCTCGGATAACCGTCCCAACGGAAAAAAAATACATAAGCAGAAGAAACGTAAAATAAATTAAAAATCACCTTTCCTTATCAGAAAGTTATGGAGAAGTCAGGTAAGCCAACTGCTGTATACACCAGGGGAAAGGTTTTATTTCCGATGTTCGCTTTTTCAGCACTAATAACTTCTCAACTGACCATGCTAGCAAGTAAAGACTTTCATATTGATGACTGTTTGACCACAGAGAATGATGCGCATCTTTTTTGTGTTTTGGGTGACATTTAATATAACCTTTTTGTGTTAACACCGAGATCACATTTTCAATCAGAATAAAATACACATACATGCACACACATTTGTTTTCCTCCAGATTGTTTCAGTGCATTTAAAATACATAATTTATTTTTCCCACTTTGGGGGGAAAAAAAGTCAGTAGCTCCTTAATTACTGGGTCTATAATGCACACCACTTTAATTTTGAAAAAGGATTTTAAATTAACCGGTAGCTAACAAATGTACTTCTCAATACTTATTCTAACACAGTGACCTTACCTGTAAAAGTACGTTAAATATATCATTATGTCTTTATTTGCAGAGAATTAACAATAATAGGTTATATTAAATACTGCTATTATAGAAAGGAGACAAGGGAAAATAACCAACAGAACCACGGATACCTAGTCATTTAGACTTCAGCAGATCACATACAACTATAATCAACTGTGTAAATGGCAGTTAGTAGCAGCAATAACACACATCAGGATTTTAGAATTAACGCAAACTAATGCAATACTTGCTTTACTAAATTATTTATTTTACATTTTGAAATTAAACTGCATTTCAAACAAATATCATACAACACTAATCAACTATGTAAGGTGCACCTAGGTGCCAGCAAGAATGCACAACCTATAGATTTTGAATGTAATGCAATGACTTCTTTATATGAATTATTATGTAATTTAAGTTTTAATAGTATTTTTGCTGCACTATATAAAATGCAAAAAGCAACTGTGTATGGTGAAGCGAGGTGTCTAATTATGCACAACCTATGGATTTTGAATGTAATAACTACTTTCTATTAATTTCATTAGCATTTTTAGCCACATTACATACAGCACCATACAACTGTGCATGGTGCAGCTAGGTGTCAGCAATCATGCACAACGTTTGTTTTTTGGATGTAATGCAATGCCTACTTTCTATTAATTATGTACTTTGAATGTCAGCTGCATTACCTACAACACTAAAAACAAGTGTGTATGGTGCAGCTGGATGAGAGCAATCATGCACAACCTTTACATTTTGGATGTACTGCAATAACTACTTTCTATTAATCTTTAGGCACATCAGCTAGGTATCAGCAATCATGTACAACCTTTGGATTTTGGATGCAATACAATGCAATTTAGCTGCACTACATACATACAAATCAGTTGCATTACATCCAAAGGTAACTGAAATAAGTAGATATTTAATTACATCCATATTATTATTTAAATGAATATAAAGTATATATTACAATACATCCATGAACCAAAGCTTGTGCATCATCAATGGCTTTTGTTTGCACATATTACAGCTGGTTTTAGGATAACAGAATAGCACATAACCCATCAACAAGACGTCAATTTGTAGATGGCCCCTAACTTGACTGGCTGAGTGTCTGGTGGATTTGTAACACACACAGTTGCAGTTAGATAATTACACTTAAATAAGACGTGTTCTCTTGTATATGCTTATGTGACTGAAAACAAGCCATTTTTAAACAAACAAACAAACAAACAAACAAACATCTATTGAACTATTGATTTATTCAATACTGTGAACGTCTGACAAATATTGAACGACCAATATCAAGCTAACTTTGTCAGTGTAATATCTAATGTATGTAATAGCAATATTTAAAACAGCATTTCACCTGGGTAGTTACTGTATACAAAGTGCGACATACATGAAATTAGAAATAGAAACATGTTAACCACCACTTTTTTAATCGATAAACCAAAGCTTGTGAGAAACGTTTTTTGCAGGAAACAACGTCATTACGCAAAGCATATTTATCACAAAACTTAGTCTGATGGAAACAAGCAAAACACCGGTCGAAACGAAGATACTGCTGTGCTGACGACGGTACACCAGCCATTTAGTATACAGGGTGTCCCAGAAAATTTGCATCATTTCGTAGTCTAATAACATAGCCAATTCTCCCTCAAATGATCTCAAATTTTAACAAAATGTGTAAAAACTAACCAAGTTTAATCTTTAATGTTTTGTCAGGTTGAAGAATGGCGTTCACTAGTAATGAAAAGGCATTTTGTGTTAGAATATGCTCGAACACAGTCAAACAAGAGTGTGCAGCGTGCATTTTCGAGAAAATTCAATAAAAATGCAACAACTGGAAAGCAGATTTGGACATGTCACTAAAAATTCAAAGAGGAAGCTTAATTTAGAGCACCGGTCCAGTACGGCCAGTGACTGACTCACCTCCAGAAGTTTAGCTTTGTCCGAATCACGACGTGTAAGCGGATGCTTTCCGTTTCGCTTTGACATTTCATCCAAAGTCTTCTTCAGCTGGGCGTTTTCTTTCTTCACCTTCTCCAGCTCAGCTTCCATGGACTTCGAGCCACTGTTTTTAAATCCTAGTTTATGTGCTATTGTTTCTTTTGCTCCTTTTGATGCCATGACTGGAGTGTTTTCTGAAAAATAAACAGGTGGCTCTAGTAATGCTCCGTGATGGACGATATTCCAGTTTGTTATGAAAAAGTCAAGGCAAAAGTGGACAAAACGCAACGCTGTCAACCGTTTAAGTTACCTTACTGTGATCTAAACTGTACAGCTAACCTAATGACTTTAAGCGTTACTGTTTCTGAAAAGTACCTATTAAATGTTAAATATTAACAGAAATGTACACTAGCGCTACGCTGCTTGTTTATTGACGTAAAGAAACAGTAAATTAATCAACATTGGAAGCGAAGAAAACACTAAAGTATCACTTACAGGTCGAGTAGGTTACTCGTTTCAAAATACGGGGAAAACCTCAACACAAACCGCCTCAACACCAGTTTAAACGCTGCGCCGCGTCTCACGTCACTTCATTTAAATCAGGACTGCGTTAGAGCAGCTCAGATTCGCGCACCGTTTACGTAGATACGCCAGGGGAATACAGCTTGGATAATGGTCTTAAAGCTGCGTAAAATATGCGCCACCGCAGCCGGCACTTTAAGCCCCACAGGGCTCGTTCCAGAGATTCCGGAAGTAAAATTCACATTAAATTTCTCCATAGACATTTCGAAAAATCCTTATATAAACGGATTTAAGCCTTGGAGATCTATCATGACATTACAAACATTCAGTCGGAGCAAAAATAGTTTTAAAAAATGAACAAAAACTGTGCGCTTAACGTTTTTAATGTCGGAATGAACTACTTATCCCAAAAAGCAAAAGTGATGTCAAGCCATTTCCTTCTCTCCCCTTCAAACAATTCTCATCCGATTTCTGCACAGCTCAGTAAATTTCGTCAGAGTACATTTGATGAAAATAGTCGGAATCGCTGCAGCCACAGATATACATACCTAGGTGCCGCCTTGGGTCCAGCCAGGCACGTCAACGGCGCCGCCATTTTGGAGCGGTCAACATCGCTGCTGGACTGCATTCAGTACCATTACAGAGCGGCAATTTAAGAAGAGACTGTCCAAAATTACACTAGTTCAAGAATATTGCACCCAGAAAGTGATATATGATTATTTAATGGAGGGAACGCAGTCATCCACGCTCATGTTTGTGTGATGCGTACTGTTTGTGTGATGTTCATGTGTAGATATGGCCGTGTGGTTGCTGAGGCACAGAGAACGTGTTGATTAGCAAACGAGACAAAATACTGACCTGTTAGTTCGGTGAAACAGCAAAAATAATTTGATGTTACTCAGCTGTTAAGCGTCAATAGTGAAACCTCTTCATATCAGGCCTTTCAACCCTAAATGAAACTCGTCAGCTTCTTTTCCGCCGGCTGCTTGTTCGAATTTTCCCGTTCCACTTTACATGGCTCAGCAGTTCAGAACGTGACTGCTGCACCACTTAAGGTGGAACGGGAAAATTAGAACAAGCAGCCGGCGTAAAAGAAGCTGACTTCAGCTTAATGGAGGGTTGAAAGGCACGATATGAGGAGGTTTATCTTTTTCATGAACAGCTGAGTAACATTAACTTATTTTTGCTGTTTCACAGAACTGACAAGTCAGCATTTTGTCTCGTTTGCTAGCTAATGTTTGTGATAGCAAGCTAGTGACAGCTGCTGCTCCAAGGTGGAACGGGAACATTTAAACAAGAAGCTGGCAAAAAAGAAGCTTAATTCACTGTTTACTGCTGTTATTTACTAAAACAATAAGCCATGAGAGGCCGTGGCTTACAGCGATTTTATCACGGGGAAGGGCGCTGCCTTGAGTGGCTTATTGCTTTTATAAAACTGCGGCCAACATAAATTATATTAAAATACAAAGTGTTTTAGATCATTATTTAAGCTATTATTAACAATAATCGACATAAACAAGCATTCCGCCAAGAAATGTAGCTCCTTTAGAGCGCGGTATCGTTGCTAAGCAACCATGGACCGCTGAATGAGGAGAACGTTTGGTCCATCGCTGTATATTGCGGTCATTTCATGAGCCCTGTTTAATGCAAAACCTTTGTTTTATAAGTACCCTTTGGTCACCAAATTACCACCGCGAGTCTTATTCAGCACCAGCGGCGCACCTGCACCCCAAAGATGCAAAATGCAGCTAAAAAAAGTCTCAGCTATTTAGACTCAGCCACATCCATACATCCATAAATTGTGCACTATTTGGCTGTAGAGCCGTTTGGGATATTCAGCCTGGGTTTGACGGTACAACTGACCGAAACACAAACACATCCATGCACGTGACATTTTAAAGATTTTTTTTTAATCGTCGTTTCACAGTTAATCATACCATAAATACTTTAATTCAAGTCTGTGATATTAATGATAGAGTTGTGTAGGCTTTTAGCCTGTTAGCTAGCTGACCAGCCTAGTTCTAGTTAAGAATGTAGTTAAGTCTCCAGACCTGAGTTTTAACAAAAAAACGGGTTATTACTTCATCAGTATACTCGGTGGTCCATGAGCAGCATGACAGTCGGAGTTTATTCCATTAACAGCACATGGGTGTAATACACGACTCAGTTGTTGTGAGGCGGTCATAGGAGCTGTATATCATGGATTTCACAACGGCTTCGAACGCGGCTCAGCCAATCAGATTTTAGGACCGTATCTATTCGTTTTATTATGAAGTGTTTCCTCTTATGCTCTTTTCCAGCACACTCTAAAAAGTGACGTGTAAATAACGACACACTAACTTGTGTTACACTTTTTGTGTCATATTGTTTTATTATTTAGCACACTGTAAAGTTAAAAATAACCCAAAAATGCGTTGTCCATAAATAGATATCAAAATATTTCAACACATTTTGTGTTAACCGTTTGATGCACAACATGCGTCAAAGGTGAGTTTTTTTTTATAAATTTGTAAAAATGTGTATACATTTTTAATACATTTTTTAAAATAAATGTATTTGATTATTTAAATTAATGACTTTTCTTTAATCATTTTTTTCACTACCATTCTTTCATGTAAACTTTTTATTTAACCTGAGAGTATGCTCTGACACAAAAATAACATTTTGCCAAAAGAATTATGTTTATAAATTCGAAAATAAATTATGTCTGTGATTACGTCATCGATCAACCTAAACTGCCCTGGAAGACGTTTCGGACACTGAAAGAGAAGACAAAGGAGATTCATAAGAAATGGAACAAATTTGTCGCTGAATACGTCGATGTGGCTCCCCCTTACCAGTATGAGCCGGAGATGATCGAAGGCTGCTTGCAGGCATTATGGTGTGCATGCATATAATTATGGAAAATTAATTTATTAAAGCATGTTCTGGAGTCCTGTAATGTACGTTGTTTTAGGACCACTGTTAAAAAATTAAAAATAGTACACTCTTAAAAAGGCTGGGTAGAAACTGACCCAAATGGGGTCATTTTCATAACCTAGTGCTGGGTCAGTATTAGACAAACACAGCATTGGGTAGAAATGACCTCAGCATCTTGGGTTATTATTCTGACCCAGCTTTTTGGGTCAAGCAGTTAACCCAACAGCTGTGTACTTTTTACTGTATTGCTAGATTAAACGAACCCAAGACTGGGTTGTTTTCGTTTTTCCATTTTATTCCATTGATAAATCGAATAAAAATATATATAATACACACACACACACACACACAAACACACAATGTAAATATATATATATATATATATATATATATATATATATATATATATATATATATATACACACACACATACACATACATATATATATACATATATATACATATGTATATGTATATACATATATATATACATTGCTGCTGTCAGAAGAAAACCTCGTATCTCCATAAGTTGCCCTTTACATTGTGTGTGAGTTTCACAATGAATATACCGAAAGAAATGTCCAAAATGACTTGGAAAAAAGTCTGCTTCCATTGACTTACATTAAAAGTAAAGTATGTTTTTTTAAGTTACCATTTTGGAGATACAAGGTTTTTTTCTGACAGCAGCGATATGCACAAGTGGCATGTTAACATTAGCCGAGCAGAACATTAATGACCCAGCTCCACGAAAAATATCTGCGTTTTGTTAAGGTTACTGCCTTTGTAACCATATAAATGTTATATGTCTCTGTAATGCTTTTCTCAGTCAAGACGTTTTCCCTCACAAGTAAGGAGTTTGCTCACTGGGAGAACCAGATAATTTTATTATTTTTGTAATTAATTTTATTTTTTTGTATTTTCAGGGTCCCAACTTGTTTACAATTCCAGATATAAGGGTTATAAAAATGTTCAAATGTTGGCTAGGCATTGGCACAAAGTAGCCTGGCATCAAATTTGAGCTGTTTTTTGGCAAATAGAAAAAAATGTGACCAGCTGTCTCACAGCACTTTTTAAAATCTCTGGGCACAATTTCTGTATAAACGGTGTCCACATTTTCCAGTACAGCAAAATGTTCCAGATGTTAACTGGGTTATCCTTTTTCTCTCCCTGAACAGTTGCTGTAAAGAGGAACTCCATGTGTAGCAAAGCCACTGATGGAGACATTAAAGATTCATCAAGAGATGGTTGTAGCTTACACTGGAATGGGATTCATTTATTTATTTTTTGCAGGTCTGTATACAAGTTAGTCACGAATTTCAATACATCAACAGTTGTTTAAGTGTTAATTTGTATTAATTAAGAATGTATATTAGTCATAGTAATTATTAAATAAATAATAATAAATTATTAAAATACCTAAAACATCAGTGTTTTCATTTTTCTGTTTTAGCATGTAGTTACTGATTCTGATGGTCAACACTCAGCTCATATTTTGTGGCTTTAACAGTTTTTTTTATATGTAATCTATAATTTGGTTGATGGCATTCACTAATAATTCACTTTTTGGAATGTACAACCCCATTTCCAAAAATGTTGGGATGCTGTGCAAAATGTAAATAAAAACAAAATGCAATGATGTGCAAATGATTTAAACCCTATATTTCATTAAAATAGTGCAAAGACAACAAATCAAATGTTGAAACTGAGAAATTTTATTGTTTTTGAGAAATATATGTCCATTTTGAATTTAATGCCAACAACATGTTCCAAAAAAGTTGGGACGGGGGCAACAAAAGCTGGTAAAGTTGTGTGATGCTAAAAAAACACTTCGTGGTTAATAGGTCAATAACATGATTGGGTATAAAAGAGCATCTCAGAGAGGCTGAGTCTTTCAGAAGTAAAGATGAGGAGGGGTTCACCACTCTGTGAAAGACTGCACGAGCAAATAGTGCAACAATTCAAGAATAACGTTTCTCAACATAAAATAGCAAATAACTTTTGCTTTTCATCATCTATGGTACATAATAACATTAAAAGATTCAGAAAATCTGGAGAAATCTCTGTATGCAAGTGACAAGGCCAAAAACCAGTATTTGCTGGCTATGCTCTTTGGGCCCTCAGGCAGCACTGCATTAAAAACAGATGATTCTCTAGTGGAAATTGCTGCATGGGCTCAAAAAAACACTGTGAAAATAATTTGTCGTTGCACCCACAAATGCAAGTTAAAACTCTAAAACACAAAGAAGAAACCATATATAAACAGGATCCAGAAACGCTGCCACCTTCTCTGGGCCTGAACTTTAAAATGGGCTGAGGTGCAGGGGAAAAGTGTCCTGTGGTCTAACGAATCAACATTTGAAATTCTTTTTGGAAATCATGGATGCTGCCTGTGTCGTCTGGGATAAAGACCACTCAGCTTGTTATTTTCTGGCTCACTTTTGGCTGCAGGTATCTGGGCCAGTTCAGGCCTGGCGAGCAGTTTGATTTTGGGCCAGATCTGGCAGCCAGAACCGGGCTGGATAAACTGCTGGTATCACACCAGAACTTACTTGCTTTTTGGCTATGTTTACATGCAAAGATGTTTGCCAATCCGATTGAACACATTTCGCTTATAGATTAAGACTGAGGTGTTTATTTGCTCATTCTACTTCTGATGGAAAATCTCTGTTTACATGCCCACTACAAGTAATCAGATCCAAAATTATATGCATGCGTAGAGAACCACTTAGTGTAGATGTTACCATGACAACGAGCATCACGTGAGCCCAGCCAGAATGAGACAAGCAGCAGTAAGAAGAGCTTGTGTTTTTAAATGCTTTAAAATGATGTCAGACTCAGGAAAATGTACCTCACATGTTCTTATTAAAGAAGGCCGAGAGGAAGACGTCATGTTCAGAGACACATAAGCTGGACGCCCGTCCCACCGCCGTCTTTTAAAGCTCAAAGCATAAACTTCGTCTCCTCTGCATCTCCTGTACTTAAACTTTCTGATTGGGAATGTAATCGAGCACAGGCTCTTACATGGTTGCTATTCTTCTATTTAACCGATTATTTACAGGGTTTCCCACCTCCTTCAATCAGATAGAAATTGTATTCCGAATGGCTTCAAATTGGACTAGTCTGTTCCGACCGAGGTGTATACATGGACATGTTCTATTCTTATTGAGCTATTAGTCAGATTATTAACGGAGTATGTAAAGACGTCTGACAGTAAAGATGGCCTAAAAAACCTCTGCCAAAACTGACCGACAGCTCTGATATTTGAATGAATATTTCAGGCTTTACAGGGAGACCTGCAGCAGCGCAACACTATATTTTAGCTGTTTTTTTTTCTTGGCTCATTAATGTGAATTCTGTCCATTTTAACAAACAAGTCTTACACAGTGCAACTTTAAGCTATTAATTGGACACTTTGTAGTTTCTTGGTTTAACCTTTTGTGAATGATTTCATAACCATTATTTGCATATTTTAAGCATAAACAAATTGCGTGGCAGTCATGGAATCAGTCTTATATTAATGTATCTGTGTACTACACTCTGTGTTGCTAGTTTATTAGATACACCTACCTTTTACACTCACTGGCTAAGTTTTACACTCACTTTTACACTCTATATAGATGTACAATTATAGACTGTGGCCTGTCTGTTGTCATGCACAATTTGTGCACCAGCATATAATATAATTCCAGCATATAATATAATTCTTTTATAAAGACCATCTTATTATCTGGCTGTAGCTTAACCACTGACAATGTCTTGTAGTACTTGTAGTAAATTGTAGTACAATAAATGTAAAAATGGGACAACTGTAAATGTTCTTATTTAAGACACATTATTTAATACATAAGAAGTTGCTTCATGATACATTTTTCTCCAATATTTGTATAATATTATTTATAATGTGATACAGATGAATAGAATATATTTTAGCATATACAGCGTTCTAGTATTTAAAAGCCTGATGTAATCAAGTAATCAAGTGACTCTTCAATTAGGTGAACATTTCTGTCCCCTGCATAGATTTTCAAAGCAAAGCAAACTTTTAAAACCATAATTATTATGTTTATACTGGTGAGGGAGGTCCTACTCAGTGTTAGTAAAGTGTTCTTAATAAAGTACTCAGTGAGCGTATGTGCATTTTATAATAAAGTTCTGCCGTTTCCAATTCTGCTGTCATTACCATCACACTAAAGATTTTGAAGAGCAACGACGAGTTTGTGTGGTTATGACAATGAAAAGTGACAGGAGAGCTCATGACTGGTATGGCAGAAGTGTAACATTTCTACAGCAATTTCAACTACATACAGATTTACAGTCATTTAGATTTTGATTGGAGATCTGTATTAAGCATGATTACCAAATAAGTTAGGTCTACTATTTTAGAAATAGCCAGTTTCACTCTATTTACATATAGGCTATTTTGTGTGGTAACTACTTTGCATACTAGTTATCCGTTTGGGTTAGCAAGTTCAGGACTTTTTCTCTAATAATTAATAAAATTACATGCCATAACTTATGATTCATACATTCATATGATTCATACATTCTGTAAATCCTGTCAAACCTGGTAACAGTTGCTAGGAAAGACTGCATTTGTGGACAGAGCGTGGATTTTCATACCGATATCTTACAAAAGTCCACTTTCGACATTTAAAATGGTGGTGGTGGTGGTGGAGGAGGAGGAGGAATATGACCTTTTCCGGGTGGTGGTGGTGGAGGAGGTGGTTGTGGAATGGTAGAAGTGTTATAAGGAGGCGCTGGTGGTGGTGGTGGAGGTGGCTGTGGAAACACAGAACTGTTCTGAGAAGGTGGTGGTGGTGGTGGTGGTGGTAGAGGCAATGATGAGTCTCTAAATGCTGAGCTAGGTGTAGGAGGAGCAGGAGGTGGTGGGGGTGGACCTCCTACACCAGTGTTAGAGCGAGGTGGTGGAGGAGGTCGAGGAACATGACCTCTTAAGGCACTAGGAAGAGGAGAGGGAGGAGGTGGAGCCATGGAGGCATTTTGTGGGGGCGGAGGTGGTGGAGGCAGCAATGATGAGTCTCCAAAAGTACAGCCTGAAGGTGGAGGAGGAGGCGGTGGAGGAGCAATCATGGAATTGCTCTGAAAAGGAGATGGAGGAGGAGGAGGTGGGAGAGGAGCCATGAACTCAGACTGGGGAGTTGGGGGTGGTGGCAAAAAGGAGTCTCTGAAAGCTGGGCAAGATGGAGAAGGAGGTGGTAGTGGAGGAGCAACTACCGAATTACGTAGTGGAGAAGGAGTTGGTGGTGGCGGAAGGGCTCCAATATCACTGCTTAGGGCAGGTACAGCAGGTGGTGGTGCAGCACCTGAAGAGAAAGTTTGAGGTTGGGGCAGGGAGGAGATGGCTGTGGCTGAGGAAGGAGGCTGAGGAGTGGCACTTGATTGAGGAACCGTGGATGTAAAGCCTACCCAGTTAGGGACTGAGGGAGGAGGAACGGCAATGCCTGAGCTAGACCTAAGAGAGAGAGAGCGAGACAGAAGTACAGAATGTGACAAAACAGTAGTACTAGCCATCCTGAAGGACGATGTTTGTGTGTAATATTGTCTATTTAATCTTCCTTTAAAGAAGCACACTTTAGACAACAAACATGCCATCTGGCAAGTGACATCACTGGCAATGTTTATTATGAACACATACCCGTGTACGTGTGCTCCGTCCTGGGGGTTTGGCTGTGGGGTAGGTGTATCTGTTTCAGGCTTCTTCTGTGCCTAAAGATCACATAAAAATTCTGTCAAAAATACGTTTTCTTAACTAAAATTTATACTTGATTGTGCTTTTAAGTAGAATCGGAGATAGTTTATTATCATTTGAATTTGATTAAAAATTCTATGTTTATAATCTTGTTTTGCAGAAAGAAAAAAAAACTTACAATTTTTGTCATTGTTTGACATCAGAACAAAAGGAGATAAATGAGAAGTACTGGCTTGTACTTCTCTCGATAATTGTGTAATTACCTTTAAATACAGAGCGATTCACTTGAAAGAGGCCCCGAATATTCTGTAATAACTCGAATCAATCTGAATGAACGAATCAATCTGAATGAAACATGTGCAATGTGCTCCTCCGTATATGGAGCTTCGAACAAGCCATGATGCCCCTGCATCGTAGTGATGAGGTAGGCGCTGGACAGCCGTCATGACGTTTAACCTCCGTTTCCAACCCCCGTACCCCTTCATGTGTCTGGCAGAAAATGGAGATCACTTCCAGCATCACATGTAATGCAATCGATTACACATATGTCAAGGTATGCAGTGCATTTCTTTGGTTCAGATTGCTTCATCATGACGGGAGTTATAACAGAATATTCGGGGCCTCTTTTGACTGAATCTCCCTGTAGTATAGCAAATTTACAGCAATAACTCAGGAGTTCTGTGGGTTAATACATAAATGTTACAAAATTAGATGACAGCATGTCAAAATGACATCACACTTCATTACTCTTTAAAACAGAACTAAATCATCCATACAGCTTTGGAGCCATCCCAGCATCCGTGTCCTAGCGAGTCCAGGCTGGAGTAGGATATTGGGACACGTTCATACTCGATGGGTTCTTCGACAGCTGCTGGAGGAGCCATCTTCTGAACATAGGTTATTTTGTTTGATGTGGTCAGCACCCCAATTTCCTGCCGTGCTACTTTCTCCTTGTATATGTCCACTGTCTGAAACAAATTATTAACACCCTTTAATACTCACCATCCCCTTTAATAGAAACGTGTACTTTTTACTGACTTAGTGGGATCACAAATGAAACACAAAGGATAGTTAACAAAAATTGTGCATTCTACGGCCTGTGTTCACCATCATGGTGGCGCTAGTAGTCATTTGTAATAAAGTGGCCAGTGAGGTTATTCAGTAATTACACATTGAAAAAGGTAATACATTTAATTTACTTGTAATTATTTATAAATAATTTCCAAAATTTGTTTTCTATGTATGTACACCGATATATTTTATTCATGTTAAAAATGATTTTTGTATTTTATAAATTCAATGCATTACTTTTCTCAGTGCACTCACTTTTCTGAAATAGAAGTGTACTGATATACAGTAAAATTAGATTTATAGTTGTTTTCTCACATGTAAGTACACTACCATTCAAAAATTTGGAATCACTGTTCAAATTTTGGAATCAGTGTTTTCCACAATATAAAACAAGGTACCACTTTATATATTAAGTGTCTCTAATATCTGTGTAGTCACATGTGAACAACATAATCAACAATAATGTAACTACTAATGATTTTGTCACTATTGTAGATGGATTACAGAAGTACACCTAATTACACGTGTATCAACTTCAGTTTTGCCTCATGTAATTACACAAGTGTATCTTAGTAGTTGTAACAGCCTATTCTCTGTCATGTAATTACACATAAATCAGACTGGAACAGCAGTTGTTTTCAAAAGTTTTTTTTCCAGCAGTATAAGGAAGTATGTAATAACTTACATTAAGACATTACTTACACTGTATCTGCCAGCTTTCCTAATGTTTAGCTAGCATTTATGTTGCTAGTGCTGTGACATTGAAACCTGTTTCAACTTTAAATCATTCTGTACATATATGTGACAGTACAGCAGATGACCTCTTATCTTAAAATGTAACTTGTATGACATTTATGAAATGTGTTGCATTACCCCCAAAGTGATGTTTATATTACCACTCTATTATTACACAGTACCTACATAACAACTACACAAGAACTGTCCACTAAAGTAAACTTTAGCACTACACTACAGGAAAGTTCCTGTGTAGAAGATACACTTGTGTAATTACATAGGCTGTACTTCTGTAATCCATCTGTAACATTGTCTAAATCATCAGTAGTTACACTGTTGTTGCATATGTTATTCATGTGTAACTACACGGTTATTAGAGACACCATATAAAGTGGGACCTAAAACAATTTGGTCACAGACTAATGCATAAAATGATTGAAATAAGTTAGTCCTATACAATTCCAATTGTCAAAGCTTACCATGGTCGCACTATGATGATTTTATATGGTAAAAAAATTTTTTCTCTTGGATAAAAGACTAGTAGAGGGATGTTGTCTATTTTTTCATAGTTAATTAAGTCTTTTGCTTGGTTTGTATGACATTAATAGTACTGGAAATGTACACCATATTAAGGCTTGCATGTTTTTACAATGAGGGTTTCCTTTAAGCAAGGACCCTTGCACCCTGGACAGTCAGTACAAATAGGTCAATAAGTTTGGTATAAAGGTGTAAACCTTTCAGTAAATCCTACTTTACTACGTGGATTGTAAATCCATTTTGTGATTGTGTATTGATTGTGTATTTTGTATTATTTGCATGTTTACCTTGCCAGGGACTACAGGTGTAAATTATCTAGCTGCTAACTCTTTCTTGCTCTGCCTATTAAGCCACATTAACAGCTGCTTAAGGCCTTGTGGCCACCAGGGGTCCCCCAACAGCTTCTGAATTATTACCAATGTACTAATACGTTATCTTGAATGTGGTGGAGGATGTGCCTCTTGGTAATAATAATTATGGACAAATAATTAATGCAGCAACAGCACTAAAATGATCAGATTTTGACATTACAGGTGTTTATTGCTGAATCTTTTTCTTGTAAAGTGTTTTGATATCTTTAAAAAGCTATGCATGGTTGGTTGTTGTTTAGTTGAGTCCATTTTTTCATGTTTGGCTTTCTTAAATATTTGAGTACTTGATAAATTGTCCAAATAATTGGTAAAAAAATCAGTTTTCTTCAAAATGCTACCACATTGAAGTCTACCATAGTCAGGATGTTGACTGAGGATTCCATCTGTTTGAGCTGAATGGTCTGAGCATCCAGTAGTCTTAACACACTCGAGGCCAGTGTATTGATTTGGTAGGCGATGCTGGCAAGGGCCTGGGTAGTGAGGGCTTTGGACTTCTCCACTGCTCCTCTAGAGTCTTCCACCTACAGCATAATATAAGGGCACGTTGTCATGATAGCAGAAATTTGACGCTGATAATTTTTACCAATCCCTTTAACATCAGTACAATGTTATTAAAATGTTAAATAATGCAAATACATAACTAAATCATTGAAACATGGCCTCATTCAACATGTTCTGAAAGGAAGAATAACAAGGAAGTACAATACAGCCTAACATCACATTGTGTTTAATTGAATAAAAAATGGGTCACCCCTTATGTTTATTGCTTGTAAGAGCACAAGGTCACGTCACTGAATAAAACTCTTTGCACGTATGTTTTAGACATGCTGATAGGTGCATTTCTGTCCATCTGTGTCAAATTAGCTTCTATAGAATACAACATATGATGCAACACATTTAAAAGAAGAATCAAAACGCTGTGTTAGAGCACTGAAGTGTTTACCATGTTGTAGTATTGAAAAAGTAAGTTTCAAATATATTTTACAGCACTTGTCTCAAATACTATATGCTTCCTGTCCACAAACTTCTAATAAATTTACATGCAAAATTTATGAGCATTTTATGACCAGACAGTGGTGCTCTTCATAGTAAAGGTGCTGTCGCTGCTCCCAAACTGTGACAGTGGTTTGCGTGTTCCACTCTACATCTGACAAAGCATTAATCTTAAAACTAAGGAGTTACGTCTTATTAACGCATGGGTACAAGATCTTAATGTGTGGCCACAACTTAGAAAGGTGTGAGAATGAGATAACTAAGTCGTGGCCATGACTTAGTAAGGCTTAGGAGTGAAATCATGCCTTACTAAGTCGTGGTCACGCATTAGGATCTCTTTCCCACTGCTTACTAAGTTGTGGCCACAACTTAATCATCTTGTTCCCATGCCTTGCTAAGTTGTGGCCACATATTATTTTTAATTATACATGTCACCACTGGGGTTCCGTATGAAACACCTGTTGAAGTGAATGTGACATCAGGATCAATATCAAGAACTTTGCCCATTGTTTTGATTTCTTCTTGATGTTTCGAGCCTGATCTTCATCGTCCAATCAGTCTCATCTTATGCTCACCAGAGTTTGCTGATTGATCTCACAAAAATGCTTTAGAACTGGCCCTAAATTATAGACTGAAACCTTGGAGAAAAATGTAAAACTTGAGATTGAGGACAATTATTTATTTTTTTTTACAATGGATACAATTTCATCTTTTATACTTGTTAAACATTTAAGCCATCTTTTAAGTAACTTAAGTGAAAGGAAAAAAAAATATACTTCCACAGTAGTATTAGCATTAGTTATGTAACTCTCATTTGAATAATTTGTATAATTTTTGCCTAATGACAATAATTTATAATGCTATAATTAATCACAAAAAAAAATCAAAATATCATTATAAGAATTGTTATCCAGTGCTTTTCACAAGTATTGGCCCTCTTGACAAAGATGGGATTTGAAAAATATTTCTCTGAATTCTTTACCCATACAGCCCAAATGCCACATTGGCTCTTATTTTATATCTGGACCAGCTACTGACAGAATCCACGTCACCTGTAGCAGTCATTTACTACATAATTTAACATTCACTTACTACTTAATTTAACATACAGTTACACTAGCAATATAAAAAATATAACCCTTCAGAGTTTTAAAATTTTTCACATTAAAAAGAAAACCTTATCAAAAAAAGTTTTCTCAACAGCACATGAAGCCTCACTTCATTAACATTCATGATTAGTCCAAAATCATATGTGATTTCTTATCCAGTGCTCTCCAGAATTATGGGCATGCTTGAAAAAGGCCCTGATTTTAAAGTGACCTTTCAGTATGATAAAAGTAGACAAAGTAAACATAATAAACAAAATAAAACTATAATAACTATGAAAAGACACACAGTGAGGATTGTGCAAACACAAAACCTTGTGCATAACTTGAATGCGAGACAGCATGTTTGGAATTGCAGTAGCTCAGATATGCCATGCCCTGTACAAGCCTGCTGTGTTTGGGCTTGTATAGCTATCAGTACACATAGCTCAGAGGAGACGGGTGTGAGACCAGAAAATATGTCTAGAGGCAAAACTCTTTAAAGTTGTATTGTTTAACTACACAGTCACACTTAGGAATTACTCAAAAACTATTGACAGCTAGAGCTACACACTTCTTAATGATACATAAAGCGTTACATATAAAATAGAAAACAAAGATTTTGGTTACATCTACTAATGTAGGTACTTCTTTGTATCAGACTCATCCTTAAGTTCAGCTCCATAGCTAGATACTGAGCCCTATTAGCAGACAAGAAAAAAAGACTTACAAATGCCAAAAAAGATCCACCTCTAATACAGAAAAACACATCTTACATTTAGGTAGTTGTTCTCACAGTAGTCGGCCACCTTGTAGAGATTGCTGTGATTGTCAAGAAGAGCCTTCCTGGCCGCTGGTGCTTCTTCAAAAATCTTCTGAATGTCCTCTGTAGTACTGTCCTTCATTTTAGATTTGGCACTTGGAAGGAGATGTGTAGCCTAAAAGCTCAGTTAGTGGTTGTTAGAAGCAACGACAGAAGTAAATGACACAGGTAGACTAGCCAACCTGAAAATAGTATGGCGGACAAGTGTGTGCATGTTGAGAGGAGGCTGTAAGAAGGCACTTCATGCTTATGCAACTGCTATAGTTATCTAGTAAGATGAAGAAAAAGGCAGTAGGCTGTTGCAGAGGTGTGTAGTTACAAGCCACATTTACTCAGTTCATTGCACAATTCTGATAGACGTGCTTTATTCTGGATGTTTATGATACTTTTAGTTGCATTCAAGAAAACAAGGAAAGATAATATTTTTTCAGTTAGTTTGGTTGAGTTTTATTTGGTTTGAGTTCATACATGGCTAGTTGAACATCTGTAGTGCTTTGCTGTTGCCCACACCTCTCATTTTCGAGCTTCAGCTTTTTACTTTACACCAAATAGAAGAAACTTCATTTCCTATGCTTATAGATGCTGCATGTAATACGAAGTTTCATTTTCTGTTTCCTTCTTTCTTTGTTTCTTTCTTTATTTAGGCCTCTCCTCAAGTTGTTTTTGGTACATACTTACTCAAGTCAGTATGTCAATGGAAGATTAAGACTTATGCGTTTTTAACCTTCAAAGATGTGTAGTGCTTTGTTGTGGCCAGTGGATGTCAGGCTTTAGCTAGCCAAACAGATTTTCTTGGGCTTTCCTGATTGTGTCCGTTGCCTTTTCAGGTTTACCACATTAATGAGTGAGTTGATTGTTTTCTAAACTCAGACTTAATGCATTGAGTATAAGCCATCAAGTGATCCCAATGAAGGTGAAGTAAAGTGAATGAATGTTTATGTACACACTACCGCAGCTGAGTTCTGTGTGCCTGATCTTAGCTTATTTGTTCCATTTTCCTACCAGTAATCTTTAATTCTTTCCATACCTTCAGTGAACTGGTCATGCGATACAATTACTAACTGACAACAAATTGTATCTTTATTTAACCGGTAATGTAAAGTTTTATTGTTCTAGTAATCACTTTCCCAAGGCCTTGCCACGTGCCTTAATGCCTTACTAATCGTTTCGCTGATTATGACTCACCTGTTGATAGTTCATGCACAAACCCGCACATTTTGCTGGACTGGATTGGATGGCACTGTGGAGAGTGATGATGGGCAAAGTCTGTTTATTGCAGGGATTTATTAGAAATGGATGTCTTTTGACCCTTAGTAATCTTCAGTCGTGTACAACGTCACGGTTTTACACTCGTGTACAACAACGTCTACGTGAAAATTGTATGTACTGAAGGCAAATGCTAGTTTAGGAACAGACTGCTTACTATTTCTTGAGACTTGTGAAAAAACAGGTCCACTTGAAACAGGCTGAAGTATGTGGCAATTTAACATTGGACTTGCTCACAGCCCATCCAGACAGAACAAATTTAGAACTTTTTTCCCTTATGATTTCATAATGATATTCAGCTCAGCTGTATTATTAGCCCTTGTCTGCTGCTGACAGAGACCGATGCATCTCATTTCTCATGTGCAGGTGTGTGGTTGGAGAAATTGTTTTGTCTGGTGTGTTCTGGGTGATTGTGTGTGATGATATCAGCTTGTGGGAGCTGTTAGGTGAAATAAATGAGGAAATGGAGAAGCCCACCCCACAACAATATTGCCTTTGCTTGCAGGGGTGGGGGTGAAGTTCAAGGATGCAGCAAGCACATTTGTCCTTTTCATGTGCTGGTATGTTTACACACACACACACACACACACACACATATATATATATATAGCATTTTGGAGATACAAGGTTTTGTTCTGAGAGCAGCAATATATATATATATATATATATTGCTGCTCTCAGAACAAAACCTTGTATCTCCAAAATGATAACTTTGCAGGAGAGGGAAAACCTACCTTACCTTTAATAGATAATGCACTGATCAGGCATAACATTATGACCACCTCCTTGTTTCTACGCTCATTCTCCAGTTTATCAGCCCCACTTACTATATAGATGCACTTTGTAGTTCTACAATTACAGACTGTAGTCCATCGGTTTCTCTGCATACTTTGTTAGCCCCCTTTTATCCTGTTCTTCAGTGGTCAGGACCCCCATGACCCTCACAGAGCAGGTCGCAATGGAATTTAATTGGATGTGTTTTCATCAGTTGGATTAAGGCAAATTTAAAAAGGAAACACATTCACTAAGACATTTAATGGGTCTTATCTATAAAAAAGTTCTCACTTTTGACTTTGTTGCTATAACCAACTGTACACTGTTAGAAATAAAGGTTCTGTGCAGGTACACATTTTGTTTATCAAGGTACAAACAATGTAAATGTTCCCTCAAAGGTACAACAGTGGTTTTAAGGTCCAATTGTGAACCTTAAATAAGTTTTTTTTCCAGGTGAAAAGTACAATTTGTACATTTTCATAATCTAATGATTCATAATTTAAAACAGAACAATAAAATAAAAGCCTGGAGACGAGACGGGGTGTGTGGAGTCAGACGTAGAAAATATAATTTCAGTGGATTATGGTACAATTATGTTCCCTGACTAAAGGTACTGAGGTGTACCCTTGAGGGTTCCACCCCAGTGACAAGAGGGGCACTGCCCCAGTGACAGTTTCTGACCTTTCTGTAATTAGTAATGGGTCTTCAGGGAATGTGCTCAAATGGTTCTTGACTTAATTACAGCAAGCTTGTGGCCATTTTGTGATTGCCAGGTTTTTTTGTGACTATTTTGAGCCTAAACACGCTTTTTGTGCCTAAACACAGGTTGCGTAGGGGAGGGTGGCGGGGGACAATTTGTCACCTGCCGAAATTATGCTCCTTCTGTTATCTCTGTGGTGCAAGTTTTGGTTCAAATTAAATTTAATGTGACGATTTATCTTGGTTTGTAGGTTATACCAGAACGTACACGTCTCTAGGTTCAATGGAGGACTTTATTATTATGTACATCATTTTGTAAGTTCGCATGTCTGTCTTTTCTCACAAAGGATGACGTGCAATTTCTTGATCATCAGGATAAACGTTCTGACACTTGTATATGCTCAGATAACATTCATGCAGACACTTTCTGCAATCTCAGGCTACAGCGCTCTCAGGAGCACTGAAAATGTGCATGTGCTCGCTCTCAGATTCACTCACTAGTTCCATATGTAGTGGTTCAGTACATAGTAGTTACAAACTGAGATCCAGATACAATCGTTGTCAGTCACACACAGCAATGTTTGATAAAACAGTCAACTAATGACTGAATATCACTGTAAAAAATTTCACTGTAAAAAACGGTAAAGAACTGGCAGCAGGGTTGCCAGGAACTTATTGTTAAATTAACGGTATTCTGTTGTTGTAAAAATGTACGGTTAAATACCATTTTTTATAAATACAGGATATAACTGTAATTTAGTACAGTTAGTACATTTACAGTATAATACTGCTAGAGGTTAATAGTTCATTACCTTTTTTTTGATGGGGGTGCACTAAGTTTCCTGACAGGTATAGCTACAGATTTTCCTGCACTGATAAAAAACATTGTGTTTTTACTGCTTGTTAATCTTACCAGAAATGTAACATGCATGAAAGGGTTCATTATTTCAGTGAACAGTTGACACGGCAATTTCAATCATGTGACTTTAAAAATGCAAAATGTGTTGTTTTATTGTGAATAAAGTCTTAATTCTACTTGCAAACACTTTGCACATTTTTCACATCAGACATCAACAAAGGAAACCATTTAGGCATGAAAATTAACAGCAAATTAACTTAGATATTACCCATATAAATAAATGTGCTGTTAAAGCTTGTTCTCTTTGCCTGTCATATCAGCATAAACATGAAATTTGACAATAATCCTTGTAGAACAGTCTACAGCTGTAAAAATCTGTCTTGTCCTGCTTTGTCTTTCCTTGTTTCTGTCTGTGTCTGCCTTTATGTTCCCGTCTGCGTCTTGTTCCATATGCTTTTGTTGTTTTGGTCTGGCTCCTCCCCAGTCATCTGTTCCACCTGTGTGTAGTCTGTAGCCCCGCCCTCTTGTTAGCCCCAGGTGTTTCTCATGTGTTCTTTTGTCTGTTTATTCCCCTTGGTTTGGTCTGTTCTATCACACTGCAACAATGGTGACTCACTTCTAGAGGCATTTTGTATAAATGTTCTATTTGATTTATACAAGATATTTTAATACTACTTGACTGGACTAAACTATATAAAAGCTTACAAGTTTCATCAGTCATGGTTCCATGTGAAACCTAACCTCTGAATGAATTTCAGTGTGCATGCGGCTTCTCTTTGATACTGAAGATTAAAGCTGTATGTGGAAAACACAGAAGCAACCAAGCAGAAGCCTGGTTAAGAATTTGGCTGTATGCCCTTACAGTTGATGTATCCCTCACGACTGACCATCCAGCATTCAATACAGCATCTGAAAGAAAACGACTGAAGAGTTAACCACTGGCAGCAGGGATAGGGCCATTTTGCTGAAATACAAAATTGTTGACTTATGCAGATTCTTTATAAACATGACAAGCAGTAGCAGCTGAGGAGTTGCCAGTAGGGTGAGTATCCTCTTCACATCAGCTGCAGTGACAAACAAGTAGAACACGTCAATATAATTGTTTAGTTTAGGCAGAAGAACAACAGCATGCACCATACCCATACCTGATTCATGGTAACTCAGCCATACAACTCATAATCATGAAGGCAGTTGAGAGATTTGTTGATATAATTTGATCACATTATATCAGCGAATGAACACATTGCTGTTGTTGGAAGAAAACCTTGTATCTCGAAAAAAGGGTAACTTTACAGGAGAAGGAAACTACATTAGTATGATGTTTTGTTGCGGAGAGAAGATGTAATGTTACTCAGGCCAAACACTGCATATATAAGACTCTTGACCACAGGATTCAGTTGTTAGCTAATTTAGTTAACTAGTTATCAAATGCACCCTCTCTCTGAATTCTCCTCTGTAAGTCAAGTTCAGCCAACACAAACCAAATAGAACACAAACAAGTCTAGGGCAATTGATATATTAACTAATAGATATCAATATAAAAGGGACTTATTTTGTCCAGTGTTGCACAGGAGGGAAGGGCAAGCTTGTGCACTACTAAGACTGTATTCAGTCTTG